AAACCGCGGTAGCTATCGTCTGCGGGACGACTCCACAGTCAACACACCGGTTGCCGTTCAAAAGATTTACCCGAACGTCCAAGGCGGTGTATTAAGAAAAAAATCACTATCTCTCCGCCGGTCGCAGGTCGCGCACTGAGTTTTTTAAAGCTAGATTTCCCTCGGAGTGTGTCCCGGATGGTCGTCGTTGTCGGAGTACCTACAATTATTATCTCGAATGATCTCTTGTCACGATCGACATCCAGTTCCAAAAGCGTTGTTATGTCAACAAAGTCACGTCACAAACGTAGCCGCTTCAATATCAGCCGTATAATTTATACAGCCGATTACAATGCCGAACGGCGTAGAAAACCGCCATGTTTAACCCGACGGATTTCGGTGCTTTCTTAGTAATATATTATGTACAAATAAAAATAATATACTCTATTCCATATGCACGCAATTGAACTCCACGAATTTCTCTTTTTTTTCTTCTTTACTTTAATCCAGCCCCGTTGTTTAGAAAAGTAAAAAAATACGGCTCACGACTAATAGCTGATAATGATTTACTTACACAGTAAACGCAAATCGGAGTCGAGCACACGGTTTTTCCAGAACGGAATAATTATGTGTTAGATTTCACCGTCTTACATAAATTACCTTTCCGGAAAGTCGGCCAAATGTCTTTTAATGATACATTACATAGCGAGTACCTATACGCGTTAATATATTATTATTATTATGTTTAACGTTCAAATCGAATACCGCTGTACTGTACACACAAGCCACCGGGGCGAGAGTGATGCTGTCAGGTCATGTATACATTTCTTTGGCCTCTGTTTGCGCCATCAACAAACCTGCGTTGCACCATATGACTTACACATTTTTTACGTTCTCTCGTGTTGAACTCGTTAATTGTTTGACTTACAGCGGTTCGCACGCGGCAATTTGACTTTTCATTTTCGTCGGTTTGTTTCATTTTCACTCGCAGTTTTTAAAAAATAACCTTCACGATGGGCGACCGTTCCCTCCGACTGGACCGCTGTACGACTCAGTATATGGCTAAGGCGAACGACGCGTTTACGGTAAACGTCATCGGAACTGGCAGATGCGCATGACCAACAGGATAGTTAAGAACAAAATCGACACAATCAAATCCAGATGCTTCTTGGAGCCTTAGTCCGCCATGAAGACAAATCGGAAAGTCTAGCGCGGCCATTAATCAATCGAAGAACAACAATGAAATCGCAAAAGAAAACGAGCGGTTGGCGATGAGAAGAAAAAATGTCAAATAAAATGTTCTTTCTTAACGAAAACCCCATGTGGTTTTGTATAATGGTAATAATATTATGTAGTAGGTAATTAATTGTAAACTATGTATAATATTCACTCTCTTGATAATTATCGAAAATCGCTCCCAAACATTCAATTAGTCTAGTAAAAAATAGCATCGCTGCTCCGCATCGAAGCTAAAAATATATAATTACCTCATTTCAATAACACGAAATTATTACAACGGTTTTAGATTAACAGCTTATCGATCTGCGTTAATACTGTGTTTTTTTCCTATCTGTAACAAATCAATTTGCATGAACCGTGTTATACAATTGATATCATACACGCCTAGTTATAGTTTGAAATCGGAGCAAAACACCGAACAAGTGGATAACAATCTATGTAAACGAAGAATGAATTTATCCAAAGTATTGAAATATATATATTTTTTTTTATTGTGATTATAATAATGTTATAATGTTATTTGTTACACATTTTTTACACTAGGTACAACATCTTTATTGAACATAATATTAATGACATTATAATTATGTTGTGTCTCCTGTTTGAACACTTTAAACGTTTGACAAATTTGCCCTTTAAAAAAATGCTTTCGGTCAGGTCAGAAGCGATTATGAAATACAATTAAAAGTTCACCATATTATCCGTACAAGAATCTCTACAATGAATGTAGGAAAAGGGCAGATGTTATTAACTCCGCGCGTCTTTACCAATCGGTTGGATAGTTCAAATGTATTGGTGCTTGTGCGCAAACCTGCAAAATCATTCTCTGAAATCGAAAAGCACCGGTAAAACGTTCATTATGACTTTGTCCTATTGATGTTGAGCGTTTCGGATCGATGACTGATCCGCAACCGCACGTTTTAGCATAACAACAGCAACCTAGACTTTCGGTTGCGACCCAAATTTGATCTTTGATTCTTTTTTTTTTGTTATAATGAACTACATACATATGTGATTTAACTTCTTATTACACTTTCGGTTTTTTTTTTTTACATAACACTGAACCGTAATACAATAGCAATACGATAATGGTATAATAATATAATACAAACTATGGTTTCGATTGTTAGTATGTGCGTGAAGGAAAAGGTTAAGACGATTACGGCACAGGGTGTCGAAAACGACGGGGAATCCTGTTTCCGGGTGGCTAGGTGTCAGCGTGTACACTATACAATTATATTATTATTATTATTATTGTTATGTACTATAATATAAAACTGAAAACGTCGTCAGTTACACAACCTGTCAAATACAAATAAGAACGGCTGAATGTGCTCTTGTGTGTACTTTTTCGGAAGTTCTCAATTATTATAAACGTTTCGGTCACACAATAATTGTTATCATCATTGCTCAGTCTTTAAAGTAAATAGTTTTCTGAGAAACGACAAGTACGCGTTAAGGGGAAACCTTAGATTGTCGTTTTTACCTTTTAAAAGAAATTCAACACGAGATGTCACATAATGAATATAAAGGTAAATGCTGATTGTTGAGCACCATCGTTAATTGTATTTTTATGTGACGACATTAACCATTATTGTTGCATTACAAATACTTGCATTAAACCGCAATCATGCTAATTTTTTTTCAATCCAATAGCACTTTTACAACCCAAGTCTAGAATAATACAGTCGACGCTTTCAACGTGCGCAGGTCGATATGTTGCAAGCCGGCTTAACCTTCTCACATTCGGATAAACAGACTAGAAACATTTGATCACTAATGTTTAGATATTATATTAAGTAATATTGTGATGAATAATTGAATAATTCCTAACACATGTATCAATTATCAGAAATGTTGATTGTTATGACTATCTAATTTATCCCAATCGTTGATGAATAAGTTTAAATTCCTCTATGCAAATTAATTACATTTTTATCATCAGAAATACTTATGTCAATTAAAACTTAAGAGTATTATAATTAATATACAAACATTAACATATTATCATTGAAACCTAGAATGGAAAACCTATTATTTATTTAACAGTTGAACTATATTATACCTATAATTATTATTAATGTCAAATATTTAAATCGATAATAAAGTTTATTATGAAGAGATCATTTTTTTAACTGGCTCCAAAAACCAAATTAGTAATTACTAAGACCTTAAACAAAGATCAGACCAATTAATTTCAGGCCGCGGGTAGTACCTAAATGAAAGCCAAATTCTAGCACCTCCTAAAAATAAACTGGTCCGCAGTACTATCTGAAATTATGTTTTAAATTTATTTATTAGAGTACAAAATATTTCCAAAATCCTGTGGCATGACCATTGTTACAGAGAACATACCGATGATAGTTTTTATGCATTTTCTATTTAGGAAAAATGTCTTATTATAGTGTTTACAGCGTTCGAAATCAAATTGTCACGCCACCGTGAGCACGTGTAAAAAACCAAAGCAGTCACGTTTGAGTCGAAAGTGAGCAGTTGAAGATCTGGATCTTGTAAATACATACAACTTTTTCTCATCGTATTTATGAAATGATAATATTTTATTTATACATTTTTGAACACAATTATTCTTCAACTTCAGTGTTTAATGTACATCAGTTAGTACGTGTGTATGCATTACTTTCATTAACAACCATATTGGTTTATAAATTTGTTACATTTGCAAGTACAAATTATTCATAAGGTACACTTTTGTCTAAAAATTAAATGTATTAAAACTCGTCTACTCATCTATTGGTTAATTATTTATAACTTCCATCTGGCAATGATTATCTCTCCCATACTATTACCGATTACGTATTGTTATAGTTTTTATTTGATTTTAAATCACATCACTTTCGAATTCAAATCCGGATAGATTGACCAACGACGTAATGTTTTTATTGTTTACACTGCTGTTAAATTGTCGTAAACGGCTACTGTAAAATGTTAATAATATTCCGAATAAAAAAATAATATATGACTATTTGCTGGTGTGTAACATTATAATTTGCACACTTTTTAGAATGTAAATTTAAAAAAAAAACTTAACCTGTTAATCTGCAAGACGTGTAACCACATAACAAAACATACTAAGAAACACAGATTACATTGTTTGCCAAACGGTAAAGGCGTAAAGCCTTGGCCAAAGTGACTAGAGCTGATAATGCTATTTAAGCATTTACACAAACGCAAATGTTAATATGTTATGCCTTAAATATAAAATTGTATATTTTATATATTACATTTTAATTGCTCACAATAGTCAATACATTGATTAAAATGTGCCGGGTCTTAAAAATTGTTCTTATAGTTCGCCACAATTGAAAAACGCGGATAGGTGAAATTAGAAAGTATGAATTTAGCGCTTAGTCTTAGTCGACATGCAGCTGTTAGAAAATAGTATTTATTTTATGGCTTAAATACACTGTACCATTGTACTACTAGACACTGTTAGTATTATTGCTGCTGTCCGGTATTTTATTTTTCAAACACAACACCGGCGTTTCGGAGTGTAGAACTATTAATTTTGATTTATAGAAACCACAAAATGATTAAGCGCAAAAGAAATTCGCTGAGAACAATACGGGTTTAACTGGCCTGGTAGCTAACTTATCCAGTCATCAGAGTTCCATAATTCCATGTACTCGGTTCGATTAATCTAATTGTATATTTTACAGCCTCCTCCAGACGAACTGATTCAGCGAATTCGCTGTGTGAAATCACCACTTTATTACCATTAATTATACCTTGGTTTGATATTAACACGGTCCGTTCCTTTTCAGGAAGCAGTTCGGATGACCAGGCGACTGCAGAATCGCATTGGACACCACAAGGAGGGTTCGAAGAAGATGCGGCAGCTTATGCACCGCCCGAAGACTTCTTTTCTGCCGCTCACGGACTAGTGCAGACTCATCCGGCCACGTTCAATGGATTCGGCAGTACGTACATGTTTGACACACAGCTATTGGTTAAAAGCCATTTTCTTGAGAAATCTAACGCACATTTTGGCATCTCAGGTATTTCCGAACCTTCGCACACGAACATACCGCCGTTGGGTTATTCGTCATTGGACTTCGATAGGAGAGGCCTGGAAGAGTTGCGAAAAAATCCTGAATTATCATCGCCGGAAGAATGCGCCAGAGCTTGCCGCGAAGGAGAGCCACCGAAGATATGTTATTACCATTTCACCGCCGAATTCTACAACGTACTCGGAGCGTAAGTACACATTTAGACCTAAGACCTATGCGGCGAACCTAACCTGGAGAAAATGCCTATTTCGTTCAAATTTATTTTACAGGGCCTTACATGAATTTTAATTTCTTATGAAAGCGATAACGTTGACCTATCATAACATATCTTTGCGGTTTTTTTCTATGCCTTAGTTAACTTAGGCTTAGTTGAAATCACAACCTAATTTTTTATTCTCTAAAGCCGTGATTATGATAATACACCACGGAACACAGTAAAAGTTTGTAAAAAAAACTTCTCGACGAAGGAGAAAATCGGTCCAATTAAAAATGTTTACTTCCGTTTTTAAACACTAAAATGAGAATCTTAAGGTGAAACTAACATCTTGAAATTATGCTCATCGCCTAGTTTACAGTTTCTTTCTTTGTTTTTTATAATAACTACATATATTGTGTAATCATTAATTTTCTATTTTTCACATAGGGCCTGTCAGGTTTGTACGCCGAACGCCACCAACACTCTGTGGAGCCACTGCCAGTGTATATTGGCGGATGGAGTCGAGAGAGGAATGTTGGCCATTAACCGTATGTTGCCCGGTCCAAGTATACAGGTATAACAAGACGGAGAAGTTTTTTTTCAGGTTTAAGAACGCGTATACTCATCATTCTGTTTTCTTTTTTTTTTTTTTATATAACAACAGGTGTGCGAGGGAGACAAAGTCGTCGTGGACATGTTGAATCACATGCACGGTCTGGAGTTGGTCATCCATTGGCACGGTATTCACCAGAAGGGCACTCAGTACTACGACGGGGTACCTTATGTCACACAATGTCCCGTCCACGAGGGCAACACTTTCAGATACCAATTCGACACCAACGCCGGCACGCATTTCTGGCACGCCCATTCCGGTAAGTCACCCGTCCTGCAATGGTGAATTAAAAAAAAAAAAAAGCGTGTACTTACAAAATGCTCGTATGCGTGTGTGCACGCGACCGTGTGTGTACCCGTGTATACAAATCCAACCGATATAATCCCACGTTGTACGACAAAAGTCCAGCCGGCCATTATTCACACACGTTAACCCAGTTGCCGGTCCGCGATAACGGTGGCCGGTGTCACGTTAAGTTATGCAATAGTACTTATAATGTATCAATGGCGGTGAAAGTCATTATGCCGTTGTAATAAGGCAGCTTTGTAGTCGATATTCTCAAATGAAAAATGGTGAGGACGCGCACCATGTATGTCTCAAAAGTTGTACGGAAAACGGGTTTAAGCATATAGTATCTAATATCTACGGAAACGTGATCCGAGAATCTTCCACACAAACTCCAGATCATATCGGCTGCTTTGAAATGCCGTCCACTAGAGCTTTTTTCATCGTTGTTCAGATAGTTTATTTTGATTTTTAATCGCCAACTGCAAAACACGCTACCGTTAATTAAGCATAAAAACCCGAGTAAACGGTAAGAAGTGAAAACATAGTGAGCAGGGGTCGAATGAAACTGTTACTTTTATTAATAAAAGTAAAAGTTTAACTTTTACTTATCCATGCTGATGTATAAAAGTTTTTTTTTTACGTTTACTTTTTTCGATAAAAGTTATTTCAAAACTATTATTTTTATAACTTTTATTTTCTAACTGGATTTATAAAAGTTTTTATTTAACAGTTATTATAAGCCATTTACATGATTAAGTTTAATGAAAAAAGTATTATGCTTTTACGTTTTTATTAATAGGAAATATAACATACAACTTAATAATAATTTTACTATACTATAAAAATTTCAATTTTTATATTAATAATCTTACTAACAAACAAATTTAAGTTAAATTTACTAACAAAAAAAATTAATTAAATTTAACTAACAAAATATTTTCAAGGGTTTCATTGGCTAGGTTGTATCTATGATCATTTAAAACATATTTTAAAGATGAAAATGCCCTTTCTACAGATACTTGAAATGCAGGGGAATTATGTAAAATCAAAGCTAATTTATACAACGTTTGGTATTCAAATTTTTTTTTTCCCCAGTAAGATAGTAAGAAAGTAAGATAGAGCTTAATAGTTTTTTTAGTGCTGAGAAGTCAAATAATAACGATCTTGCATTATAATTGAATTTCTTTTTACATATAACTTTTATTTTAGAGGGAAAAAGTAAAAGTTTAACTTAAACTTTTTTTAAGCTAGAACTTGTATATAACAGTTTAAAAAAAACTGTTTCGATTAAACTTTTATAAATAAAAGTTTTTTTCAAACAGTTATAGTTGAACTCATTTGTTAAAAAAAATAACTATTTTAATCCCTGATAGTGAGGATTATGGAATCCACACCAGAAGTCTACATTGCATTGACTTGTGTAGTATTATACTTAAATTTCCAACATTTTAAACTGTTGACAAACGGTAGAACACTGTGTATTTTAGGACTGTGTTCAGTAAAATCACCGTAGCCTATTACTAAATATGCACTACATTGTGATTCAAACTAAACTCAGTATATCTATTGTGTACACAAGGCCTATTGTTATGCTTGGTGACAAGCAGATCGATAAATTATTGTAACACGGTGCATACATAAACCACAAACGTCGTCGATTATTAACAGCTTGTCATATCTTATAGATATGGGCTTCATTGAATTTCGACAATCTTGTTATCTTAGCAATAAGGACACGAAGTAACTATTATCGTTAACGGGCTCACTTTGAACATTTTGCTTTTTGCCCGCGGCTCGGTTGACTGCCGTTTTTATTTCTCTGTCAACCGTCCATTTCACACTACAACGTTAAGACCATTGCATTGCGAGCTTCGGCGAACCGAATCAATTAGACACGAATTTCCGTCTAAAAACGCGTACATTTTATACACTGGGGCTTATAGAATTTGTATTTTTGGTCAGGTCTGCAAAAGATTGACGGCATCTACGGTAGCATCGTGGTCCGTCAACCGCCTTCACAAGATCCCAACAGTCATCTGTACGATTACGATCTGACTACACACGTCATGCTGCTGTCCGACTGGTTGCACGAGGACGCCATGGAGAGATTCCCCGGCAGATTAGCCGCTAACACAGGTCAAGACCCGGAGTCGGTGTTGATCAACGGCAAAGGACAGTTTACCGTGAGTGTCCTGCATAACGTTTTTTTCGTCTTGTCACAATGTTAACTGCAATCTTCTTTTCGTACAGGACCGCAACACTGGATTCAGCACCAACACTCCCTTGGAGACGTTCACCATAACGCCCGGCAGGAGATACAGGTTCCGTATGATTAACTCGCTGGCATCCGTCTGCCCTGCCCAGCTCACCATTCAAGGACACCCGTTAGTGTTAATCGCCACCGACGGAGAGCCCGTCCAACCAGTAGTTGTCAACACCATCATTTCGTTTTCGGGTAAGAGCGAATCAAAATAATTCATAGCGAAGGCAATCGGTTTGAGTGTTTATAACAACAATAATGTCCGCTTCGCTTAGGTGAAAGATACGATTTCGTGATAAACGCCGAACAGCCCGTCGGTGCATACTGGATCCAATTCAGAGCTCTGGGAGAGTGCGGTATCAAACGCGTTCAACAGTTGGGCATACTCAGATACGCCCGAGGTCCGTACGTACCCAAGTCCAAACGACCCACTTACGACGTCGGTTTGCCACAGGGAGTGGTAAGTTGTCGCCGTCCGTCCTCGGATAGACATCTTTCTTGTAATATACATTAAAGTATGATTAATCGACTATTTAGGTGTTGAACCCATTGGACGCAGTGTGCGATCAACCCAGGACCGACGCCGTGTGCGTCAATCAACTCAAAAACGCTAAAGCAGTAGACAAGGGTCTTTTGCAAGAGAGGCCGGACGTAAAAATTTTCTTGCCGTTCAAGTTCTTGATCTACAGGCCAGAAGAGCTTTTCCAGCCCCACCAGTACAACAGATATTTAGGTAATATTCGATTTATTCGTACGACTCAATAGGTCGGTACATTTTTTTTAATTATCACTACTCAACAAAATGTTTGGGAACGGCCATTCTAAAATTATTCATAAATTTTGCTCAAAACTTAAACTTTGTGTTCCACAATACCCGCACCTACAGCAGCCGTCTCGAAAATATTGTGAATTAAAATCTTATCATATTTTTCTTGGCCACCCTCTGTTTCTCCCGCTTTAATTCTAAGTACTACTGCTTTATTGTGTAGTTATATTTGAGCTTCCTCTTACATATTCACTTTTTGACCTGTTTTCTCATATCAAAAATTAATTTTCATTTTCGCCACGCTCGACTGTTGATCAATAAAAGTAAGTTTTACCCTCATAAACTGTAACGGTACTGTGGATATTGTCCGTCGTAGATTTCGAGGGTAGCAAATAATGTTAACGTTTATTTGCAGTTGCTCCCGGCGGTGGTGACCACGTCATAAGTTTGGTCGACGAAATATCTTACACGTCACCTGCATCTCCCATGCTTTCCCAGATCGACGACATACCACCCGAGTTGTTCTGTAACGGAGACAATAAACCAGCCAACTGTGGCAGAAATTGCATGTGCGCGCACAAGGTCGACATCCCCATGCACGCCGTCGTAGAAGTCGTACTGGTCGACGAAGGTAAATAGTACTACTAATATTAAGTGTAATCAATGTTGTGACAGAGCCATAGTGCATGTACACTGCTCAAGCATGCTCATGCAGTTTAACTTGTCTGCACGAGTCCTGAAATATTTAGCACAATTTTAGCGATTTAATTACATTGATAACACACAAATACTTTAACTCTAAACAATTTTGTCCGCCAGTCCAACAACCGAATCTCAGCCATCCGTTCCACTTACACGGTTATTCGTTTAACGTGATCGGTATGGGACGGTCGCCCGACAAGAACGTCAAGAAAATCAACTTGAAACACGCGCTGGACTTGGACAGGAGAGGTCTCTTGGACAGACACTTCAACTTACCACCGTCAAAGGACACCATTGCAGTGCCCAACAACGGTTACGTGGTATTCAGGTTCAGAGCCGACAACCCAGGTGAGAGATACATTAAACCGCTCCACCCCACCCAATTTTCTCCACTTTACAATATATTTTATTGCCATTTCGTTTCTTTTGCAGGATACTGGCTGTTCCATTGTCACTTCTTGTTCCACATCGTCATCGGTATGAACTTGGTGTTGCACGTGGGCACGCACGCCGACCTACCGCCAGTGCCCGACAACTTCCCTCAGTGCGGAGACTTCTTACCTCCGGTCAGTCTGACCGGACATTGACCGCGTCCCATACTAATATTGTAAACGTCAGTCCGAATTAAGTGCTCATATTATATAAAAAAAAAATAAATGAATAACAAAAACAAACGACGCAATTGACAGGGAAAACCCGTCAAACGAAAAAAAACCTAAACGGCGTTTGTTAGTTTAGATTTTCTATATTTATTTTATTTGAAATTATATATTATATAAAATATATAATATATAATTGTGTGCGTGTAATTAATACAATTATTAGATTACGATACATTTTTTATACCCTAGAATAATGTGTTATGCCATAACAATATGTATGTTATTTAAATGTGTTAATAATTTAGTCACTTGTTCAATTGTTTTACTTTATTAATTATTATTATTACTATTAATCACTTTGTCTAAGTCATAAAACTCTGTCAAACAGAAATTTAATTTAAAGCAAATATCGAATTCGTCAGTCCCTCCTTGGTCTTGCCTCCGTTTTTTTAAATGATAATAATAAATAATATACCTATATTGTTTCTAAGTTCACCAAAGCTTGCCAATACCATAACTTAAGACAATGTGTTTATTTATAGTTTAATATTTGTGCTTATTACCTTTTATTATTATTATTTTAATGTCTAATACGTCGTGTACATAATGTTCTATAATAATTATTAGTCTCTAGTTAATTATTAATATTATATTATTATTTTTATTATTATTATCATCATCATTGTATAAATTAGAATAAACGTTTTGTTTTATTGTAAAAAAAATAATAACCCAACTAAATGAGCCATACATTCGTCGAATTGTATTAAGAAGTCGATAAGAATTTTATTATTTTTGTCGATCGAGTGTTTCGGTCTCGTGTTTTAAGTCCATTAAATTTCAAGAAAATCTTTAACTGTTACCCGTGTAGTGTTTACACATGCTTTTAATTCACACACTGTTATCTTATTTTTTTACAAACTATTTGTATCTAAAATAATCAAAATAGAAATACAATATTTTCAAAGTACAAAAAAAACCGTCTACATGCAATCGTTATTAGTAATATTATGAAATGTTAAATATGTCATGACTTAACTAGCAGGTAAGCAGTTTTAAACCTCACTTGCAAAACAGTGTTTTATCTGGAAAAAAATCATTTTTATAATTTGTAAAATTATTAGTCAATACCATGTGTGAACCTTGCACTGTTATGGTTTAAGGTTGTTAAATTCGCATACAAACTACATCTTAGAAATAACAAAGTGAGTACAAACTTAATAAAACAGCAGGTATAAGAGACAAAATACGATTTTTAGCTTATTCACTGTATGTTACTATCAGCTATCAAATAAAAAACGAATGCCTTTTCGACCTCAATGGGTAAAAAACAAATTAGGGTCAGTATAGCATACATAAGAACAAGTCTTTTATAGAAAGAACCAACAACGTTTGTATTTTATTTAATTATGTAGTACACTGTTACCTACATCTTATGTAAGTTCTGCAGTTAAAAAAGAAAATTGTTAATTACTTTTTTTAGAAAACAGCATTTACATTTGCCTCATTTGTTTACTACTACCCCAACTGACTAATCGAAATTGGTATGTCCCGTCCATAAACACGTTTTCATTGAACATAAATATCTCAAATTGGTTGAACTTATCATTTAATGATAAAAGTTAATTTTATTGGTAAAAATGTGTTGACAAATTGCATTTCTTCTGGAGTTTTATGTATATCAGTTATATTTTTAAGATGTGGTAGGTGGAATCACATTTTGTTATAGTACCAATATCTGAGAATATTTGAATGATATCTTGAGGTAAATAACTGTGTATCAGTTTTTAAGCTACGGAGTTCTTTTTTAATATTTTATTTTATTTTAGAGGACTGTTCACTAACGTCAATACCCACCCAAATGGTTTAAACATATAACATAAATACAGCAAATTTAAAATCTTAAATTTATTTTTAAATAAAGAAGTATAATAAAAGACTTTAACTTACAAAATTAGTAAAGTAGCCATTGGGGCATCTTAAGATCATCTAAATAATATAATCAAGATCACAAAAACCTTTTTCCAAAATATTACTTTAAATTATTATAATATTTGTTTATATGTACTCCGTACTCAACAAAGTTGTCTAGTGACGTCACAATTGAGCATTGACTTATGAAATAGTGTAACAAAATTCGTCCTCACTGCATACATGCCCCATGTAGAAATTGTACTGCTCGTTTTCGTTGAACCCCAACGAATCCCAAAAACTTTTTCTGCCCATTTCTTCGCCGTATTCCATGTATATGTTTTTTGGTGACGCTATTTTTAAGTACGGCACAGTAGTCTCGTTCAGGTCTTTACTCAATGGATCCCATTCGATAGAACTGTCACCCGTTGATGGTTTCCTTTATGCATAATCAACACGTTTCAATTTATACTAATATTTACCATTGATCATACCTAAATACTAAGAAGCAACATTCATTGAAAGGGAAGCAAGGAAAATATGAAATAACGTGTAAGTAGACTTAACTTATGAGACTTATGTGGATGTGGAAAAGTGGGGTGGGAGACGCGTAAAAAGAAAAGCATAGTAATATGAGTTATGGCTAAATTGAGTAAAAATCTCAAAAAATGTATTTAATTAAAAAATTAAAAATAACAACGACATGTGTTATTCAATTAAAAATAAGTAATAACAAATTACATTACATTTGTTTTAATCTTCAACCTAATAGACAATTTTGAAATTCTGAAAACTTTGAAGGCGACTTCATAAAACAGACTTGTTGAAAAGTCTGACCAGATAAGAGTTTAGCCAAAATTATAGTAAAATTATTTTGAGTTATTAAATTTATATTATTATTAAGATATTTTACACCAAAAGGTGACTTTTTTCTGGCCTCAATGTTTTTTAAGGACTTTTGGTTATTTTTAAATAATTCTCCGAAGTTGTAAAAAAACGTAGAAAACGAAAATTTGTCTTTGCTTAAAACAAAATAAAAAATTCTACATGACTTCTAAAACTGGTTCTAAATTCAACAAAGAGTATATATTTAAAATATAGAAAGTTTATAATATTTACAATCACGCTGAAAATTATGCAAAACAGTGTTTTTAAACTTTTGAGATTATTTCAAAAATCAAAAAATATCTGTAGCCAATATCTGTTAACCAATTACTAATTAGTAATTAATTATTATACTTAAAAACTATTATCTATCCCTGAACGTGATAAAGTTTACTTGTGCATGTTATTTAAGCGTAAATTAAAAACTCACCCAGTCTTAGTAAACGAAGTCCATATTTCCACCATTATCGGTACCAAAGACCTGTCTTCTTCAGATTCTTCGACGTTTATGATTTTAGTGCGAAGCGCGTACGCCGTATCGTCCGCATGACTCGCCCCTAAATAAATGTTAACTTGTGACCTTTGAAACGATTATTTAACACTCTTTATCAGCGCTACCGTAATTCTCTGTAGAATGGGAAAAAAGTTCCGAAAGGCTATGGCGGCCACGGTACGCAAATTGATACATATACACCGGAGACGTGCCTACTTGAGCTTGGATCTGGGCGGCTTTTACGATATCCACCACGAACAACCGATCGCCTATCATCTGGATTACACGTTAAACGATACTACATTATCACGGTCACTTTCCCTCTATTGCCGGCTAACTTGGTTTTACTCGTACTTACTTGGATGAACTCGGCCGTTTTACCCTTGACCAACGGTTGTTCACCCATGTATTCAATCCTTATCCTCTGGGATACCTCGTCTATCCTGGACGAAGGTACCGTGTAATTGTAGTCTAGTATATGCGGTATCACTTGGTTCCAGTTCTTGTCGATATGATTTAGCAATGCTTCGTTGTTGACGTACTCTATAATATGTATCGTGTAACACGTAAAGATGAGACCTACTACAGGTTCATGCGACGACAATAACTATGCTATTGATTTGAGAATTATTACCGGATCCCGGGTAAAGGCCCTCGTGGGTGGCGACACTCGACAGCCATGGGACGTCGGCCGCTTCTCCTTTCGCCAGTATCCGGTAAGGCAGTTCGGAAAGAAAGGGTATCTCACTGTCGGGAGGCTCCACCACTGGCCCAAAAGGCGAGTAAGGGTTGTACATGAAAGGCTGTAAGACATATCGACGACGGATCAGACGATTTTGAGGGTTAGGTTAACCATCACTTACCATAAATAATTTGACCGCTTCTACTATCTTCCTCGCCGGTCTAGAGCTCAAACACTCCACTAATACTGACGAAGGTTTTGTGGGACAACCTAAGTAAGCGCCGATCGTTGCCGATTTAGCCGGCACGTCTTCGGTGATAGTCCATGGGCAAAGGGCCGATCCGCTCTGTGAAAATGCTTTACTGAATAGGCCTATATGGTATAGAGAAACAATTTATTTAAACGAACATCGCCAGTTAAACATGCCGTCAGAATAACATTTGTACCTTAGGTTTATAAATACTGATTTCGCATTTAATGATTTTTTCCGTTTTAGACCGTAAGTCTAACAGGAACTCTCAGAAATATATAAACTGTATCCCAATGTACTCTTACACAGATGGCTCACGCATAAGTTTTAATATTTTCCCCAAGGATCCCGCAATAAAACCAACTAAGTGTATGATAAATATTTCCCATTTATATTGTCTAATATAAAATTAGCCTTTATAGACCCAAAGTACACAAGCGTGAATTTTTAGATTGCACGACCTCTAGACAACGGCGACAGCATGTGGTAATGAACGCTTGCGCCTCCTGCAGACATTCCACTTATGGTGACTTTGTCCGGATTACCACCAAATCGATTCACATTCCTCTTCAACCATTTCAGCGCTTGCACTTGATCTTTTAGGCCATTGTTGCCCGGCGCTACAGCGTCTCCGGTACTGAAGAAACCTGTAGTGAAAAACCGTTAATCGTTTAAAATGAACCACAAGTGGGAACTTACAAAAAAATACAAATTGTGGTATTGTGGCCGTTTTTGTGTCAAGGTCTACAGACGCGTACATTGTTCTCGTTTGCTGTCAATGTAAGATTGTGTGCGTTTTTTAATATGAATTAATTAAAAACGCTATTGCTAACAGTACGTTGTACCAACTACACTAATGAATGTTGATCGTCTTCCAAGAGTTCCCTGCTGTTAATTCATTTTCATTTATTGTTATTTAAAAGCAAACGATTACAAAATATACAGACATCTCCAATGCTCTATCATAAAGAATACTTGACGCAGCCGTCTAATATTATTACAAATTATTAATGTAACACTTATAAATTCCAGAATTTTATATTTTTTTAGGAGCTCCAATCGCACGATTAATAGTGATAAAAAGTAATAGATGTGATACCTGATACCTCAGAGCTCAGTCCATAGAGACTTTAAGGTAAAGGAAATTTATAAAGGTTTACAAAACATGCGAAAATCGTACCTAGCATTTATTCTTTATTTTATAAATTCTAACACAATTTTGAGATGTAGGCAAAATATTATGTTTTTGAAAAATAACCATTTTTGTATGTTGTATATAGTAATGCAGTTTTACAATACAGTATTTCAGTGCATAGCGAATACGTTACCTATGGGACCCAGTCTGTAGTTGAGCGTGACCAACAATATATCTTTGTCCAACAAGAAGTCTGGTTTAAAGGAGGACCCTTCGAGAAACATAAAAGCGCCACCGTGAATGAACACCAACACGTCTAGTAGACGACCTTGTAGGAGGTCGTCTTGGTCGGGAAGCTACACAATAGAAACCGTAAAGCTTTGTAAATCACACCCACAGCACTCGTATGACTTACCCTTGGGGTGTACACGTTTAAGTACAGACAGTCTTCATCGCCTTCGATATCATAAGTCTCATGTGAGTATTGAATGCAGCTACTACCCGGTGTCGAGGCGTTCCAAATCCCTAGCCATGGTTTTAACGGTTGAGCTTCCTGAAATCATCAAATATACTATTGTTATTATTATCAAACTAATAGGTAAATTACAGTACAGGTACCTAAACTGTTGTAATATCTATGTGCCTTCGGTACAGACTCACTTGAAATCTTAACGGTCCAATTGGAGGTGCGGCGTACGGTATTCCTTCGAAACCGAACACGGTCCTTCCTGTCCAAGTCTTCGACACTTTACCCGACACAAGTCCACTGTCGATTTCTACTACTGGGACTTGATCAAATGCTTGGACGCAGCTAAGATTGCACGACAACAATACGACCACAGTCGTTAACGTCCATCCGAACAGCAGCCGCATATCAGTGTTTTTTTAGCACTTTAGTGTTATGGTATTAAAATAATAATATAATGTATCTAATAAGGTAAATGATGAGCTAACAGTCGTCGAATGGGCGAGTGTTCACACTGCACAAACAGTTTTATCGCGACTCTCTCCAATTACATTGCCATCATTGTACCCCGCTTCTTTTTATGATAATCCTATTAAGTATTAACACGCGTTATATAACTACCAAACAGTGTTTATCTATCATTATACGTTTGTTTTTCATTCCTATTGATCGCTATTAATTTGTTTTAGTTAAATAATAAATTGCTAACAAAATGTACAAACACAATATATTAAGATACAAAGTCCACGAGTCGTTAATGATATTCTAATCTAAGACTCGAAGTTTAAAAATAACAGCTTTATATATGTGTGTGTGTGAATTATAAGAGTCATAAAAAATACAGTGGAAACTTGCCAAGAGCAAAAATAATAAGGCACACCAAACTTACACAACAGCTACCTGCAATGTGAGACCAAGTACAGGAGTGCTCCATAAAAGTCATCCATAATAACAACAACATCGGGTACTATCAGCATCTCCAAGATATCACAAAATAAAAATAACATAAATAAAAGTGTTTAGTTAAAAATTTGTATTTATTAATAAAATTCATAAATCATTTTTTATTCTGAATAATGGCTATCTTTTATCCTAAGACATATATTATATTATTATGTTGATTTTTAGATATTAAAATTATTAGAGTTGAATTTTTTTGCTGTAAAAATCTATGGTTATTCATTTATATACATGTGAATTACCTTTATAACGCACTTGTTACTTAATATTGAATTCTTATCTTGATACATCAACGCTGGCGAGGTTCGGCTGTGATCGTTTACAATTCAAAACAACCAGTTTTATGGAATAATAAAGTATAAATTACTGTCTACCCGTCTCTTACTCCTTTCTCTCTATTTATTTAAAATATAAATCTTATTCACAAGTAAGTATAAATGTTGAAAATGTGTCTGCTAGTTACACTAGTCTAACCAAACACCAGACGAATGATTTATTGTATAACACTATATTATTAACCGTTATCGCCTTGCTGTGTGTTTACCGCGCAAATAATTGTTTTTGATTGGAGCGCATATTTTGACCTTGGAATTATTATACTATTAAATTTATTTATTTTGTGTCGAGATAACAGTTAAGGCTCGTACAGATCAAAGCATTTCTGTCGACAGTCTCGTAACGTCAAGAGCTACAAACGGTGTTATAACAGCGTTTTTTATTCTGTAGTAAAAAATTTCTGCGTTTTGATTTTGAAGATATGAAGGAAATTGTATGGTTGACCGTTTGTTTTTTTTTAACTTGGGCTCATGCCCAAAACTTGGCAAGTGTTCCCAGAGTTCGGGTTGAGTCCGGCGAGTTAGCCGGCAGTTTCAAGCAAACAATCAACGGCCGTCAAATATACGCTTTCGTGGGAATACCTTATGCCAGTCCGCCTGTACACAAACACCGGTTCAAGGTAAAATTGAATATAAGATGTTTCAAATGATACTCTATAACATTGTTACTATATAACAGCTAATACTCGTTACTCGTAATATTGCACTGTGATAACGTTGCAACGCCGGCAAGCCGAAATACATTGTAAACACTATTACCATCACCACACTAATAACAGCTATGAAACACGAGAGCGCTACAGTCGAGTGCAACTAAAAAAAAATAAATAAATAAAATATACAACTCAATAGGTGAACCACTCATGAAACGCGTCAAAGCTATTTTAAAAATTATTAACCAGAATGAGTATTAAATAAATTCGCTACACAACACGAACAAAAATACTATAAAATTAATATACTTTACTTTATATTAAGAACCAACAACTTAGCGAGTTTCAAAATAATTAACTATTAATATTATTATTTAGAACTATAAAGTACAAAATAATAATTAACGCATAGTTAAAAATACAGATTACGAAATACACACTTGGTCGAGTATTTAAGTTATTTAAAATACTTGAAAAGCAAATACGTTTTGATAAACTAAATTGTCAGTTTACAAGTTAAATTTGAGTTATTTCGTGTAAAATCGACACAACAAATTTTACACATATTTTGAAACAATATTTATTCTAAATATTAAAAAATATGTATTACTTAGTACAATTTTCACTAATTTTGTATATTTGTATGCATTATTTTATTTGAATAGAAAAATATATGATAATTTATAGTGCACTATTTTCTTCACCCTGCAAAACTTATTAATAAAATTTAAAATGTAAATCATTAGCAATTTAAACTTTAATATTATACATTTTTTTACTTTAATATTATAAATTATGTACATAATTATCCCACCTCAATATCAACAATCAACTTTAGCTATAGGCTATCTAATAGCATAAAACATTTGGAACAACACAATTAAATACATTTTGTAAATAATTGCTTTTATTCATAGTTAGTTTTTTAATGTCAATTTTAGTTTATGTTAATGTTTGAGATAAGACAATAATATTTTTTATTTTTGTCGCTAAAACACTGAACAATTTCATTATTAGAAAAATCTAATTGTAGAAATGTAGAAATACATTTTTAATATATGTGTAGTACTATTCCTAAAACAAATCAATTACAAAATACATATTGAACTCTTATTTTTAATAATTTAAATAAAATGCCACTCATAATATTCTACCTTTAAAATAATATTTCGCTGCATACAAATTTACAACTAGATATACGATTATTGCGTTTTATACAAAACTTCAAATTTCATAACTGACAATGAGTAGTCTATAGTCAAGAATCTATTCAGTTGATACAATTTTTCCAAATGACTACAAACGGCTAACTTATGAATATAATTTTTTTAAGGAGTGGAAATCATAAATAACTTGTCAAATGTTCGTAAATATTTTATATGGGGTATACACACGATCTGTCATCTGACAGATATACACTCTGTATAACTGCGCAGACCGTTTCTCAATTAAATCCCGTAGTAAAATTTAAATTTAAACGTTAGTTTTAAATAAAATGTCTAGACACATCACTCGTGTTTGTTTCTGTACACATTAATCAGCGACTTAAATTGTAAACTTGTCATTATTGATAAATATTTTGTAGTATAACTCGCTGCTCGACTATATCGAATGTTAAATATACTTAAACAGAAGTCTGTACTTAGGTTTCATTAGTGTCAATTACCAATAAACATACATTTGATCAACAGAATAAAGATAACAGAAAAGCGTATTTTTCTATTCTACAGTATAATCTTAAAATTATACCAATATTACTTTAAGCGACTTGTTGACTGTCGGTAAAAAATGTGACTGCATGTACGTCTTAATGATTATACTGCAAATACATTTGGCTAATAGCATACAGCATTTACACACAGTGGTGATGTCTGTATTTTATGTACCACGTTTTTATTTAAAATATAACATCAAAATTGTGTTTGTATAATTTATAAACACGAATAGGCGCGAATTAAGTATGAGTACTTAGTCGTTTAGAACAAAGTCAGTACAATAAAAGAACAGTTTAGTAAGATTTTAAAATCAGTCAATTAGAATTTTTCAAATTTGATCAATTTTTTTCGTATAATATTTCTCAAAAGATATGAATATAGATGTTTACCATATTTGAAAATAGTAAGATGTTAGTAGAATTTTGTTAATCCAGATTTAAAAGTCTCGTCCCCAACATAAATGATCCATTGTCAGCTTAATCTTTACATTGTTTTTACTACATTCTTATAAAATTATATAGTATTATTTTTAAATAAAAATAACATATTGTGGTTATTTAAATAAATTATGTGTTCAAGCTTACTTCCTAGTATACTAAAATTGTACTTCTTATCTATAATTTCTAGGTAAGTTCGATTATGTTACGCTAAAAAAAACTATGTTGCCGTCATATATTAACAGATTGTTATCATGTTAGTACATAGTTATTTGCTTTCAGGAACCACAACCCGTAAAACCTTGGATAGGAGTATGGAACGCCACCATCCACGGAAGTGACTGTCTTGGCCTAACTCACAAGTTCACTGCGACGGGCCAAGAGGACTGTCTGTACCTTAACGTGTACACAACCAAGGTAAGTTGTATCCGTTTTAGATCTGAAGACGATCGTTTGTACATTTTTTACTAATAACGAGTAGATTTTAAGTAACACTTGAGATAACAAGGGGAAGACGGCAGACACAGAACGTTTAACCAGATGACGTACAAACAGAAAAGTATTGAGGATAAGCAAAGGAATTTTCTAAAAGCGTTTGTTGTTCCATTCGAAATTGTCTCCTTCTGATTAGTTCGTCTGGAAAACGCTTTTGCTATGCAATTCTTGAGAGATCCCTTTCCACGTTTAATATCGTATAATAATCCCACAGTTACCTCAAGACGGTTTGCTGAATGGGGGTCTAATGAACGTGGTCGCGTACATTCACGGCGGAGCCTTCCAATTCGGAGCCGGCAAAGATTACGGTCCCGAATATCTGTTAGACACACAAGACATGGTTTATGTGTCATTCAACTACCGGTTAGGTCCTTTCGGATTCGCCTCCACCGGTGACGAAATAGTACCCGGTAACAATGGTTTAAAAGATCAAGTGGCCGCTTTGAAATGGGTACAGCGTAACATAGCCGCCTTCGGAGGCAACCCAGGAGCCGTCACCATTAGCGGCATGTCAGCCGGTGCAGTTAGCGTCAACTACCATATGATATCGCCAATGTCTCTTGGTAAGTTCATCACATGTTCCTTAATAATTAGAATTCCAGAATCTTAAAGAAAGTTTACTCTTAATATATCTAAACAAATACCCTGACGGAAACGGAACATTTCAAATGATTTACACAGCACTTGATTGAATCAGTCATTTGAGAAATTGCATAATTTATGAATACCCTATTTTTGGAAAACCAGTAAAAACCTATAAACGTGTTAGAACTTTCATGGATTGAACTATTAATTTGATCATTTTTCGGATTTATCCATGTTATCATTAGTTAGCTGGCGTTTTAAAACCACTGACGGGTCCATCCGTCAATCTTTAGAGAGATAGTCACCGTTTCACAGCACTGTCGCGATTATATTGAGTGCATCCAGCTTCGCTTGTTTCCTACCGGTCTTACTTACCGGAAAGTGGTGTCGTAATGGGTCATATGGTCATATTATTTGTGTTTTCCTTTTCACTGTTTATGGCTGTTATGCTTTTTTGGTAATCTAAATTTTTTTAATTTTGCTCTTCACTTCCTACATCTAAAATTTTCATTTATTTCAACAACAGCTGTTCCTATTATTTGACATTGATCGGTTGGTACGACTTGTGTCTTTCTTTTTTTCCTATTAAAAACTATCCGACTGTAAATACCATTTCAACTGCAAAACCCGTTTAATCGAGCCAACTTATATATCTGTAACAACTGTTAATAAGTGTGTAAGTCGATTTCAGTGATTTTACAGGGCAGCGATTTTAAACTGACCAGCTGCCATAAATCAGCATGTAATAATCAAGAACTCACATCTCTCTCAAGGGTTTCTTGTTGGTCCAACGAGTTAGACATTTATTCAAGGTGTGCTAGGCGCTTCGGACTACATCCTATCGTACTTAGTCAATTTTTATCAAAATTATACTTACACACTTATTCATAGTTGTTACAGATATATACGTTACTCGTTTGTAAACGAGCTTAGAGTTGACAGTGTTATGAGATAAACGCACGAATCTGACACGGCGTGTGTACACAGACTTTGGCGCCAATCTTTTAATCCTCGTTTTTAGATAACATTTAAAAGTGACACATAAAGTCTTCTTAGTTTGCCCTTTGATAAAGAGGGTTAATGATGGGAGGTTCCACTGCATACGTATAAGGATTACAAAATTTTAATCTCTTGCGTGGCACATAACATAAACATTAAACTATATAACATTATCTATACAAGAATTAAAATATGTACATACTATTATATATGGTTCACTTGTATGACTCGTATCATATTTGCTTAAAGGTCTGTTCAGCCGAGCCGTCGCCATGAGTGGAAGCATACATTGTCCTTGGGCATACGCAGAAAACGTTGTACAAAAAACCAAACACTTGGCCGATCTGCTGGGATGTCCCACATACTATTCCAAAGACACTATCAAGTGCCTTCGGTCAAGACCAGGAGTTGCTATCGTCCAATCGTTAAAGAATTTCATGGTGAATTAAGATATTTCCAACTACCACATTAAATCCATTGATATATTTTAGACTTAATGTAAGAGGGTAACAAGTAACAGCAATTACTCCAACAATAATCATCGGATTTTATAAACGGAGGAGCGACTTAGTATGGGTTGTTTTATTTTAGCTGGATGAAAAGAAGTCCTAATCTAACCTTGCCCCGTCTAAAATTTTAAAGAATGACGCCCTTTTTATCAGAACTGCCTCTTGAGAATATTTGATTTTCAATAAATTTGTATTAGTAATTATTTTGGGTAATAATAGAATATGCAATACTTTATGCTGAAGTGACCACCAAGGTGGATTGATATAAAAAGTATTGATGTAATAAGTGGATTGGATTGGTCGATTTGACGGCTATCGTCATAGTTGTTATTTTTATTTAATTCATGCAATTTTATATTTGTATTAAAGAACTAGAATTTCAGAATCGCCAAATAAAAAAAAAGGAACAGATATTACAATTTTAAATGTCTACAAATTTAGTTCTCAAAAAAACTTGTAAATGATATCTATAATGGCACTGTACAACAAAAACATACAGAGTTTTTCTTAAGGTACACCGATGATAAAATCGTAGGAAATATGTCAGATCATAATTGCAAGTGTATATGAAAAATTATAAAAATAAATAAATACTTTACCTTATACGGTTTACCTGTCATAAGTAAGATGAAAAATATTGGCTACCTGGCAATATACTATCAACTATAGTAGCTAATAACCCTAAAAGTTATAATAGGAAATATAAAATTATGGTGTTTACTCTTTAGCCTTGGATGTTCAATCCGTTTACGGTGTTCGGTCCGACGGTCGAGTTGGCGGGCGTCGAACGATTTTTGCCAGACGTACCCGAAAACCTACCGGTCCAAGACGTGCCGGCGTTATTCAGCTTTACCCAAGACGACGGCCTTTACCCTGCTGCCGAGCTGGTAACCCAGGACAAAGCCCTCGTGGAGTTGGACACTAAATGGTCAGAAATTGCCCCGTTCTTGTTGGATTACAACTACACCGTCGCAGACGAAACAAGAAGATCCGAAATAGCTCAAACTATAAAAACATTCTACTTTGGCAACAGCTCGATATCGACCGCCACCACGGCACAAATCGTCCAAGTAAGTAGCAGTTAGAATTTGTGTAGTACGATTTTTTGTATTATGTTTTTACAATGCACATAGATGGTCACCGATAGACTTTTCAAAGAACCCGTAGCTCGGACTGCTAAGTACTTGGCTTCGAAAAATACATCTCCGGTGCACTTTTATGAATTCGCTTACAGAGGCCGAGACAGCCTTTCGGACAAATACTCTGCGACCGGTACATCCGAAGGCCTGGGTAAGTAGTAATCATCGATACGGTCATAGCAACTAAAACTTCCTATTTATTCTGCTTTTGGGTTTCTGTCGATTTTTTAAAAACATTAAGGTGTGGCACATGGCGACGATACTATGTATATCATAAAGACTCTGTATGGTAATCCGCACGAAGTCGCGGAGGACACCAAATTAATTCCAGTCATGGTAAACGTTTGGGCGTCGTTCATAAAAACCGGGTGAGTAACAACAATAAGTCAGAATGCCTATGCTTTGCTGACTTTTAACTAATAATTAACTAACTTATAATTATTATATTAGTATTCCGGAAGCAAGTAATGGCACTTCCTGGTCGCCAGTGTCTCAGAATCCAGCAGACCCGTTGCAACTAATTAAGATCACCCAAACTCAGACTTTCGAACCGACGGAACTGCCTGATGCCGGTAACAACGCATTTTGGAAAAGTCTGCCGCTAACCGAATTTGCTACGGTTTTACCGGCAGTTGCTACAGGCCATAATGAACTATAATATATTTATTTTTTAAAAAACCCACATATTCATTGTCTTTGGGTCGTCCTACACCGTTGTATTTTAGAAAATTAATGCATTTTATTTGCATGTAAAACTATAAAAATAATTCAGTATTAAAATATATATATATATAAATACTTATACTTTTTTGAAATTTTTTTAGAAATATTATTATTATTAATGTACATCGATTATTATTACTGTTTGTATTAATAATAATTGCGTAGTTTTTTTTCCATCATCAAACTCAGCGACTGAAACGGTTAATAGAAGTTTACAAATTGCGTCAATATAGTATCTTTTGTTGACTTATCGAGCTGTACAGAATAATATTTTCGATTACTACGAGAATATGAAACTATAGGGTAGCTAAAATCTGAACCTATGTTTTTAAATCTAACGGTAGGGAGTTAAATACAACAAAAAAATTTTCCTCCGGCTACCTTATGTAAATCTTGCCTTTATGGCCGACCAAAAATTAGTAAAAAAAAAGACACAACAGTTTGTAACTGGTAACGGTTTGTTTATCTACATTATTTGTGGTTTTCAAGTTTCAATCGGACAAAATGTATTTTATATCTATTTTTTAAAAGTTTAATTTATTAAGAAAAGCTTGTTCATTAGGTGAAATTCGTAAGGAATTTTTTTACTTAACTAATAGATTATTAAAATATATATATATATATATATATAAATGAATGTCTGTCTGTCTGTTTGTCCTATATGCATTAGTACACCATTCATTTGATCGCCATGATACTTTGGGAAGTTGTTGAGTACACTCCCGCGAACCTAACTGGCATAATACTTTTCGAAAATTCCAATGGAGATTGAGATGCGGGTGGGAATGGGTGAATGGGAATTATTTCACTCAGCCCTGGCAGACTAAATCTCGGGCAACGCCGGGTCCGGACAGCTTGTATATTTATAAAAATTATTACCCTGACCCCCCCCCCCCTAAATACGCCACTGGAGTGCTGTGATCACAAATCAACAACGTGCAAGGGTCCTTGTTCTTTTACCCTCGAGATTTGGTCGAGTCTCGCTATTCGTTATCGAATACGAAAAAAACACAAATATGAACAATGTAACACAAAGAACAATGACATAAATCGCCCGAGCAAGCAGTGTAAATAATGAGTCATTCCTCTAAATTTGTCGTTAATTAATCGTCATATACAATTCTTTTTAAAAAAAAACTTATCGACTATAATAGTACTAAATAACGACCAAGGTTGGTCTTTGTAAAAATAAAAATACATCTTTTATTTATAATTAAAAATTATAATTCATTAATATATAAAATACTAAAATGGTAATTACAGACAAATACAATAGTACTTAAGCTAGCTGCACAATGATTTGTAATGGGGTGAAGATCAGCGTGGGTTAAAAAGTAATCGAATACTTAACCTATATAATAAATATTTTAATACTTCATTTAGTTAGGTATTTGTTATTATTGTACTACTCAGCAGCATACCCAAACATCATTACGTGTACAATATTATCATCATAGTGCCAACATCGTCCTCGTTATGAATTACCCAACCGATAACATGAGATATTACAAATTATTACTAAGTTACCCATGAATCATGATCATCTCATGATTAACCAGTAAAATTGTATTTACTATTTATTAATTAAACGTAGGTACGCACGAGGCTCCCCGCTCCATCGATTGTCGAATCATACAATATACCTAACCAATCCTAACTAACTAATCGTTATTACTTAACCTTTAGCCTCTAAGCAATTCAAGTAAATAGGTCACTCGATAATTGGTACAAAACTATCATATTAATTAATTGTCTAACTCTTATTAGGGTCTAGACAGAGTTTAGTTTAAATTAATTTAAGATTTTTCATTTTAATTATAAAATGAAAATGTTATACACAATTAAATAAAACACAACCCCTAATATATTTGCTGCTTCGGCACCAAAAATACATTTTTATTGACACTGCCTTTAATAATATTAAATTATCATTAGGTCATTAGATCATTTTTCTCTCCAGAACAAATTAAATCTATTTGTTAAATATAATATTTATTTTTAAAATCAAATCAACTAGCTAAAACCAATTGAAGTTTGAATACATTTTGAATAATTATTAACCTACAAATGACGAAATTATAATTTAATTAAATAATATAATTCTTTGGATGTTTTAAAAAATGTGTTATTTAACACATTCCTATGCATGTGAAAGTCATATTTATACATTTTATTATATAATCGTTGTGTAAGCCGCATTTCCCATGTCTCTTAGTTTACCGTTAAAATAAAAAAAAACCAACTAAATGTAAACAATTATAATATATATTATATACTCATTTCTTAACATTAAATAATTAAATATACAATTAACACATAAATAATAGATAATAATTTAAATTTATAGTCAACTTTCAACATTGTTCTTTTTCAGGTAAATAGTATAAAAAAATTTTTTGGGTATAGTGGTACAATTTATAATTAAAATTCATAAACACTTTATGACACCCTCAATAAGCGTAACTTAATGTACAAGAAGCAAAGCACAATATTATCGTTACTAATCAGTGTCAATATTTTTAACAGTCAGTCAACCGTTTGAAAACTATTGACGATCGAATGGATCAATATGAAATATAAAATTCAATGTAATTGTGAACAATCTTAAGCTTCAGTAAATTTTTTTTCATAAAAATTTGTAATGCTTATATCTTATTACTAATAATAAAATTAAGCATTTATAAAACTTAGATATCATTATTTCCAATAACAATTTTTTACAATAAAAATTGGACATTATAATACAATCAATTTAGTTAATTTTTTCCCATACGCTTGGCTTTACAGTATTAAAAATTGAGTTTATCTTTGAAAGCAATTCTTTTATTTTAACTATGAACAATTTAATAAAATATATATCATTGGTTGGCCATGGCAGTATATATAACAAAAAATAGAAAACTGATTCTCGTTTCATTTTTTTTAAATATGTACAGGGCGATTTATTTTTTAATATAAACAAATCTATACACATATTGTAAGAATGTTATGCACCCTGTATATATTTTAAGAACCATCAGTTTACATTCTTATATACAATACTTCATTTAGAGTGCATTTTAAATGATTCTTTTCGCTTTACACTGATATTAATAATTGTAGTGATGTATAAATTGAATAATGGCGATAATAGACATGTTCAAAAAAGGCAGTATATATTTGTATTATTTTTTTTTTTAAGTCTTAAAGTTTATTTCAAATATTTAATGAGATTAACTCATTGTATTTTCCATTCGCTCGCTTAGTTTTGTCTTATTAATTAAATACTATTAAACCACAAGGAACTCGAATATCAAAATAATAATAATTTGTTAAATGCTTATTTATATTAATAAAAAACTTAGTTAATTTAAAATAAATCTTATAAAGGAAAAACAATATTTACTTTTTACTTTCTAGAATTTTGTTATACATATATAAAAGTTAAAAATGAATAAACAAAATATTTGAAGTTGGTGACAACTTGTTTTTTCTCCTTTAGTACCTCAAGATTTAACAGTCTTTTATGCGTTCTTTAAGATTCTCAAAAAAAAAAAACACATGCAGAGGTTAATAACAAAAATTTACTTTATATTAATAAATACTTTCCGAAACATTATTGAGGCAGATGTATACATAAATAATAAGTAGCTTAAATTATATTTTACTCTTGCCTCGTGAAAACTCATCAAATATCAGACTTGATAAATGGCAAAAGGAAAAAAAACACTTTGCTCATCTCCGCTTGAAACATAATTAGAACTTTTTACCAAAAATGATTTTATAATATAAAACAATATGAAAGATTAAACACAAGAATATGCGACTGACGTCACGACAGTCGACAAGTAGTCATTTTTTTAACATTATACATGATTGGCTTGTGCCAGGCTCGTTTAGATGGATCGTTAGCATCATCAACAGGAGCTGATGTACTCCCATTCTGTCGATCTGCGATATGTGTAAAACAAGTGACACAATGAGTTAATATAAATCGCTAATAAGTCTAGTGGCGTAGTCAAAAGGGTACACATTTATGTACACACCTCCCACTTTTCTATGTAAACGAATATCAAAAATTTGTGTACTCTATCTGCAGATGCGTAATATTATGAATACTCATAACAGGAGGTGGCACAGCTAAACCCTTAAGACTATGCCTATGCTAATAACTATAGCAACCACAATATTAACAACTTTTACAGTTTACTGACCTCTTAACATTTCGGTAACATATTCGTCTTCGTTTTCTGAGGCCGTGTCGTCAAGATAGTTGAACAGATACGGCAGCACAGTCATATTATGCATTGTATCCCCACGTAACGGAGGTATAGGTACTTTTTCAGACGTTTTAGGATGTCTACAAACAACCCAACTACAACACGTACAAATATTTTGATATTTTACACTTCCAAAATAAAGTTTTTATTTTATGGTTTCTTTCTCTTACGGGTGTGTTTGAATTGTTCGCAGGGAAAATCTATTCTTTGGGTCTTTTTTAAGCATTCCAACTAAAAGAGATCTTAATGGTTCTGTTACGTAGCCCGGGATTTTTATGTTACATTTACCGATCGCTTCAAACAGCCTGTATACATTGTCGCCTTCAAATGGATACTCTCCGGTAACTAAATAATACCTGTTTATAAAATAATGCTAAATTAAATACACATACAAATACTATTAAAATGTATCAGTTTTACAGTGTTATCATAAGCTTACAAAGTTACTCCGCTACTCCAAATATCGATCTTAAAGCCAGAGTATTCATCAGCCCCATTTGCGATTTCAGGAGGTTGAAATGCGGGTGAACCTTGACTAGATGCACAAATACCTTCCGGATCAAATGGTGACAATGCCTAAATTATAATTAAAAAAATAATAATAATTATTATTAGATAAATGTAGTTGGCTATAATAGGAGATTGCAAACAACAGCATACAGTTTAAATCAGACCTAGACTTTTTTTTATTTATAAAAAATAACAAGTAATTTAAAAATAATAAGAAATTAGAGTTATTTGAAATAATTTATTAAATAATTTATAATTTCAAATAATAATATATTTGAAAACATTTGTATTAAACTGCTTTAAATAACCAGTTATTTTAAAGCATTTTTTTGTTAAAATTTTATTATCTATGCTTTAATTTAAATAAACAATTTTTAGACGAAAATTGAAAAAATACTTAAATCCTTTTTTAACAGCTTCCTTCAATAAGTTAAGATGTTATTCTTTGTTGTTTAAATTTGTTAAAATAAAAATTTTATTGAAATTACTATTTTAGAATTTTTTTAAAATTATTTAAAAAATTATTAAAACTTGAATGGGGTATTATATTTACAGTATTTACACACCTTGTGGTATATCCCATTTGATTATCAGATAATTAAATGGGATATACCGCAAGGTGTGTAAATACTAAATAGTTATTATTTAGTTATAGTTTTTAAATAATTTTTATTTTAATCATCTGAATTGTTATTTAAATAAAAAAATAACTTAAATAATGCCCAAGTTAGGTTTTAATCAATAACAACGTGTCAAAGAAGACTATGTATATCCAACCGCTTTTATTTAATTTAAATAATAAATGTTTTTATACAAATTTCAACTGTTTTTTGTTTAATCTCCTGTTTGATTTTAAGACACACTTCACTACTGGCTTTTATTGATTAAAATGTAATTTAATGGACACATAAAAGATGGGGGATGTCCATTTTTTTTACAGACAATTGCCCGCAAATTTGAGGAACAGCCATTAAGTTTTAAACTGCAGGTAGTGTGAGAAAAACTGACACAATCGGTCGCATCGCTCCGCCATATACTTAAATTATTAATGTGAATATAAAACAAACCTCAGCAGTCCCAAAATCGGAAATTTTAAGAGTTTCATCCAGGGTGAGCAATAAGTTCCCGGGTTTTATATCTTTGTGAATAATTCCACGGCTATGTAAATACTCTAATCCGTTCATTAATTGACTGAAATAACTAAAAGTAAAATTTTTAAAAATAAAAATGAATAGTTGTAAAATATACATAACATGTTATACTTATATGAAAATATATCAATGCACTTATTACTTATGGGCTTGCCAACATGGAAATTTACTGCCTGGAGAGTGCTCAAGCATATCTTGAAGACCGCCAACGCAGTACTCCATTAATAAGTACATTTTTTCTTTCTCTTCGTTTACTATTACGTCTACTAATTCTATGACATTTAGATGTCTCAATGTTTTCAATAATTGAATTTCACTTGGAAAAGAAATATATAAAATACAATTGTAATTAATAAACAGAAAAAATAATTTGACTTATTTTTTAACTATATACTAAAATATACTTCTAATAATTTTATAAAACTATTATGTCTAACACTTGCCCGTGAAAAGTAACACATTTGGAGAGTATTACTTAATGTCGTTACATATGCAAATACACTACTCTATATGGCAAAAAAACAAATTACACTACTTCTCATCGGTAAATGAAACATATTAGTTTTCGTAATGACGTGTGTGACACGGTTTAATTATTATTTGTCTAAGGGGAAAAATGTATGATACTGTGACGTGTATAAATACATCAAATAAAACTTATTTTTGTAATAGCAAAAAGTGTAAACTATAAATGCGTTAAAATAAGTCTTATTGTTTAATTTAAAAAGACACAACTATGCAATCATACTGATGCATTAGGTATTTATATATTATAGTCTAATAGCAAACATTAAAAGACAATTGACTATTAACAAATCATATGATAATAATGCTTTGTTGATCGAAATGCATAAATGAATGACCATATAAATACTATGTTATCTGTGTCAATTTAAACAACTAAAACTATGAATAGACAAACGACAGTGCTTATACATTTTTCTGTTAAATACATAATAAACTATATGTCATAATTACTTGAGGACATTTTTCTCTCCATTCGGAATACGCTTTAGTTTCTTCTTCTTCAATATTTTGGCCGCACGGCGCACTAGTGTTATCGAATCGAGTACTTCTTTCACTTTGCCGTAACTACCTTCGCCCAGCAAATCGCCCATAACATATTTGCCAACCATTTTACACGGTTTCTTTTGAGCACGGTACACCACTTCGTCTGGATCGAACGAATTGAACAGACCCGTCTGGAGGCAATTGCCCGCTGACCAGTCAGGTGGAACATTTAACAAGTCTTTCAGCACATCCTCGTCTTCTTCTATCGCGCTGGGCGTAATGTCCCCGTCATAGTCCCGCTGTTCCATCATCATTAAACCATTTTTTTTTTTTTCAATTTAAACTTATCGGTACTAGTTATCACTTATCTATAATAGTCTGTCGTTGTTCTTTTCAAGTCCCTGAATTGAGCGTGTAAAATAACCATTCTAACTATATCGGAAAGTTCGTTAAAAAATAAATATCAAATCAACGACCATGGTGACAAAATATTGTAAAATAATATGCAATAGCGCATTCAGTATACTATTTTACTATCGTCGCAGGTCTGGAATTTGTTTTATCACTGTTGTTTAGTTGTTGACATTTTGATAATTTTCATTGTAGAGTAAACACCGAGTGAACAATCATATGATCCGACCAAGGTCGTCCCGTACAAAGATATTAAAAAAAAAAAACACACAATTTTTAATACTTGCAAGTTGCAGACTGCAGTACAGTTTCTCGACAAGCGACTGTGAAAACTGAAAGCGGCATAAAATATTAAATAAAAGAAATTTATATCTTATACTTAAAATGATAACCAAAATTCATGTTATAATGAAATAAAAGCCCACTAATAACGCAACAAATATAAATTGTTTCAAAATGTTTTTTATTATTTTTAAATCATGTTTTGGCAAGAAAATCAATGTTTAAAAAATAATATCAATCTAACTGTGTTCTTTAAATATTATTAAAATATAGAAATATCATCATAATACTTAATACATTTTGTAATTAGTATTTTCGAAACATTTACCAAAAAAACGATAATAAAATATTTTTAATTAATATTAAAAATATTTGTTTTGCCAAAAGGGAATTAGTATAAATAAATGCTTAAAAACATAATTATGATAACTTAGTTATGGCCTAATTATTTATACTTATCTACTAAACTTTGATCATTAACAAGTAAAATATAGGTAACTGTAATTTATAATAAAAAATTTAACTATACTAGATTTTTTCTAACCAACAAAAATTTTAACTAGATGTATTTTAAATACAGTGCTATTTTGATGTATGTAGGTAACATCAAATATGCCATTATTCTACTTTGTTAACTTATGTATTAAATTACAGTTATTAAACTTTAAATTTAAAATCAACAATTTATAAATAGTAAATGTATATTAAATTAATTATGAATTAATAAAAAATGTAGGTATGTCGACTTTGTCAGTTTCAACACTAATATGAGGATTTGTTTTTTTTTTAAACTATTTATAATTTTAGGGTAATTTTCTTAAACATTATTTTTTTAAGGTATTTTTTCTCAACATGCTATATTTTTAAAAACAAATATATTCAGTAATTAAAATGTTTTACATTATTCAATTAATTACTAAATAATAACCCTATGATATATACATTGAGAAATTAAAAAAAATATATATTCACTAACAATGTAGTTTTTTTGTTCTCATAAGGATTTTCATAAGTGCAATATTCTTTAAAGTTTTTAAAAAATAATTTATTTATTATAAATAAAAGTGCAGAAATATTATAAATTTTGACTTAAATTATAATAAAAATTATTACCTTGTAAATAATAATATACGTAAAACAATTAAAAAAATAAAAGCATACAAATATAATTTAAACAATATTCAACAATGATATACACATATAAATAATTTCTATTATAAAATAAGAAGTTCAATGTAATTCAATAACTTAAAAGTAAGAATAATATTATGTTACAATTTTTTTGATTAAATCCTGTCATTGCTTGCTTCCATTTTTCATTAAATATAATATTCTATTACTAAAAACAAATTGACAATAAAATTAATACTAAACACACAAGTTTAATATCAATTTAAATTGGTAACTGCAATCAGCGCCTTGAAAAATAAAATACAAATTAAATTGTAAAACAAATATACTTCACACTACCAACCAGTGTATTCTATTCTAATTTCTCTTTACCTCTAAAATTGTAGCAACACTCCAAGCTTGAGTTGGACAAGATCCTGAGCAGAACGCTCCATCCTTATTTGTTAATTCTGGTAGTCCTCTCCACACCGAAGTTCTTAAATGCTCGTAGTGTTTGGCGAGAATACTTTGAATTTCCGATTGTGTTTCTCGTTTTTTTGTTGAAAATATAAACTTAGCTCTTAAAAGAAAGCCAACAGGCCATAACCACTCCTGGAAAACAAATATATTTTAAAAATTGTTAAATAATCATTCATTTAGTTACTTAGTAGCTTACCGGTCCTTGATGATAATTATAACCGTTGGCCACTTTAGAATCGGTTGTATCGTTATCGTTATTATAATAACCGTCATAGGCCCAGTCAGTTGGATCTAATGTTTTCATACCGAGTGGACCAAGAAGCACATCAGACGCTGTTAGAATGGCTATTCGTGCATTTTCTGGTGTAAACAATTCTGGAGCCTAGAAATTATAGTGTATGTTGGCAAATTTATAATTTGAAAAAACTTATTTATAAATTATTACTACTAATACTTACCACTACCATTGCAACTGGATAATTACACCGTAATTGATAATCGCCCCATTTGTTTGAAGCCCCGACAGTGTCCTTATAAATACCTCTGCGGTTAATAAGTTCTGGATATGGTTCCACTTGAGTATGGTTGACTTTTTCTGTTGGTATCCAAAAGTATGATTCAAAATTTGATTGAATTTTTCCATTCCATTCTTTATATGTCCATGTAGTATCCGAACCTTAACAAATAAACATTCGTCATTTAAATTTGATATAACACTTAAACAATATAAATTATACATAATAATTAATATTAATGTAATCATAATGTAGACATACTCTATCAGTGTTTTTACACAATTTCATTGTTATGAGTAAGTTTTCAATAAAACATTAATTTAAAACATATTATTTAAATGTAAAAAAAAAAAACATTTTGAACATTTTTAAATTGTTTTTCTAAAAGAAAATATAATTAAAAAATCATTCACATTTCCAATAATTTCCAAACAATGCACACAGCGTAAACCTACATTTACACTACTGAAAATATATCTTAAATTATTAGAGCTCACCATCCTTATTTTTACGAGTTACTCCAGAATATTTAAATTTATTTGATTTGTTCAAGTCGGCCAAAAACCCAACAACAGCTTTGGATAAAGCGACCAATTCTATAGCTGATCCATCACGTGGTGAAGCAGGTCGACCTCGGTTACCGGCTTTGTCCGAAGAACCCATTTTATCCATCCAAGTACCACAATTCCATTCATTACCACCAAAAACAAAACCCGTCAAAGGTTGTACTCCAATTTGGTTGTCAAATCCTGGACTCTTCATATGAGCATCAATTGCGATGCCAGCATTGCGTTCACGGAAACACAATCCTTGGAAGTGTACTGACATAACTTCCTGGATTACCTCATATAATGGTTGATCCTTGAATTTATAAGTATATACATTAATTACATTTTTATACTTATTTAAAATTACTCAGTTATCTAAACATACAACTGAGGTTGGTTCAGAGTCATCAGTAGGGAATATCCTATTAACTGGATCATTCAAAATACTAATACCCCCAGGTACAGTTTCGACATACTGCCGAATCATATACAGCCACCACCAAACTGCATCGCGGCAATTATACCTAGGATTGATACCTCCATCCAAAAGATTTGGAATTAGACCATGTCTCAAGCAACCACCAAACGCCAAAATTATATACCTAAAATATAAAATTAATAATTTAATAGAACTTTAATAATGAAATTCTAAACAAATATCGTACTTGACTTCATCGTAGCGTCCAGCAAGTAATAATAGTCCTCTGATTGCAATAAAAGTGTCTCGACCCCAAATTCTCATGTATCCAGTGGAAAAATGTGGTAACCCAGCCGAAATAGATACACATTCTGGTCGAGTTTTTCCGTCATGCGCTGTGTAGGTTTTGAGCATAGGAGCCAAGAGATTTTGGGAAAGAGGTGGAAGAGGGCTTGATTTAACTATCCCTGCAAACTGAATTGAAGCGAGCGCTAAACTTTTACAAAATGAGGATCCGTTTTTTATATCGCTGTGCATCAATGACCATGTACGATCAAGCAATGCGTTATAAACTTTCCTGATGACAAGTTCAAAATAGCAAGGTACTAAAAAAGGTGGTAAGTTTTTAAGCGGTTGTAAAAATGTTTCTAAAAAATCTCCAAACTGATACAGTGGATTGTGTTCAAATTCTTTTTGCTTTAAACGTTCATAAATATAATCTATAATCCAGAAACCATTGCGTAAATTTGCACACAACGGGTGGCCAAGATCATTGTCAGGAGCCACGACGTCCAAAACTGACATTACACCTTGAATACCACAGTACACTAGTTTACCAAATCCTGGTATATCATATGCTTTTCCATCGTCTTCTTCGGCACATCTGAACAAAACATAATTCAAGTCTGTTAAAGTCAAACGACTGACTGCTTGCACTAAATTGATTTCAGTCAACAATTGTTTAGTTGTAGCTATTGTTTTTTCATTTGGTACGGCGCTAACTATTACAATACATCCAGGTTTGAAGTTTTCGGTAAAGTTAAAACGTACTGATCTTTCATTTATAGGTACGATACTTAGCATAGTACAGTCATAGGGATTAATGTTTTGCTTGATTTGTAAAGTGCAATTTGTGAGGCCATTGATTATTTTTTCATCTTTCACAAATACTTCTCCGCGAATTTCTCTAAGAAAATATAATATGTCAAAATAGTAGTGTTGTAAAGTATACAGTGTTTGGTCATTAGGGTGTACTACACGGAGTACTCACCTCCCACTTGTTTATACATTCTTTTACTCTGAAAAGTGTGAGGTGGGTATACCAGTATACTTATACCCTTATGACTACACCACTGAATATGTATAAAAATATAAGTATGTCCAAGTAAAGATAATTCTTACTTATTTTGAACGCAAGCTTCAATGATCACACTTTTCACTTGACCATCCACGGTGATGCCCTTACCCAAACCATTTTGTGGTAAAGGTAAAAAGGGAGAACTCGTGTTTTTTGTAAACGCAGTATAAGACATTAATACAACTGTTTCATGTGTTTTACTATTGTGTCGTGTTACACAAACAATATCAGTGTCTACTTGATCGACAAAGACTTGATCAAATCCACGTAGTCCGAGATCATAATGTAGGTCGTTTAATGCTCTTTTACCAGCCATTATTCCCGTGTTCATGTTGACAAACTCGTCAGACCAACACATATATTGCCTATCTTCTTTGACAACATCAATCTAAAAATATATTTATTTAATTATATGATAATATCATATCATTATTATTATATATTATTATAAAAACATACATGGTGTGGTATTAGTTGATCGTAGCCCATATTACTTCCACTAGCACAGCATGCCATTGATACCAATGCTGCACTGGGTAACAAATCATAAACCGATCGCTTTTCAACTGGAGAAGGATTGTCATGGGTTTGATCCATAAACAAAGCATGTGCTATCGATGGACGCAAATCTTGTTCCTGTGGTTTCATAAAAGCACCGACAGGATCACCACCATAACGATAAACCAAACGTCCTAATTCATGCGAATCCCACGCAGACATGGCTTCTAAAAAATGTACATAAAATGTTTTTATACCTTTTTTATTATTATCATTATTATAATTTAAATAATAATAAATAAATAAAATATAATTTATATTGGTGAGAAAAAACTATATCTTATAACACAACTGACATAATCATAAAAGTTAGCTCGTCATATTTATTAGACAGATAGGTGAAAAGCCAAGTTAAATCGGATGCCATTTTACTGTATATTATAAAATTAATGCTAAGACATATCAACTAGTGTCTAAAGCAAATTTACCTCGAATCAATGATGTTATGCCGAGTCTGTTAACAAATATATTATCAGCTGAATCAGAATTTGTAAATAGTTCTGCTACAACATACAAGTCTGGTTTAATTTTCCGGGCAGCGTCAAGCAAATACTAAACATTTTAATAATATATATATGTATATATAAAGATTTCAAAATACCTTATACCTTAACGCTAACATAATTTCATATTAATTTTAAGTAGGTAGAAAATGAAAAAATATTTATAAAAACTACCTCTGCAAGGTGCAATGGCGTTGAATGGCAATTATCCAATCTGACCCCGTCGAAAATTTTCACAGTTTCTTCAACGTAACGCTTCATATAATCCCAAAGGAAAGGGCAATCTTCAGGATTATCTCCAAACCTAAGAAATAATGGAAACAAAAAATACAATTTAAAAAGATCAACATTTTTTTTTAGAAATTTACCTACCTTAATTTAACACTATCTCCCCATGCTATTAACTCTCTGCGTAGATATACTTCAGAATTTGGACCGGCAAAATTTTCAATAGGACTTCCACCCATTACCCATCCGTTATGTGCCATAACAAAACGACCATTTGAGGAGTACAACACTTCCTCAGCACTTAAGTCTTCAAAATCTTTGAAGTATCTGTTAAATCATTAAACACATAAATGTAATATTCTTTCAAAAAGAAGAAATTAACAGCAACAGTACTTAAAGCGATCACAGTACTTGCGTTAGTCACTAAAAGTATAGCAAGGGGTGCTTTCTTAACTGAGTGAAATAAAGATAGAATTTTTAACTCGTAAAGCCTTTGCACCTTAAAAGCTGAATGAAAGAACATCCGACCAGAAATAGGTAGATGTGTTTCTACCCCTTTTAGGGGGAAAACATAGCTGATTTTTTTTTTAAAACTAATGTTCAATTATTGTAATGTCAACCAGAATATGTCTCTTTGCCACAACATTTCAGAGCAACTGCTGATCAGGAAGTGAGCCAAATATTAATTAGAAGATTGATCTCTGACAAACAAGTGAAGCAGCGAAATCAAAGTATGTAAAAAAAGATAAAATTGTTCCTCGACAATTGGTTTAGTCGTAAATTATGTAAAATTGTCAATAGTACAAAAATGATGAGGAAAACAAATTATTGTATGCATTCTAAAAAAACTTAAATTGTATCATTAATTTTAGTGAATGATTTCAGGGTGAAATTAGTCATAATGTAGATAATAAGATTTTATAAAAAATTGTATTTTAATTAAAAATGTTAGGCCTGCATAATGCATACTAAAATGGTCATATTATGTTTTCATTTTTTTTACCTCGGCACTAAGGGTTCTTTTATAGATACTTTGGGTATTCTTGGACCGTCTGGCTGTATCCTGAAATATCGAATACCTGCAATACAATTATCTACGGCGGCTACTATATGAGCTTGAATTCTATCATAAACGGCACTATTCATTTCTTCTAATTTTAATTTCAATTCATAGCTACAACGGTGAAGTCTTGTATCTTCATCAAAACAATCACTCCTAAAAATTTTTTTTTAAAAAGTTATTTATTTTTAGAATAAAAGAGTAATTATTATTTGTTATCTAATATACCTATATATATTGTATAACGGTAAAACTTTATTCATATCAACAGTTGCAGCTAATCTTCGGAATTCCGGATCAGGAATAAGCGCTAGTTCATCATTGTCATCATTTTTTGAATTTTTGGCTAACGGTGGTGGACCGGAACGAACCATATTTTGAAACTCCGTTACAATTTTTTCAACATTCAGTTGATACAGTTCGTGAATTTTCACTTTCGGTAACAATGTAGTCAGTAAAGCGTGTCTAATAGACTTATAAAAAATATAATCAACATTATAACGTATTTCTATTAAAAACAATATCAACATAATCAGTGCCACAGTCATATATGCTGAGTGTACCCACCTCCTGCTTTTCTATGTATACAATACATATTATATATATATAAAAGTGTCGAGTACACACAGCATATACCCTTGTGACTACACCACAAATAAAGAGCCGTTATTAAAATGTGTAAACAACAATTTTATTAAAACTTACTCCAAGATGCTCTTCACTATTGACAGTAACGGGAACACCAGAAAATTCCCACATGCCTTTTGAAACTTCTACACTAAAGTGATACAAGTGATAATCCAACAAGTAGGCTGGCTTTAAATAAGGGCAATTTACCAAGTTGTAAGCACACTCGGGATGTTCCATTAACCAAGGACTCTCGTTAGCCGTATGATTCAGTACTATATCACAAATACTCATTACCTAAAAAAAAAAAAAAAATAATAGCACATTTGTATGGGTTATACATAAAATCTTATGAAAAATACTTACATTCCATTCAACTTTGATCTCATCTAATAAAGATTTAATATTATTGTGGGTGACTTTATGATTGTCGTAATTGAACAATGGGTTCAAAGCGAGTTGATCTTTTAAACTGTAAGATGAATTTGAACCTCCTAATTCCTTAAAGACAATAATATTTTATTGTATAAATATAAAATATTTTAACTGAATAAATTAAGTTAATTAATAAAATAGAATAGAAACAGCTGAAGCATCCCATGTAACACCATTGCTGTCCCCTCTTTCTAGGGAGATATCCTGACCAATACTCTAACCAAAACAAAATGCTGGACAGACCCTAAACCAGGCACTTGTCCTTTACTATAAATAATACGGTTTTTTTAACATACTTGAATGGGTGTAAAATGCACCATATTATAACCCGCTTCCTTAGCAACTTTCAATTTTGATTTCCAAGAAGACAACGGTCCCAGACATTTTGTCAACACGGAAACTGCTTGAATTGAATTTAAAGGAATATCTTTTCCTCCAGCTGATAAGTTTGGATCTACGCAAACATAACCACTCCCTTTCCTAAAATAATTTTGATATTTAATTACTAGGTAATATTACTTAACAGAAATAATAAAATTATACCTTTTTCCTTCGCACTCAAAATAGTAATGAAAAGAACCAGCCATGTTCAATAGGACAAGACATGATAACGAAGAATCATCATTAATTATTTCATCTGTAGTCCATTCCCGAATCCATTCTAGACGTCGATATGAACCTCTTTTAAACAATTGCCCGTCGGCCGGTATGTCAGTATAAAGAACTACGTCCTGTCCAAAAAGTGAAGGACCTATACGGAACTCCAAGTACCATCCTATAAAAAGTATAAGACATATTATTTACTACACTAATACGAGAAATAAAAATAATTAGGCAGATTTTTTTCTCATATGATTTAAGATGTACATGCTAATGTTTATATTATATAAATGTAAATACCTTTTTTAAGTCGATATAAAGTATTTTCTAGTGATTGATTGTCTCTGAGAGTGAGTATTCGTGTTTGATTAGTACATGACCGTTTAACCTCCATGGTTTTTTCTCTGTAAAATATGGATTTAAACACTAACATGATTAAATTATAGACTGTTGGCCATAAAATGACAACTGTTAACATAATTGAAATAAGAAGCAAAAATAGGACAAACATGATTTAATTGCAAGTTCGGGGAATAATTTATTATTAATAGCATTCAAATTTCTATTTTACCTTATCTGTTCGACCTTTTAACTCGGCTGATTCCTATGTATTATAATATTATGTCTATCAATGAGAAGTGAGTACAAAAATGCTATTATATACCCTACCAAATACATATAAAGCCGTACAATACAACAGGCAAGACAAGTAGGGTTAGTAAAGTAATAAAGCCATTCCCAAATAAAATATCAATCAAAAGTATTATTCCATAGTGCCCATCCAAAGGCCATCTATGATTAAACGTGTTTAATAACAATAAAAACAATTTGAATAGGTAGAATACATGTGTGTACTGTGTACACGTTATTACACACACGACCAATATTTCATAAATACACGCAGTGAACATGCTATTATTATTATTATTGTTTTTATATTATTCTTCTACGGTACAATAAACAATAAATGATGACCAATACCTGATAAAAAAAAATACCTATAATAAATAATATTCTATCGATATTGGTGCGAAAAGTATATTAACGAAAACGTAGCGTCGGCCGGTCAAACGTTCGTTGGAAAACTTATTATCCTTCTAAGATTTTTTACACTGTTCAAGTAAAAAAAAACGATACAAACGCCCGCTGGTATATCATAAAGTAGGTAATATACTGAAGTCTGAGCGGTCAGGAGTCAGCGGGAAGATAATATTGTAGGGATTTAGTTTTGACAGGCTCTAGTGTATGCAGTAAATATAAACTGATAACCTTTGGCGAACACAGTACACACAAATCACAACCCGCAAACGAAAACAAGGCTCTTGACCGTCAAAAAATGTACTATTTATAGCTCTCCGCTGGCTGCTGATAAGCAAACGACAGCACTTCTCTGTATTTCGACGAACCGCGTACAGTACTTGTGGCGTGCCGCATAAAAATAAATAGAAATACCACCACTCAATAACGGCAAAACTACATAGCGATCGAGTTATGAAATAGTCGATAGTTTTGCACATGAATAATTAATATAATAATATATTCGTTCAACGTGTACACACATTGTACATAAACGTTGAACGAATCGTTTTCAATTTATCGCACCCAGTTCGAGGCTGTATAGAAAAGCCGTATACGACACACGCCACACCAGAAAACGCATAAAACACTAAACGACAACCGTTTAACCATATAAATATCATACACAATGCCAACACAGAATCCATACAATGTAAAACTCACTCCGTTTTGCCGACTTTTTTCTCCGCCTTAGCGTTTTGTTTAAGATTTTCAGCGGGCACATCGTCAACGGTTTTCGGCGAGGGGGACGTCCTTAGTAAACATCCATAACACAAATAATTGTAAAAAAATAAAAAATTGATGTAATTTCGAAAAAAAATCTATCGACATCTGAGACGACTTACCGGGCCGAAGTTTTCGGGATTACTTCGTATTCAGACAAAGTGTTGTCACCTTCTAATGAAGTTTTGTCGACTTGTTCGGAGAGAGAATCGGTTTTGGACATTTTGACCATCAGTCTGACAAAAGCGGTCATGTTGATATTAAAATCATACCTAACGATTTGTAAAAATCATTTCGAAAAATAAAAACAACTCACTCGTTGACATTTTTAATCTCGGCCGTGGCGTCTTCAAAGGATTCGTCCCCCGAAGAATCTTTTGGCGTCACCGAAGACGACCTATAGAAATTTGCGAATTTCCACAAAGAAATATTAATATTTTTTAATTAATCGCGATACCGAGGTCATTAAACGACTCACACTTTGTTTTCGACAAGTTCTAAAGGGACCGGAAGTCGTTTGTCAGAAAGCTCTTTCTTGCACTCCGCTTGTTTAGGGGTTGTGGCCGAAGACCCAGCAGGTCTAAAAAAAAATCCACATTTATGTATTATATTAACGCGTGATATTTTATTTGAGAACGAGTGTAGAAAAACCAAACAAAAACACTAACTTAGATTTGTTTTCTGTTTTTTCTTTTTCTGTAGATTTTTTTTTGAGAGCATCGTGTTTTGGCAATGGAGACGACGGTCTAAAACGAATTATTTAAAAGGTATAATTGAAAATACCAAAGGAAAATTACATTAGTCGCCTAAAATAGTTTCAGTACTTAAATTCATAGCGCAATCACATCGATACTTTATTATAACCAACAATATGTCCAAAAAAGTTTTCAGATATAATATTTCAAAACATTTAACGTGTTAATTTAAGGTATTAAAGGCATTTAACATACATAAATCAGCGAAATAGACATTTAAAATCAATAATAATTACTATATTTTTAAATTTAGATTTTAGAGTACATTTTGAATAAATTTAACGTATGTCAAACATTAGTATGTTTTACCTTGATGCTATTAAAACGGATTAAACTAAAATTAAAACTATTCTTTACTTATAATTTTATAAAAATGTTACAATCGAATACGAATAAATTGGAGGAAATTGCTCATCGTCGGCAATGTAAACATATTTATCAAATACATCTAATGAAACTTTTTTTTAATGAAATCAATTTTTTTTTTTTTAATGTTCAACAAAAAATCGTTTTAGTTCGAATGAAGCGTTTAGTAAACATACTTTTGCTAATATTATAATATGTCGACTGCCCCGACGAAAAGGGTCGTATCTCGTTTTTTGCAACTTTTCAGGATGAACCAAACAAACATTCAAATTTAAATTCTTATTCTGTTTTTTAACATACCAGTTTGAAAAATTTAGATACATGTTATAACATGTATCCAAATTTTCGTTTGGCTCATCCTGAAAAGTTTCAAAAAACGAGATGCGTTGGGGCAGTCGATATGAAATTATGGTATAATAATACTTTATTTTGTAGCTTACGGTAATTTGGTGGCCTGTCCGCCCATCCCGGAAATACTTAAAACAGCAATTATTTTTTAAAGCACTGTTTCCTTACGTATTACACCGCTTATTATACAATAAGTTATTAATAGATATGGCTTAAAACTGCGGTTATTACTAAATAAAAAACAAACTAAAATCACGTGTGATACGTAGACGTTAAAATCGGAAAAAAACAAGTTAAATAACTAAAAGAAAAATACACACAAACACACACGCACACGATTATTATGTAAATTGAATTTCTAATAATAATGATAATTTATAAATGGTCACGGTGATCGGTCGACCAGTAACGGACATTGGAGTTTGGATAACGGTTGAAAACTTGATGATGGAAAACCAAAAAGGCGAAATACCTGCATTGATAAATGATAACTGATAGTAACAACAATAGCTGTATCTTTAAATCATATACATTATACGGTGATTACTATAGTGACCGTCGTCGTATAAAGTGTGTTCGACATAACACCCCACTTCTTATTATGTTTTTCACAATATGAGTTCACACTATAAATTATAATAGTCTTGTTTAGTCATTATAATCATCAGTTCGCACTTTGCGCTGGCTGCTTATTAATCGGTGCTCACGTGGTCCTGTAACCTTTTTTTGCAACTGACGTTTGTATGCTGTTTACACATTTCGCCACATGTGACAAGAATAGTAACAAAACTATAAGAAAAACACTAATTTTCAAAAATCAAATCTATTTTTTGAATAGAATAGATTTTATATAGATTAATATAACTTAAATTGTAAACAAACAAAATATTTGTTTTTTTTTTAACTTTTTGACCCCAAAAACAGTTTTTGAAAAATTAAAAAATTAAAAAAAATTTCCCAGGGTTAAAAAATAATTTTTTTTTTTTTTTTAAATATGGTTAAAATATACTTAATTAGAACTTTAACTGTGCAAGTTTCATGTTTTCAGGGTGATCCACTCAATATCTCATAGGGTTTAATAAGAAAATTGTTTTTTCATATTGTTATTATACAAAATTTAAGAAGTATACTAATATATACAGAGTTAAACGTTTAAATACATTTTTATCTAGATAAAGTGATAAATATATAGATTAGCTTTTTTATAATAGCACTGTACAATACAATTTCTGCAGAACAATCAAAATCCATTTATTTATTTTGGGATTTTTTCCCCTCTAGATCCGAATCTGGTCTAATCGTAAATTTTATTTTTAAATCGCTCCAAAGTTGTAAATAGCTAACAAAACCAAAGTCAGAATTTTCTAATTAGAAATTTCAGAAATTTCTCATTTTCTTTTATTTTGTGTATAAAAAATAACTTATAATTATTATACTATTAATTCTAAAAACCGATCAAAGAAAATCTGATAAAAATACCTTTATAATATAAAAAGTTTGCGCCTGATAACTGGCCAATATACCATTACACTATCATCCATGTTTATTTAGTTACAACATCAATTGAAAAGAAAAGGTGTGTGCGAATTCTAATATTGTAAATAATAAATAGATCACCGTAAAAAAACGGTATTACGCTGAACATTGCCACAGATTGATTGATGTATGTATATTATAGATATTTTCACTTTTACAGTTATAGTTATGTCAAACCCTAAAATACCTGGTTGGAAATCCGAAATTACTGTAGTAGCGAAACAATCGTCATAATAGCTGAAATATATTTTTATTTTGCAACATTTACATTACACTTTAAATTGTTTTGTTAATATCTGTGAAGGTTAAAGTATTTATAAATTGATATGTGAATTAAATTTGCGATTGTCATATTATGTAATTTAGTATAGTTCGTGAAAAACCTTAAAATAAACATAATTTATTTGTTTTTCTTTTCAAATTACAAATCGCACAATAGTATAATAATATGTTACTTATGCCAAATTGTAATGTAATTATATCTTTGCTGTTTGCAAATAGATAGCAAATGTTTTATTGACAAATAGTTTTTACAATAATAAAATAGTACCATAAAGGTATTATATCAGTTTGTACATAACAACAAACTTGTGATAGCTTACAACCTCATCTACCTGTTTTAAGAAAATATTTGAGTATTGAACCACTGAACCAAATTGAACATAAAAATAATTAAGCAATTTTTTTTAACATCATATGAGGGGTTGTTTTATTTTAGGCAATTAAAATGTATGCTATTTGCAAAAGTGATTTTGTGTTTACTTATTAGAAAATAAGCTTAATTTTATAAAAATAAATAAATAGTTTTTTGATCATTCATTCCCGACATAAATTTATTCCGTGATAGTAACAGAAGTTCAACTGTATTAATATAAGGTATAACATATAATGAATAATCTTTTAAAATATTATTTTATAAGGTCATTATAATTAATTATTTATCAAGGTTATTGACATAAAATATGTATCACATGAATGATTTACGGATATAGCCGAAAATCATTCATGTGATATTTCAATCCGCGAAAGTTTCAACACATTCATAAAATATGTACATTTGCAGAAGAAGTGTCCTGATTACATATTACGAATTAAAAAAATAATAACGCATTTTAAACCAACGCTTATGTAGCCAATTTTCAGCACATAAATTCCCTTTCAGCTTAATCAAGAAAATAAATAATAAATATATATTACTATTATATTTTCGAATATAATTTTCATACTGGAATTTGTGTGTTATATTCTTTGATAAACCGTTTGGCGAGGTTAAATTTACTTGGCATTCTCTTTCGCTTTTTACATTTTTATACAATAGTACAAAATTAATCTAATATGAATACCATATCACAGGCATTGGCACTTGGGCACTATTCCATCGATATATTTTATTTTGACAATTACTCCACGATGAAGTCCAATTTGACCTAGGAATTCATATTTGACAAACTGAATTTGTATGAATTGCTTGTGGTTAACTGTTTTTTGTCAAAGTATGTTTTGACTAGGGTTGTAATTTGAAATCAAATAATAGAATAGTTATGTATGATATTGGCCAAACATACAATTTTATATTATGTATAATATTACTCTATATGATTTACGTAATAAAATTCTAGCAATAAATGGTATTTTGTTACTATACGCCTAATTTATTTCTACCGTATTTTGTATTGTATTGCAAAACATTGTTATACGGTGTATTTTACGATTAAAATATTATACGGTTATATAATTTATTTATTAAACTGTTTTGTTACATTTATTAATACTTATAGAGCAATTAAATTACAATAATTATTAGAATATTTTCGTTGAAAATTGTTTAGTACAACATAACGATTTAAACGTTTACCTTTTCAATGTCATTATAAACGGGTTTTAGTGTATGTGATATTTTGTATACTGGCAAATCTGGCCTTAATATTTGTCTAGATTCAGTAGGTATTCTTGTATTAATGAATCGTCTTTATATTGTCTAGTAAAAAATACAATATTGTTTGCTATTTTTTTAATGCACTTTTCATAATTATTTAACACAATTTGTTTTTGATTATTTGAAATCTGGTTTTCAACGTAGTTTTTTCAACTAATAACTTTGCAGATAAAAAGTTCTTCAGATTTATGAATAATCTCTGACGCATACCTATAAGATCGCATAAGATCATATTCAGATATAAAGAGATCAACAAAAAAAATCAAGTTGGAATCGTATGATAATTTTAATACCAGATCTCAATTCAATAAATAAAGACACACAAACACAGTTGGGTCAGGGCCTAGTGGTGGGCGGAGGATATTGGGGCTGAAGAGATCACAGGTCTTTAGAAACTATTTACTAAAATGAAAGTTACAAAATCATTTTCAACGCTTTAGACCCTAAGCCTAAAATCCGACTAAAATAAAAAATATTTTACACCCTTTCTAGGAAAAAGGATTTATTGGTCTTATAAAATACGTTTTGGGTACGATTTCTTATCTATAAAATCTGGTTTCGTGGAGAAATCGGTCCGACGGTTAAAGAGTTGTCGTGGATCCAGACGTGAATATAGAAAACGCATTGTAAAACCAATACCTTCTTAGCTCCACATAGAAGCTAAAAATGCATATGAAGGGCATAGGGTAAGAAGGTTAGTAGTCCATTTTTTTCAATTTTAATATAAGGGCACCATACAAGGGTTACCTTAGGGCTACCCACTACTATTAAATGTCAAAATCCATTTGATGAAAAAAGGTTACAGTAGGGTCAACTTTAAAAACGGTTGATACATAGATTTGTACGCTCAAACTAACTTTTTTTTCTCTCCTGAAAAATTGTCATAAATGGACTACTACCCTGTTTCCCCTGTGTCCTTTATATTTTGTCGACAATAAGAAGGAACATTTTATTATGCAGTGTAGTTTGAGCTATCAAAAAGAGCAAAAGACAAAATGAAACAAAGCGGCGTTTAATTCAACGGACGACGACCCGGCACGATGACGTCAGATACGTTGGCAGATATTTGTTTGCTCCTACCAAGTTTTAATACAATGGCATTATGTGTTACACACATACAGACTTGTACAGTGCACTTGGCACAGTAGTGGAAGGCAATGACGTGTGGAATGGTCGCCTATTCCAGAATTCAGTGTATATTAACATCATTTTACTAGCACAACTTGCTATTCAATTACACTTAAAATTTTACGATTAACCGGCTTAACGCTATATGTGTTCTACACAAAATAGATCATCTGCGCCACCATCTGATGAAATAATCCGAATACTAGACATACATCTCTAGGTAGGTACTCGTATTATATTTAAATACATGTTCTATTGATGCAATATTTTATTATATGATTTATAAGAATTTATTTTTATTGAGATATTGAAAGTTTGATTAAAATAAATCGTCAAGTGATAATTATCCGGAAATCCAATTAGTCGCGGCAGTGAGTTGTTTTTTGTTTAGGCAGAATTTGCAAAAAGGTCATGGGTCATGAACATGTTCATGGACAATAAATAATTTATTTTTTATGTGCACTTTAAATCTGTGCAGAACCGGTTTTTGTGTATCTACAGCGAGTAACATTATCATCTAGTGATTACTAAAAGGTATTAAAAAAGAGTAGTGGAGTATATTTTCATGGCCATGCTTAGACAACACATAGCTGGTTAATAACAGGACTTAATAATCAGTCTGTATATACTGCGGCGCCTGCAGTTGTTCCTTTTCTGAATAATACGAATAAACGACAATTAATATTATTCAATCAATCGTAATATATCTTTTGGTATTTAAACAACAAAACTATTTTTTTTAATCGTTAGGCTGTTAATTGTTAGTTTGTTGCTGAACCTATTACATATTAGGTAAGTAAACCTAGGGATTAACAAGTACGTAATATATAAATATAAGTGTCTGAGTTTTTTTATTATTTTGACAATATTTTAAGCGCCTAGCACCAGAAAAGCTTAACTGTGGGTTAGGCTTTTCCAGCGCTATGCAACTCATTTTTTTCAATTATCACATTTTACATTCCCAGCTTTTATATTACCACTATATAACACAGTCACTATATAACATTTCCATGAATAATTTTCAATAATGATTTATTTTTAATATATAATGGATATATAATTAACCGCTACGGATTAAAAAATTGAATACAGGATAATTTAATAGTAGTTATACTCAATTGTAAAATGTTTAGTCAATTAGACAATCATATTATCTCGATGGGGAATCATTTTTTTTGGCGCTAAAAATGTAAAATTGGAAGATCATCGTTTCCACCAAAAGTAAAAAATGTTTTTCAATTTTGCCTAAACTGTATTAATTACCTAGTCATCAAGTATAATAGTATATACCTAATATTTATAACGAAAATATGTATAATGATAAAATGTTTAGTAGATATTATATTTATAATGATTATAACCTAATCATATCAGAGTGGTTACGCAACTCATTTATACAAATTTTCCAATTAAATTTGCCTCTTCTAAAATATTTAAAACTGTCTATCCAAATATACTATAAATACTATTAACCAGCAATAGGACTCTTTCTCGTTGAAATTTCTTAAAAAAAGTATGCTACAATTATTATAAAAAATAAAATAACAAACGAAATTGACAATTAATATTTTAGTATTGGGAAGTAGAACAAAATTATGATTGACGTTGACATTAAATTTATAATGTTTTTTTAAAAGTATTTTAATTGAAATTCTTTGTTTTTGTATTTAAGTTCGATTGAAATATATTATGATAAAGGTTGTTATAACTTGTTGTAAATTATATAAATTGTTAAAACCAAAATACCTACGTGTAAAAAAATTATATTGTTCATTATAAATGTAATTATGTATTTTGTTAAAGATATGGTTTTTGGAATCCTTTCTGAAACCATGAAAACAAAAACTAGTTTTTTTAATAAAAACAACTGGCTTGTTTTTACATTTAAGTACACATTAGTGCTCATTTGAAAAGACGTCAGAAACCAGTATGTTCAGTGGTATTCTCATAAATGAATCACTTCATTCGATAACTCACTAGTATAGAAAACAGTCCCATTTTAGCATTATTTGAGAAGTGAATTGTAGGACAATATTAAAGATCAAAAACATATACATACGTATTATGTTCTAAGAGGGCTTTCATAATTTAAACTTGTTTTAGGGTAAATTTATACTACCTACCTATCATCATAGTACGTATCCCGATTGTCTACTTTAATGTAATAGTTAAAGCATTAGTTATTTACATTAATACGATGTAAATTCATAATAAAAATGACATTGTTATACAATATATTTCAAAAATAGAGTTCAACAGTGTTGTAGACAAATTAGAGGCCCTTTTAAATTTGTCTCCATCATATTTGAACGGATGTTTGTCTATGGACCAATGAACATGATAATTATAATATAATTTATGTGGTGAGAATCAGAAGGATACGACTGTCATTTTTAAGAAACTAATTAAATTTCATTATGTATTTTTTGATTTGTTTTGTTTAAATTGATTTGAAAGTTAATTTTCTGTTTTCCTCGAAAATTACATAGTGTTACATATTGTCATTGAGTATAGAATTAAGTCGTTAATAATCTTGTTACAATTTAACTGTCACGATATTAAGATTTTTTTTTATTCCTGCAATTCCTTTGGGGTAATAGAATGCTATTTTACACATGATTTTAATTTTATTTTTACTGATTATATTATTAAAGTTACAGAACACATATTATTTAAGTTACTCGAAAGTATCATCTCCACAAACAGATTTTTATTTTAATCGAAATCGTTGCCCCATTAAATTATACAATATTATGTTTTTCACGAGAAACAGAATTGTAGTCCTAGAAAGTGGAAAATATCAACTCAAACCAACCGTAAATAAATATCGTGTGTGTTGTTTCAAACTAGGTATATTTCCAAAACCTATATGTTTTAATTAATTTAAATTAAAATTCATAGAAAAATCTTTAATGGCTCCTAGAACGAGCAGTTGGCCGGCATGGAGCAATTTGCAAAGCACCGACAAAAATACCAGATCAGTGGACAGTTGGTTAAATGCTCGTCGTAAAGAAGAGGGTGCAGAAGGACTATGGAGGGTACACGATGGATTATACGATCTACATGAATGGATACATAAACATCCCGGAGGACCACAATGGTTAACAATAACAAAAGTATGTACAAATAAATTTTGAATAAAATAAAAACTGCAAAAAGCCTTTAAAAGCATATCCAACATACTTATGAAACACATAATATTACTTTATTAATGTACATTTTTAATTCTTAAAGTAAACTGGTTAAAAAATTACTAATAATATTTTGATAATGACTTTATTTTGTGGTAAAATAGTAATTTTGATTTTTTATTCTAAGAAGAATAATTTATAAAAACAAAATTTATTAACCAAATTACTAGTTATCATCTTTTAATATTTATAAATAAAACGATGAACTTTTTTTCTTTTAATTAATACTTTTTTATCAGTCTAGTCAAAGGCTAATATATGTTTTGTATCTACTTATTTATACCCCTGCAGTACCGCAACTAGAGATTTTTGGGTCAAGGTGCAAAACAATAATCGGGGCCCCTACTCACTAAGTGAAATCATTTCTAATATATATTTATTTCTAAAATATAGTTGATTTATTATCTAAAAAAAAGTAACATAATGAAATACGTTAAAATATTTAACAATTATAAAACTGTAAACAAATTCATATCTGATTAATAAGAATTAAAGTTTTAGTTTAAATCTATCTAAAATAAATTCTTTCTTGCTTTTTGATTTGGTCTAAAATTATTTTTTCTATGCTCTTCAGTACAAACATGTTTGTGTTTCAGAACTTATATTTCCTTAGTTTATAGATAATATATTAATTATTATATTAGAAATTCTAAAACAAATCCGTTTAAAAATCCACAACACCTTAGCTTTAACACTTAACTATTGGTATTGTAACTTTTTAACATCATTTTTTGTGACCAACTTTATAAGTGTAGTTTTTTTCAATATTTTCAAATTTGCTCTTCCTAAGTTATACGATTTTTATGAAATGCTTACATTAAATAGGGCACTGATGTCACGGAATTGTTTGAATCATATCACGTAAATGGTGAAGCAGTCACTCAAGTACTGCGCAAATTTTATGTCCGACAAGCAAATACACCCAGGATGTCGCCATTTACTTTTAAGCCTGATGGATTTTACAACGTTTTAAAATCTAGAGTGGCCAAAAAGCTTGCTTACACAAACTCTACCACTTCTAAGCTAAAGACGATACTGGTAGTTGACATTTTAATTTTGATAGCGATGTTACTTTGCGCCGAAGCTGGGCGAAGAAATAGCTACTTTGTTGCCGTATTAGCCGGCACCGTCTTAGCATTGGGTTTAGTGGGCAGTCACAATTTTACTCACCTTAAAGATAACTGGAGAATGTATTATATTCAACTGGGTCTGATGTCCATACGGTAGGGATTTTATTAGTTCTTAACATCTAAATAGATGTACATATTATGTAATCAACTTGCGTATATAATATTCATTTTATTTATTTTTATCAGAGAATGGAGAATATCGCATGTGCTCAGCCATCACATTTATACGAATACGGTTCAAGATCTTGAAATGACTTTACTTTATCCTTTTCTTCATTGGTATCCTACCAAAGATAAACCATGGAATGTGGTTTGGTTTTCAAAACTAACTCCTATAGTTTACCCTTTTATCACATTCTATTTAAGTGTTCTAAGGTAAGCCATAGTAGTGTTGTAATTGAGAAAAAGTGTCCATTGTACCGTTTAGAGAATGTGAAACTAAGTCACTACTCATTAATATTGTAGTGGCTAAAAATGTTGGTATGACGGAGCCTCAGGGAGCTTAGCACCGCACAGGCCACACTTTCCCTTGAATCACCCTGTATATTATATATATATATATATATATATATAATTTATAAGTGGTAATTTTTTTAAAACTTAATTTTAGAACTATAACCTTGAACAACGACAAAGCGGACTGTCTGGCCTTCGTTATCCCTATGATATTAATGTTCAGCGGAAATTTATCCCTGAATTCTGTGTTGTGTATGTGGCTGTTGATAATAGCATCGATGAATATGGTATTCACCTTTATTGGATTCCACGCGGCACATCATCATCCCGACAATTTCCACGACGGAGACGAAGTTAGGTAAATCCTATAATATTTGTTCCTACTACATATTTATCGACAAGGATAATGTCTAAGATATAGTTTTAAAAATATTGTCGTCAATGATAATTGATAAGTAATAAATTACCTGTTTAACTGAAGTTTACTCTGAAACGTACACTTTCTAGTTTCTTCTTTTCACAAAGTTATACGTAAAATATAAATAAAAATGTTTTAATAATATATATTGTTAACAGTGAGCAAGACGTTGATTGGGGTATTCATCAAACCGATTGTTGCTCAGAACGACATGAAATCGGCAACAGCTTGCTAATCTCGATGGTTACATTCGGCGATCATTCGTTGCATCATCTTTTCCCAGCTTTAGACCACGGTATGATACCACACGTACAAGATGTCTTTGAAGAAACTTGTAAAGAGTTCGAAATAGATTTGACGCCCAAGCCCTATGGAGAATATGTCCGTGGACAGTTTGAACAGTTAGTCCGAATGAACCCAAATAAACCCAGAAGATCGAAAATCTCAGCTAACTAGGCATTGTTATTCCATTATGTATTATACCTATAGTCTGTTGGTTATTATGTATTACTTATAAATTATCTAGTTAAATGGAAACTAAAAATTAAGGCTGACCGTAATTTGATATTTTTTTTTATTAAAAGTAATGCTTCTTTTGATAATAACGATGTATTGGTGTAATATACATAAATATATATATTTGTATATGAAGTAACATAATTTAGAAAGCAGTTATAATCTACTACATGTCAACACTTGTTATCAGAAATCAAATTAATTTTATTATTCACTTTGCAACTACGATCTCCCAAAATAAGATGCTTTTAATATTATTTTTTACTACTCAGACCTCAAGGGCAGTTGTACGGTCTACAACGACCGTACAACTGCCCTTTCAACATGGCCGTCAAGTGTCCTTTCTGCTTTCATCTATTCTGTGGTTTTACATTTTATTCAAAAACACATACGTAATAGATAATATGACGGTAGTTATGTTAATTATAAACTTACACTACCCAAGCAGAAATTTCTGTACTATGCCAGTATTAACGACGGGCGCAGTACTACGCCAGTACTGGCTGCCCACCGTTGGCTGACCCGTACTGACGTAGTACTGGCCCAAGCGTTGTCTTAGTACTGACCCAGTACTGGTTGGCCAGTACTGGCTGCCAACGTTACGCCATTACTGGCGCAGTACTGGCATTACAAAAACTACAGTACTGGCTTGCCCGGGTTCGGCAGACTCGTGCCAAACGTTGGCTGAGTGTTGGTGAAGTACTGGTATTACAAAAACTATTAAGTTTTTGCGCTTTGCTAGTTACCTACTTAAAATTCCTTGTCCGCCGCACGATTATAGCCCTGTAGCTAATTTACTTGGCCTACCTTCCTTAGCCGAGCGGAGACGCACTACTGGTATTAGTTTTATTGATGGGTTGTTGAATGGTAAAGTTTAATCGTCTGCACTTGTCACACTACTTTGTTTTAAAGTGCCTCAGCGTTCATCTCGAACTAATGCTCTTTTTTACGTCCCACGTGCCACCACTAATTATTTAGCAAATAAACCATTACGACGGCTAATGTCAAATGCCAATGTGGATCCTAATTTTAATTTTAATTTTTAAGCCTAATTTTTTATGTTAAATATGTTAAGTTTTGTTTATAGTTTATAAGTTGCTGTTGAATTGTGTGTTTAATGTTTTCTTCATTAATGTACAAATATGCATGTATATATATTTATTATTATATATAATATTATATAAATGTAAAAAGAGCCCACCCCGTATACAATAATAATAAATAAATAAATTATGTCACTAGTAATACATGGAAAATGTAACATACATAATATAATTAATTTAATATAAATACGTTTTTTACCTTTTTAAGGAAAATTGTATTAACTGGTTTGTAAGTGCTTAAATTATAAATAAATATATGTTATTATATAAATTATAACCTAAATCCTAAAACATATAGTACTGCTCCATTATTCTACCAACATTTTATGTATAACACGCCAGCACTGTGCCATTACTGCGCCAGTACTGCGCTATTATTCTGCCAGTATAAAATTATTTATAATGCCAGTACTGCGCTATTATTCTGCCAGTATAATATTATTCATAATGCCAGCACTGTGCCATTACTGCGCCATTATTATACCAGCATAAAATCTGTACCGATTATCAGTACTGGCCCAGTGCTGGCTGTCAGTACAGAATAGCGTTATCATTTAGGAGTTACGCCAGTACGGGCGCAGTACAGAATGCCAGTACCGCGCCCGTACTGGTCAGTACTGGCGCAGTACTACGCCCTTGGTAAATTTCTGCTTGGGTAATGACAATAATTATGTAATGTGCTTACATATTCTGAATAATAAAACTAACTAACATGCAAGGCTATGAAACGTTGAGTATCAATTTTTTTGTTTCTACGTAACTCATAAAAACACTTTATAATAATACAAATTATGCATGCTCCTTCGTGTATAAAACAACATATATTAAAAACAAGGCTGAAGTATATTTAATAGCAAAATAACAAAACAATTGTAATTTTTGTGATGTTTGCTAAGTCCAAAAGTCTGCGAGGTCAAAGAGTAATACTTCAAGTTCTAATCTGGGCCTGGTAATATGGGGAAGGGGGGTCCGCTAGTACACAATTACCATTAATTATGATAAAATAACAATAGAGACTACTGGACTAGCTTTTACTGTGAACCCCTTCCCCTTAAAAATTAACAGACGAAAACGTGTAAAAAACGGCGAAAGGGAATTGTGTTACACCTTTCCTAAAGTTCTCTCCCATCCTATATAGTAGTTTTTTTTGTATGTTAATTTTTTGTTTACATGGATAGTGTCGGATATTAATTTTACGCACATAAATGAAGTTCCATCATTTTAGTATTATTACACAAATTGACAAATAAATATCACCAAGAACTTATTGTTCTTCGAAAAATCGTACAATGGCCCCTAGAACGAGCAGTTGGCTGTCATTGAACAATTTGCCAAGTACTGACAGAAATATCAAAAGGGTGGACGGTTGGATAAATGCACGCCGTAAGGAAGATGGTGCCGAAGGATTATGGAGAGTTCATGATGGACTGTACGATCTTCAAGAATGGATACCTAAGCACCCGGGAGGATCACAATGGTTGGAAATAACAAAGGTTGTAAACTAGGTTATATAAAAACAATTTATGCTATTTTTTGTTTCAAATCTCACACCAACATTTGATTTATGTAAAAAAAAAAATACTTAAAAACAGTTGATCAATTATAAAACGTTAAACGGGCTTTAAATATTATTTTCCTAATTAATAATTAAATTTAGAGGTATTTATTTTATTAGTTACTGTTCTTGTGTTAAGTATCTTTTTATTTTTGACGCAAAAAATGTGATTTAATACTTATAGTAACATCTTCTTAAAATTAAAATTGTATTCAAACTTTATTACTTGCAATAAGTGCCTATTTGTGTATAAACGATGCACAAACAATAGCCATAAGAACATTTTGAAAATATGTTTTAGTGGCCTTCCAAATAATTTTTTTTTAACACAACGCAAATAGTTGAGTAAACCGTTTGTTATAGTCAAAATTTCAAATTGTGAAGGAGGCATTGAAATGAATTTAATTAGTTATCACTAGACCGCGGATTTATATGAAACTGCATGTATTTTATGGGTCCTCCTATCAAAAATGTTCCTTACCAAAATCTGTTCAAGAACTTTTTGTACCATATAGACACTAATGTTTTGTGCATATTTTCTATACATTTAAAAATTATATTTAAATTTAAAATTACAAATTACTTTTAAAAGAATTATTCAATAAATTTGTCAATTACTAATTATATTAAAAAAATATACTCAATTACTAACTACAAATTAGCAATTACTCAAGTTATTCAAGTATGACAATTAAAAAAGGTTATTGTTTATTCTTCTTTTTCAAACTGATAATCGGTACACATGATTATTATTCAAATACGATTCAATTAACAAATCGTATTAGTTTTTTATAATTATAGTTTGTGATTATATAATATAGGGAGTTGACGTCACAGAGTTATTTGAAACGCATCATTTGAAAGGAGACGTAGCAACCCAAAAGCTTCGTACATTTTATGTTAGAAATGCAAGTACTCCTAGGACGTCACCATTTACTTTTAAACCGGATGGTTTTTACAAAGTTTTGAAATCGAGAGTATCCAAAAAGCTTTCAAGCATAAACCACAGCAATGTTTTACTCAAGTCTAAGTTGGTAGTAGACACTTTTATTTTATTAGCTTTGTTGCTTTGCGTTGAATCTGCGCGTAGAAATAGCTATTATATTGCACTGTTAACTGGAGTATCATTAGCCTTTGGTTTAGTGGCCAATCATAATTTCACCCATCTTAAAGACAACTGGAGAATGTACTACATCCATTTGGGTTTGTTCTCCGTAAGGTAAGCGTTTTGCCTGTTTATTATGCTTCATAAGTTTTAAATACGTGTACTTACAATTCTTTTTTTTTATCTTCAGAGAATGGAAAATATCACATACTGTCAGTCATCACTGTTATGCAAATACAGTTCTTGATCTTGAAATGGCTTTGCCTTATCCTTTTATTCATTGGTATCCTACCAAAGATAAGCCTTGGAACGTATTGTGGTTTTCAAAGCTAACTCCTCTATTTTACCCTTGTTCTACAATCTACCTGATAATCGGAAGGTAAATGCAAATGACAGTACATTATATAAGAGCTATTATACATTCATATTATCAATTTCAGAACTATCACCCTGAACAACGAAAAAGCCGACTGTCTAGCTTTCATCATTCCAATAGTACTGATGTCAGCTGGTGGTTTGTCTTTGGGTTCCGTGTTGACCATATGGCTTCTAGTAATCATGACAATGAGTTCTGTGTTCGTTTTTTTGGGATTCAACGGAGCACATCATCACCCCGACAACTTCCACGATGGGGATGAGATTAGGTAAGACCTTTATTATTGATCACATTATACCTCTAAAATGTTCACGATTGCGTTAAACTCTGCTGAAAGCCTTAAGAGGATGTCATACCCTTTAAAATAATCGTTAAAACGTGTTTATGAAAAGTGTGTTAGTCAAAGCGAAATGGTGACAGAAATTTTTTTTTATTTCGTTAAAAAGAGAAGAAGTAAAACTTGGTTCTCTCGTCGGTATTTCTTAGAAACCTTAAACTTTACCTTAAATACAAGCCCTAAAAAAGTTTAAAAATGCCAGAATCAAAATAAAAATTCTGAATGTTGGGTTAATAATATTAAAAAAAAACCTATGAGAGAACCTAGACAGAGTTCTCATTATTTTAAATATGCAAGAGAAAAATGTCTATGATTATTATTTAGTTAAGATTCGTTTTTTTTAACCACTGTCAAAGATGTTGTGATAGTCCGAAAAAAAAATTGACTACCTGAAAAAGAGTCCTAATTATTGAACTAATAATTACACATCGCAGTTTAATCTTTAAATTAAGATTTTGCAAAAAATTGCCTATACTTTACTCCTTGAAATGGGCGGTGTGGCGTCCTCTTAATAATTATTTATGTTTCTCGTAAACAATTCTTGTTCATTCTGCGTCACTAATTATTTCAATGCTGTTGGATTAGTGACAATTATTTATTAATTACATGATTATATGATTATTACAGCCAACAAGATATTGACTTTGGACTTCACCAAATAAATTCTTGTTCAGAAAGACAAATAATCGGCAACAGCGTAGTGATTTCGATGATAACTTTTGGCGATCATTCATTGCATCATCTGTTCCCGGGTTTAGACCATAGTTTATTACCCCACATACAAGAAGTTTTTGAAGAAACGTGTAAAGAATTTGGACTAGAATTAAAGATAAGAACGTATGGAGAATATGTACGTGGCCAATTTCAACAGTTGGTTCGAACAAATCCTAGAAAAGCTAAAACATCTAAAATCTCAATTCAATAATACAATTTATTAAATTTTTTAACTGTTTTCAATCAATTTTATAACCTCCACAATAACTCAATTTACTACTTATATTTTGAAACTTATACACAGTACCTTGAAATGAGTATAGAGATATTGTAACACAAGAGTTAAGGCTTTTTTTTTTTTTTTTGGTGGTTAGTTTAAATAAAATATTCTAAAATAATGAATTTACTTTTCTTTTGCGTATTATAATCATCGTATCTTATAAAATATATGTATTTAATATAATAATAGAAAGCCAGAACAGTGGTGGCAGAGCATAGTTGGTGATGAGAACTCTGGTTTCCTCTATTTTGATGAGAATGGAGTGAACTATTTTACTATTGAACATACTATACATATTATTTTATTCTATTACAGTACCAGATTATGTACAATAATTATTCGTTTAGATGAAAAGTCAATATTTGTATTCGACTTGCCCACTGTAAGGAAACGGAAGGGTAAATGTAAAAGTTTACTAATGTAAAATGTTATCTAACATATTAGTATTAACATGATTATTATAAATAAAAACCAGCGTATCTTATAATTTTTAATGAAACCAAATCCACAAAAATAATACACTTAATGCAACTTAATGCACTTAATGCTTTATGTGTATGATTTTTCTAGATTGGGTTTTATTAAAAATTGTAATGATTATGATTATTACTATTATTAGGTATGAAACGGATTTCTATTAAAATAACAAAAATATTTTATTGATTAGCTACCTAATGAGATATTGCGAATTGATATAAAATTGATAATTAAATATTTTTTACGTAAACGTGTGATAGTTATCTGCTGCTGTTATTCTCAGTATTTTTTATTTTAAGGCGTTAATCACGTTTTTAACTCTGCTCGTCCGATAAACATTGAACCGGAATGTTTTTTGAACAAATAAGTCAAAACTCGAAGACAGAATACGTCGATATTAGACACTGGCCTTAACTGTAACTATCGCTTCTTAATTTGTATGCTAAATTAATTTTAACGTTAACACAAGTTTCTAAATGACAACAACAATAGTCGATAGCTTTTATACCGTGTTATTGCGTATGACCCGTTGAGCAATGCCACCGCAGCTGTGAATGGGAAGTGGAAATCACAAATGGATGTTGTACCTACCTGAGAGATTTAATGTGAAATCGATTTGTTTTACTGTAACCGATCTATGCTTGCTGTGTGTTATTAGTATATAATAATATAGAGTTTATGTTTTTCATTCTTCTCAGACGAAATTATGGACGATCAAGGACAACAACCGGAAAATACAAGTAAACAATTAATCTTACAATAATTGAGTAAAACGAAAGTTTATAAAATAACCTAATTGTGATTGTTTTACCAAGTTCGACCAATAGCGTATTCACTCAAGGTTTCAACCTCAATATAAATTATAATTAATTACTTAAATTTCTTTAATTCTTATTTGATATTTTCCTTATGAACATTCGTTATTTATACTGAGCGTGGAAAATAACATTTACAGATCAATGATCATACAATTAAAAAAAATAAAAGTTTTAAGGTATTAATGTACCGTAAAACCATATTGTTACCAAATGCACCATAGAGAACAAATTTCAAAATTAAATCTATGCTAATATTAGTAACCAATTTGCAATTTTTTGTTATCCAAAGTATAGAATTTGTAATTTATTCAGAAATTGACCCAATTGCTTAAAACAGTTAAAAATTTTGATCGCAACATTACATTTTAACATTTGTTTAACAACTTGTATACTAAAGTTCCAGTTATAGAAGATGATTAAAATAGCCTTGACACAAAAGTTTTATAAAAAATGTACATAAAACAATTTATACTCGATACTGAGACCAATTTAAATGTTTTGACTATGTATAAATGATGCAAAAATGTATAGGACTTTTTTTGAATGTAGTAAACAAGTTTTTATTACAACTGTATTTTAAAAATATACATAGAACAGTTATGAAATAAAACTATTGACATAATCATTTTTTTTTTTTGTAAAAAGAGAAGATAAAAGTTTAACTTTTAAAATGTATAAATAAAAGTTAACTGTTAAACCTCATTTTGTAAGCGGTCAAAATGTGTAATAGGTGTGACGAACAACAAAAATACCTAAAAGAAGACTTAAGTAGACAATATTAGGCTACTTGAAAAATGTAAGCTTTAAGACATAAAAATACAGTAAATTCCCACTTTATTGTTAGGAACTGTGACTAAAACAATAGCTAAAACCCGATAAGAAAACTACTTAATAAGTTTAACGTTTTAACATTTGAATTGTAAATTTTACAATAATCTACGATTTAATGCAATTAGTGATTAACATTATAATATATACTTATATAAAACCTATTGCGAGGCCGTATATTCCATTAAAAATGACGATTGAAGTCGCTGATTGTAAAATGAAGGGTAATATCTTTTTATTTTGAAAAATAGGAATTGGAATGAGTTACATATTCTATTGAAAAAACCACAACATAACCTATTTAAAAATATATTTTTCTTTTTTTAATTTATATAAATATTTAGATCCAATTACATTTTATTGAAATCTAGATTAAAAACCCGATCATTCCAATTCACAACTGTTATCTAGGTTGGTCATTCACGTTAAATAGAGTAATTAAATACTATAGATTAGGCATTATTGTAAACGTTATTTTTAGGAAGGAGTGGGTTCCCTTCCTCCTTCCTATTTATTTACTCTTTTAAAAAATAATTCGTTCTTCTTCTTGTTTGTATACTATATAAATTTGTTCCATACAAATAGTTTATCAAAACAAAGAATGAATAATTCGCATAATTTATTTTAGTTTAATAATAATAAATAAATAAAAATAATAAATTAGAAAAACAGAAATAGATTCAATAATTAAATAGTAAATATAAAAAAATGTTCAATAAACAATCTGGATTCTAATTATGCCTTTTTGGGGATTTAAGGCTCCTAGTACAGATATAGTCACTAGTCAGGCTACTAAAAATATATAATTATAATAATAAACCATGCAATATCTATAAGCAAACAACAGTGTACATCAGAACCATTATAATCAGCAACTAGGGGTATCGTTATTCGTTTTATCGGTATTACTATTATGAGCTATAAAAAACCCGACAACCTATCACAGCCTATTGAAGATTATTTATTGAAATTGTAGCTAGTGACGAACATTGATAGCACGTTGATAATAATAATTACGTGTGGAAAATCGTAAAATATTATTACAATTTGAGTGAAATTTACTACGGGACAGTAAATATTAAATTATCAAATATACTATGTATGATTTAAATCTCCACTGTATTTGGAATCCAAGATCTTAAATGTCCGACCAGGTCGTTTTGCTTACATCTTCCACTGGTACGTACAGACTTCAAACACCTTCTTACTGTGTCTTTAACCGAAAATATTTTATTAATGATTTTTAACATTAATTGTTAACACTCTTTCAAAAGACAATAGCGTACATTAGAATTGTTTGGTTTTTGTAACTACTGTAATAGCCGTTAGAACCCAATACATTCGGATTAGCATAACATGGACATCGTAGGCGTTTATGCACTAATGGCATACACTTCACAACAGTTGATATGTAAATTTCTTAGGCGTTTGGAACAATTTCAACTTTAAAATATCACATAACTACTCGGTATTGTGCTGCGTGATAACGGCAGTCTACGACCAACATAATATGTACGACTTATCGATTTTTGTAAATTTCGCAGAACGATGGGGAGTTCGGCATACCCAAATTATTCTCATGTTCTTATGCATGATGATCGCATACGCGTTAAGAATGAACCTGGCGGTGGCCATTGTGGCCATGACTGACAAATCGGGCACCAACAAAGACTTTACTGTAAGTAATAATTTGCGAATACAATTTAAAATGTAATAACGAGAAGAGGACGTCACGCCATTGGTATTTGGTGCATAAAGAAAACACCTCGAGGTAAGACTCGAGACAATTATTACGCCGATCGAGCAAAACAAATGGTATACTGCTAAAAAAAAAAAAAAAATTACATACCTATTTTAAATCTTTGAAGTATTAATACTGTTTTTAAATAAGTGTTTTTCATTCAAAAGTAAGAAAGTAGTATACTAGATAACATTGCCAAAACAAATTGTAGTGACATGAAATATACCTTAAAATTGACAGTTGTTTACCGAAGGGAATTAAGATATTGCTTTTAACTAAAAATACAATTTATTTTCGAACAAATTTAACAGAAGATAGCGTATGTACAATATAGATTAATACGAATAAGTAATGTCTAAAAAAATATATTCATATCACCATTAAATAAGTATAAATATAATACTTCCTAATTAATTTTATTCCGTTATAAGAGTATTGAACATTAGTGTTAAGAGGTAAAAGTAAAACTCAAATTGTAATAATAATTGTTTGGCTGCATCTGTATTTGATTTAATTTTTAGTGCCTATATCTACTACGTTGGCATATCATGAGTGCTATGTATACATCGAAGTTTAAGTATTGCGAATATAGTTGGGAAATGTCAGCAAATTTATTCAAACTGTGATTTTGACAGCCTTGTGCGTGTTATCACTCTAACTAATAAACCGATTTCCTTAGTTTACATTCTATAATGTAGAAAAAAAATGTATATTAAACATCAAAACAAATGATATTTGTATGACAATTATTAACCGTCGACATTTAACCACGTTATTCTGGTTCGATTTAAATTTTAAACTTACTTAGCTTAAGTATTGTATTTATACGTGTTAATGTGTCAATGTGGGAGTAGTAACGCTAAAGTACATAAGTATTATGCAGTAACTAAAGCAAATTCAAGAATTTGTGGTTGCTATTCTCATAACTACATAATATATTAACATTATCTACACATAACAAATTATAATAGTTTTTATTTTATTATGTATTGTAATGTTATTTACAAAATAAATATGCACGAAAGTTATTCAATAATTATGATTTATGCTTTCGGAAGAAATCTAAAAGCAGACTTCCATTAAATTGTTTTTTCATACCAATAAAACTTAAAAATAAATAACACGACGTGGCTTCCTTTTATGTATTATTTAATTAAGTTGTTACCTCAACCACTCGTACCTACTTAGATGTAATAATTCGTTTTTATTTCTAGACTTTTGATTGGGATAAGCGAACACAAGCTATGGTACTGACTTCGTTCTTCTGGGGCTATTTGATTACCCAAGTGTTCGCTGGACAAATGTCGGAAAAATATGGACCTAAATTGTTTTTGGCCGGAGCCATTGGTGTAAATGGTATTTTAGCATTAGGAACTCCTGCAGCGGCTATACATGGCGGTGTAGTAGCCATGTGTGCGAATCGAATGATCCAAGGAATGGCACAGGTGAGCAGTCCCATATAAGTAATTAATGACGACATCAAATAAAATGACTTAAAGCGAGAAGACTTTACAAGTTTAATAAATCCCAGCCTCGTCTAACTGAAGCTCCATTCAACAAAACTATTCGGTTTAGTTAAGGTTCACCTTTTTCATAATATGTATTTCATAATTATAGTTTACCATAAAAGGAGTGGACAATTTTTCTTAATTTTCCTTTTTAGAATGAACTACGCTTAAAACGGAAATTAATAAGTTGTCCTGCACTGTGCTGGCTTTTATTATATTATCCCAGACTGCAAAGTATAGAATAGATAATTCGAAAATATTGTGATACCCAATGTTCTAATAATATATTTGGCCCATAAACAGTTTAAATCATTTTTACTCTATTTTGTTTGTACTATATGGAATATTTGTACACTACATAGCTGTATATATGTATATATATATATATAGTTGAAAATTTTGGAAAATCTCCTTTCCTCACTGTTCCTATAGTATAAAACTGAAACAACGTTTTTTTTTGGGGGGGGGGGGGTACTAATTTTAATACCATGTGCTAAATACACCCAAACTCCGTCTCAACTACGCCTATGATGATACTTACACCGTTAACGAGAGTGTACCTCATAGTTTTTGTCATGTATGTTTTTATAGGGGTTTATATATCCTTCAATCAACGTTTTATTATCAAAATGGGCGCCGTTGACAGAGAAAAGTCGTATATTTTCGTTTGTATTTAGTGGGATCATATTCGGACCGTTGATTATGTTGCCAGTGGCCGGTTTGCTGGCTGGAAGTCCTGGAGGTTGGCCGTCTATATTTTACTTTACTGGTATCGTGTCAATGTTGTGGGTACTTGTTTGGTATTTTTACGGTGTCAATAGCCCATCAGAACACAAGACCATCAGTGCAGAAGAAAAACGGTACATCACCAGTTCGTTGAGCAACTCCATGTCCAAAAAGGTAACTGCAATCTACCAATAATAATGCGTCATGTCTCATGTATATACTAAATTTGTTACGATTATTGTAGAAACTACCTACTCCGTGGGGCAAAATAGTGACTTCAGTGCCCATGTGGGCAATCCTTGTCGCGCATTTCAGTCAGAATTGGGGCTTTTGGACTTTACTGAACAACACACCTACTTACATCAACGAAATTCTCAAGTTTAATATAAAATCGGTTAGAGAACAGTCTGTTTAGTTGAATTTTTCGATGGCGAATAATTATTATTGTCTAATAATTAAAGATCCTATTATGTATGGTTGCATAGAACGGAATTCTGTCTGCACTGCCATACTTAACCATGTGGCTGATGACTATAGCTATCTCTTGGATTAGCGACTACATCAACAAACGTCAGTACATGACGATCACAGCGCAGAGGAAAATGTGGAACACCGTTGCACACTGGGGTGGAGCATTGGCTTTATTTTCGCTGTACATGTTCGATACGTCCACCGTGGAAGTTTTGTTTCTGTTGACAGCTGCGTTGACTCTGAACAGTGGAGTTTACTCGGGATTCTTAGCTAATCATTTAGATTTGGCACCAAATTTTGCCGGGACATTAATGGGCATTACCAACAGTTTGGCAAACGTCACGTCCATTATGGGACCACTACTTGTCGGATTTATGGTCGATAAAGATAATGTAAGATGCTCATAAGTCATAATGAATAAATAACGAGAAAAAATTATAGTAATATAACAACGATGCATTTTTTCGTTAGCCCACGAAAGAACAATGGGGACTTGTATTTTTACTATCAGGCGGTGTTTTCTTCGTCGGAAATTTGTTCTACATTATATTCGGTTCGGCTGAAACCCAACAATGGAATAATTCGATAACCGACCAACCGAAGGAACTCACTAAAGAGGATAGCCCTAAATCATGATGGAATATTACTAAGTAATTTAATGAGTCTTTTTAAATTAGTCATTTAGATTTTGTAATTAATAATACAATTGTTTAATTGTATGGTCTTACAACTTACTTGTTATTACTTTTTATTTTAATTAGATTTATCAAAAACCTAAGTAGTTTTAATTGTACCCATGTGAATATTCATTATTTATAATAATAAAGCAACATTTTTAGGTGTTATAAAATAAAGCAATACAATTATTTAAAATTTATAAATAAAAATTAAAAATAATTAAAAGGAAATTAATGTGGATTGTAGTATAAAGAAAACCTTCTAGAAAAAACTTAAGCACTTGTGGTAATTATAAGAAATTAATAAAATAATGAAATATTTAAATAACCCGTTAACCACAAAAAAGTTATTAAAATTTTTAAAAAATTAGAAATTATGAGATGGTCAGAAATAGTAAAATGTAAAAATGGCGAGTAAAAATAATACTCTACAGCGCGCTGCCGCGTTACGTATTTCGGTAGCAATGTTACCATCATCAGCGCATATAACTGACTTCTGTACACATACTTTGTGTATACCTACTTAGAGTCAGTCATCTATAAAATACTATCACTCAAAACATAAAAAATCCAAAATTACCGAAGTAATATACTCGTATGTAGATAGCTTATTATTTTTTCTTGAGTTACTAATTAAGCATAATGTATTCTTCAATATTTTGTGTACATTATCGGTTATGGAATTACACAACCAACAAAGTACTAGAGAAAAAGTATTATTACCAGCTATCAAAAAATAATACTAAATATCGCGAAGATTTGATAGAAATGTTTTTATAATATTTTTTATTAATGTTATGTAAATAATTATTACACGTCATAATCAAGAAAATTGTTTATTTTTATAATGTAGTAATGATCTGACGAATAAACTGTTTTTTCTTAATAACTTTTATAGTAAAAGCAATCACTCGGTGGGTAGGCGACATCATTTGTTGGTGTATAGATATCGTATAAATAACAATACAATTCGGTGATTAAATAACTTCACGCATCGCATAATTTAAAATACAGTGATGTATAAATTATGTAGATAATTAAATTTTTTAAAGACTGTTATTTGTTACTATTATTATTACTTGCGTTAAAATAATAATTGGGCTGCCCAATTTGGGCATAGATAATATAACGATAAACTGAACTTCAAAAATATGCATATTCAGTTATGACTCATTTTTCTCAAATAATATAACGTGACTTTTTACAATTAACATAGGTAAAATTAACAATCAACTAAAAGGTAGTATTCGAGGGCCTATTGGCTAGTGACATAATATAAATTATTAAACAGCAACTCTAATAATTTAAAAGCAATTACTACAGTAATTTTAAAAATATAAAAACTGTTAATGGTTCTCATGAAAAGTTAAGTTGTATGTAATACAATCTCATGATGAAGCGATTAACCTTCAAGGCCTCTTGATCTACATTCAAAACATAGGCGTTGTGGTTCTTATAGTTTTATGACATTAAATATAAAATGTTAATCCAATAGATCGGATTTCAATTATCTGGGACAATATAATGAACTAATACAAAGTATTACACAACATTCATTAAAAAATAAGAGGTGGAAATTGTATTAAGTTGTGTATTAATGATAATGCATTCATTTCATCTTCGACACGAAGTTGAAAAGGAATATTAGTTCTTTTCAATTTTATTTACGCCGTCTACAATTTTAAATACACCATAAATATATACCTAATGGAAAACATCAAACAGACCTCAAACACAAGTAAACTATTAAAAACAGTTTAATTTTAATTTGTATAATTTCTTATAAAAGCTTCAAAGGTCTCAGAGTAAAATTTTGTATAATATTTTACATAGATGTTTATAGTTTTAATTGCCTTAAAAGTGTACTTTTTTTAAGACTAGCGTGGCAACGTTGATTCAAGAAAGGACATAATTTTGTTATAATTAGCTGTACTTTTGGACATTTATTACGCTATATTATAAATTATTAGCATGCGCCTAACTATTAAGTTTATTATAGCTGCTAAATATCTAACGATTAAATTTTTACAACTGGATTCTGGAACTTACAGAGGGTACGTCTTGGCAATAGGTATTTACATTTAAAAGCTCTAAAATAGTAGATTATGTTGGGCCCTACACATATTAGTTTTGATATACTTGCTATATAAAAAAATATTAAAACTGTATTAGTATTAAGTACGGTTGAATGGGGGAGTTGTGTGTGGGAGTGACAATCTTTTCTGTAAATTGAACAAACCTGCCAAAAATGTTGCGCCAAAATTGTATGTTTTGTTTATAAATAGAAAATATCATAACGCAAATACGAACGAACTTTTGGAACACCCCCTCCAATTTTTTTAAAACTTACCCTGCATGTTACGACAAAAGAATGTTCTAAACATTTTTTTTTCAAAAATTTAGGTATAGTCGTATAAAGTATTTTTACTTTTTTTCTTTACTTTTTTTTTTCATAATTTTTGGCCATCAAAAAAAAAAAATGGTTAAAAATCCGTTTCTTTTGTAACATAATCTCATCTTTCTGAAAAAAATATTGATTTTTTTTTTAGTAACAGAAAATTATTAAATTTTAGTTTATAATCTAACAAGTTGGTGTTTTCGTGTTAACCAATATTTGAGAATTTATCTAATATTTTTTTTTTAGAAAGCTGAGCAATTTTTCATAAAATACATAAATTTAAAACTGGTTTCTAATTTTATGGAAAAATTTAAATGGAAAATTATCTTATTTTTACACATAATTATTTCAACTATTTTGATTATTGTGGTCGTTGTTTTTTACTTTCCTATGAATTTCCTTTTTTGTTTTTCTAAGCGTATATACAAACCATTCGAGTGTTTTAAGTTTTTATTTACAAACTCTTGTTATTAAAATGTACATTTAACAACTCCGAAAATTTACAGCTACCTTTTCATTTCAAAAAAATGTTAATATTTTTCCAATTCATACACTTTTTTGGTGGTCTTACAGTTTATACACAAACATATGATTTAACATTTATATCTAATTTTACCCCTATTAAACCCAACTAATTGAATTTTGACAGATGAGCAGTTAAAGTGATGTATAAAGTAATCTGTATCGCAAGAACTTATGGCTCAAAATGACTTAAAATTATCAACCCTAAAATTGTGCCACACAATTAGTTTTCCTAGCAGGGACATATTTTAAGCGCCTTGCCATTACTGGACCAACAATCAAAATAAAATGTTCTAATTAATCTCACTATTTTTAGAAAAATTATAGCAAAGCAGCAAATTTGAGGCTTTTTAAAATTTTAAAGTGAAAGTAAAATGTTTCAACTCTCCACCCTCTCAAAGACCAAAAAGACTAGATTAGATTACTATTACAAAATTGTATGTAATATTATAATATATGGTTCATAAATAAGCTGGTACTGAATTCCAAGTTATGTTCTTAATGGCAAATTTGAACTATTTAGTGGTATCTAACCACCCACTAAACTTTTTCTTCTTAAGAGGATCCGTCGTAGGCTTTAAGCTTGATAAACAATATTAGCTATATATGTTTTACGATGTTTATTATAATTAGATGATCAGTTTTTAATAGTCTTGATTTTTTTTTAATTAAATAAATATGTTTTGTTTATCAATGTACCAACATTTGTCGATAATTGATATTGGTAATACCATTTAATGAATACTGCTAAAATACAGTTTAAACATATTATGGACGACAGCTGATGATTTTACGAAAAACTTGACGATAGTGTGCAAGACTAGTATCTATTCGTTAGAAGTCTCTTCGTCAGCAACCGCCAATCTTCAACTGTAACTTGTACCATTCAAATTTCAATTTGTGTGCCTTCATATAAAAAAAAAAAATAAAAATAAAGATATTATTGTAATTATAGTAATACTGTCAACATTTGGTATTCTTTATTGCTATCATAATCATAGTAATATTATTTTTTATAATTAAATACAGAGAGATGTATGTAATCAGAAACGTATTAATTATATTTATCATATACCTACTTGTTTCTTTTTAGCAAGAACACATGATAGTTTTTTAAGCCACAAGCCAAAAAAACGTTTTTATTATTAATGATGATACGGAAATATATAATTGTCGTCCTATCCAAATCAACCAGTACACAATACTTTTAAAATTACCTTACTGATTTATTTATGAAGAAATCACTCTGTAAACTCAAATTAGTGAGTACTTTAGGATATGATAAGAAAACTACTATGAACACATAATATATGCATTTACAAATACAAAATTGTGTCGAAACATCTATTATTTTAACGTTATGACTCACAATCAGTACCAGTGTGTACAACGCCGGTCTATATAAGACTATAATGTTGGACTATTCATCACCAAACTGTTTTTTTTAGAAAAATGGGGAGTAAGACACACCCAAATGGGTTTAATGTTTTGTTGCATGTCAATCGGATATGCGTTAAGAACAAATATGGCTGTGGCTATTGTAGCAATGACCGACAAACAACATGCCAATAAGGATTTCAGTGTAAGTAGTAAAGGGGTTACTAGAGTAGCCTTCATCCTCGGTCCCTCCACATAGGTTAGGTTAATAATGGGTCCCTAACTCTTCCTATTCCTCTCCCTTTCGCTAAAAACCAGTATAATATTATAAGTAATAACAAATTCGAAAATCTACTTTTCAAAGACAACTTTACTATTATAATATACGTATCTATATCAAACATTACCGATTTGGTGACGATGACGTCCGCGACCAAAAACATATCTATGCCAAAATGATCTATCTAATTGAAATTATCTATGAACGTTATTCATTAGGCTATTCGACCGTCGATGCATAGTAAAAATCAGAACAAAATTAGGTATTTTTAATTTGTGAGTAGTTGCAAGAATATGATTCTTGCAACTACTTACGGGTTTTGAAGTTGGCCATCTAGTATTCTTGGAGAGACACCCGACCCTTATTTGGGAAGCGAGTATTGAATATATACAAAAAGCGTTCAGTTTGTAAATTAACAATAATCACTAAATGGTTTATTTTTTAAATTTAATTTTCTAGGTGTTTGATTGGAATGAAAAGACAAAGAGTGTGATACTAAGTTCGTTCTTCTGGGGCTATTTTGTGACTCAAGTGTTCGCTGGACACATGGGTCAAAAATACGGTGCCAAATTGTTATTGGCCGGCGCTATTGGCATTAACGGTGTTATGACACTCGCCACTCCAGCAGTAGCATTACACGGTGGATACGTTGCTGTAATAGCAAGCCGTGTACTTCAAGGAATGGCGCAGGTAAAAAATATCATCGTAACTAACATTGCCCATTTCATCGAGTATTGTTAAACCATAATTTTTTTTTGTAAATCAACAGCAGCTGCCAGCTAAAACTTAAAAGGGGGTTGTCCGCCGAATAGTAAATTCGTACATTCTATATAAACGTATAAAGTACATTCGTGTGTTAGTGCAATAAATATAGGAAAAAATACTTGAAGAAATACTTATCTCTTATATTAACACTTATCTTTTGTAGTACAATAATTATTGTACAATCTATATTTAACTACCTATACTATTTATATCAACTTCATATCATACATTATGTAGTTAATTTTTATTATAACGTTATATTTCTATTAATTTTCCTTTTACTAATCTAGTAGCTGCTTACGTTTTTCACAATTAAATTAAAATATGTACACAATTTTCTGGCATATATATAAACTAGATACGTATATACCTACGTATACACGTTTGTAAATTCCTATCTAGTGTTATTTAACATTTTTTAGGGGTTTTTGTATCCTTCGATGAATGTTCTACTGTCAAAATGGGCGCCTTTGTCCGAGAAAAGCCGTATGTTTTCTTTTGTGTTCAGCGGCATTCAATTTGGCTCGATAGTGATTTTGTCAATATCGGGGTTCCTCGTCGAAAGCGTAGGAGGATGGCCATCGATATTTTACGTTTCTGGAGCCATTACTCTTATGTGGGTATGTGTTTGGTGTATATACGGTTGCAGTAGCCCTTCTGAACATAAAACTATTAGCGATGCAGAGAAAGAATACATTACGAGTTCACTAAGCAATACTGCATGTACAAAGGTAGGAAACTTTTTATGTACCTATACCTATAAATATATGACGTGTAAAATTACTAGTCTTATTTTTCTAATTTTATACTAGAATTTAGAATCTCATTAATCTTATGAATAAGGTTGATTTGGCCTACACTTCATTGAACAGGTAGTTTAGACATATCATCTTCAAGCTATAGGTTTGTAGTTACTAATTAGTGTCAAGTTAGGCATTATTGGATTGAAAAATAGATAATCAAAAAAATGTCTTGTAATTTTAGAATTTCACCATTTTAAATTAAGTAATTAAGTTAGCATTTAGCATAATGAAAACATTTAATAAAATAGGAATTATTTTATTAAATTTTAATAATAAAATTAATTGTTTATTCGAATAAGTATTACATTGGAGCTAAAAATCAGGTTCCAAAGAGTAAAATAAATGATACTCTAATTTTTTTATGTTTATATTTGAATTAATTCGCCTCTCTGTTTAGAAGTTTGGCATAAATGCAGTTATGATCACAAAAGGTATTTTGATTATTTTCCTCCATTGACGTTAAAAATTATGACGAAGTCTGATTAAGTCGGCGAAACTCACTTAATAAGTTATTTATAAAACCCTAATTTTCTTATAAAAGTGTCTTAACAGTTAATTCTTAACAATTATAAAGGTAATTATATTAATTCTCTAACTGTTTTAGAAGATACCAACACCTTGGCGTAAAATATGTACGTCATTACCTGTGTGGGCGATTCTTATCGCACATTTGGCTGAAAATTGGGGATTTTGGATTTTAGTCATGGACATGCCTTCGTACGTGCGGTTCGTCTTAAAATTCGACATAAAATCAGTAAGTGATCATTTTGATAAAAACTGTAAGAAACCAAAATTATTGCAAATTATACACTGAACTGTAAACATAATACAGGATTTCTTTCGCTATCTTTCAACAGAACGGCTTCCTATCCGCACTTCCGTATTTGACCACATGGATGACAATGTTAGTCTTTTCTTGGATAAGTGACTGTATTAGCAAAAAAAATTGTATTTCCAACACGGTACAAAGGAAAATGTGGAACAGTATATCACACTGGGGCGGAGCATTGGCTCTGTTTTCACTCTATATGTTTGACACGTCTGTTACGGGAGCCATGTTCCTGTTGACAGCCGCGTTAACTCTAAACAGCGGCGTTTTTACCGGATTCCTGTCCAATCACTTGGATCTGGCACCAAATTTTGCGGGCACGTTAATGGGCATAACCAACAGTTTGGCAAATTTGACAGCCATTGCCGGATCGTTACTAGTAGGATTTATCGTCACAGAAAGTGTAAGGATTAAATCATATTTTATTCGAGCACCGTTTTTAAACAAAATTATGACAAATTGGAAATTTGTATTAATAGTCTTTTTTTCTTATCCATATTGATTATTGGCTATTGAGATCATATTATTACCTTTAGCATATTTTTACCACATGTAAATCCAAAACTCAAGCAGTCATTAATTTAATAAAAGCAAGACATATAGTCTTAAGATAAACGCCAGAATTTAATTTTAAATTCGTTATAAAGAGTATTAGCATTGTACTCGTATAATTTGTAACTACATGAATGTTAAACATTTTTTTCAGAGCAACAAAGACCAATGGGGTATAGTGTTTTTAATTTCGGCCATCGTATTTTTTGCCGGCAACTTATTCTATATTGTTTTCGGGACAGCCAAAACGCAATCGTGGAATTATACTTCAGAGAACCAGAAAGAAGAAAAAACTGAAGAGGATAACGCGATACTGTGATTTTTAATTATATATTTATTAGTTCTAACATATTACTAATGGATAATTTTATCCATTAGACATTCAAAAACTCTTGTTTTGAGATTTATACACTGAATAACTATACATAAATGATTATACATTTTAAGCAGGATTATAAAATTACAGCAATTTACCTAATTTACACTATAGATAAAATTAGGAATTAGTCGACTAAATTATTATTTGGTTGAAAAAATAATAGCCTATTCAAATAAACCACTAATAATATTATTCGATAACAAATTTATTAAAATATTTTTGAGCTTCGACTCGAGGAGATGTTTTATTCGAATAATCTTATTTTTCAAATTAGGTATTAAAATAAAATGTTAAGCTAAATTTTTGACTAGAAGCCAACTAAAATATTAAAGGGAGAAATGTTTGAAATTTATAACTTACATATATACTAACTAATGCTGCCATATGAAATATAAAGAATTTTGAGATCTGTTATGAAATTAAGAAAAAATTGAATAAAAAAATGCCTCTTTGACATAGGCGGAGATTTCATTAATTTTTTGGGGGGGCTAGCATTTTTCTACCTAAAATGACCAGCAAGGGATTTACACTCCTAAATTATTAATATATAATACTATATAACATTACAAATGTATAAATAAAAAACATTATAATTATAATATAATATTTGTATATTATTTAAGTAAATACATATTATTTTAAGGCCTATTCTTAGATCCAAATATATCAATAATTTTTTCTACATCAATATTTAAATCGTTTTCAATGTATAATATGGATGAATTATTAAACCTGTCTTGCAACCATGTCAGGTAACCATGTCTTAATTTTGCGCATAGCTAAAAAGCTGCGTTCGCATGTAGCTGAACTAATTGGCAAAGACAAGGCGACTTGAAATAATTTGAATAAGCTGGGAAATACATTTAGGGTTAGAGCCTTTTGAATTTTATCAATATTTATTGCGTTTTTTGAAAAATGTATAACTTTATTCAGCACTTGAATTAAAATTAAATGATAACATTACTAAAAACATTGTTATAATGATTTGCCGTTTTAGAACTAAAATAATTTTCATAATTTATTCTTATAAATAATTTTAGTTTTTACTCCATTTAATTAAGGAATTTATTACTTTGATAAGTGATCAAATAATTGGGGGGGGCTATTGATAATTTTGGGGGTGCTAAGCCCCCCCCCCAATCTCCGCCTATGCTCTTTGAAATACATTTTTGGAAATTATTCAAACGTACTTACCACGCTGAAAATAGTAAACACAATACAACGGCATTACAACGTAGAGAAAGTCTGAGACCAGATTAGGATAAAATATTTTTAAGAGTGCTTCCCTCTTTCTATTAGGACCACTGAATATACTACTGTTGTTATTTTTTTGTATTTGTTTGAATGATACTTCTTATTAACAGAATAAACATACCAAATTAGATGTGATGTGTTTTTAAATTAACCTACGTCACGAAAAATGGCAATAAGAAATAAAATATTCTTGAGTTGTGACTTGTGTTGAATACTACTCAGTTCATTTTTATTTTATGTCAATGAATTTACTAATAAGTCTAACGAACTTGGATAAGAGTGCGCTGCGATCATTTCTAATAATCACCAATTGAAAAATCTAATTTCGTTTTAATTTGGCACTTTGAATCTTCAATCTATTTGTCCTCCTCAGTTCCCTTTGTAGTAGTAATAACAATATAACACTTATTCTCACCACTACATAATATAGGTTACTGCCTTTATTTAAGTATACAAAAAAAAAAAAAAATATGGATGTCCATAAATCCACCTTAGTAACAGTATAATATGTTACAGTCAACTTTGTATATTTTAAGCAATGAGAGGCAAAATATAATAAGAGAAAAGCTACGTTATCAAAAGATCTGTTCTAAAATAGTTAGAACTTAGAAATTAGGTATAGGCATCTTTTTGAAAATTTTAATTTAAAGATTAAACTGTAATGTATAATTATTAGTTTAAAATTTAGGACTGTTTTTTTTAGTACATCACAGTGTCCTTGACAGCGATTAAATATTTTTTTATCTTAACATACTAGCTACGCAGATTACGTTTTATACGGTCCATAGTGGTTTTACAGCAAAAACACCATTATAATATCGAAACATGACAACATTTCTCAAATGTCATATACAATTAAAAAAAAAAAAAAAAGTTGGTACTTTTAAAAATAAATGTGGTTTCTTTGCTAGGTTTATCAAAAAAACGATATGACATTATCACCAAAATCTTGTTATCTTTTGTTTCCTTAAAAGTATTATTGCTCTTAACTTATCAAGGAGCAAATAAAATGCATTCTTCATAGTTAGGTATGTTTTAACGCTGGACAATTGGGTGTATAACGTCCTGTTAAGACTTACCTAAAACTCATAAAATTACAGTAAATTCAATCATTAACCATTCATACAATATAATAAAATAAAAATATTCCAAGGTCAAAATTAAAATCCTTGCCCTAGTATCCTAGTACAGTTATTATTACCTTTGTAATATTAAAATCAGCCGTAGGTCGTAGCATATTCATTATTCATACATCACTTCTATGGCGATACCAAAAAAATAACATATACTTTTATGCGTATTTGGCAAGTACCAAATAATACAACTCGTTAATTCCCCATTTTAAAAAATAATTGTATTATTATTATAACCAATAGATTACGTAGTGATGAAACGAGTAAATATACATTTTGTGTTATATTTTAATCCAAAAATCACCTTCAAGTACAGAATTTTGATCGTTGATCCTTACTGCTTCCACGTAATTTATGTAAAAACTTATTTCTTTTTAGATTCAATTATTTAAATTCAGCATACTGTGAATCCATAATCTGCATCAAGTGAAAATATTTGGGGAGGGTATATTATTGCATTAACGACCTTTTCTTCTATAATTACAATATACAATAATTTATGGGACATGTCGACGGCCTAATTCGCAATTGTCGTAAAATAATGACTACTTTCCAGGAGAGACGAAAAAAGATATATATAGCATTAAAGAAACGCAAATAATTCAACAAATTAAACGTTCAATTTAATATCAGAACGCATATTATGGTAAAAATGATTTTAATCAAGTTTTTCTAAAAATAATATTAAAATTTTTTTTTTCTATGATCATATTGTATTATTTTTCTGTTTTTGCACTAAATATAAAAATAAAAAACAAATCAATAAATAAATACAAGAAAGACTGTATTCGTTTAGCGCTCCTTAAGTTGCCCAACCTAAAACACAGTAAACTTATATTTAGTTTTTAAACAGTAAAAAAGAAGTGTTAATTAACGCCCAAGTAGAGTGCAAAGCTATGATTTATTGAGTATTTTCATATATGTATACCACAACCACATAAAATTATTTTAATCGGCTTTTCCCAAAAAAAAAAAAACGCATATAACATGCATTACTATTGCTGACTGCATTAAAACGATACATATATGATATGTATACAGATCCGAAACATAATAGTAATATTATGATTACATATTATATTGGTATATTTAATATAAACTTTAATATAAGTGTCGCCTGTTGTGGTGAACAGGGGACTTGCAAACACAAGTCCAACAGTTCAGCTGTGAGGGATTGCCTCGCCTGAGGGCACACAGGGGACCCGGATTTGGGTCCAACAGCTTTGCTGTGACCACAACGACCAACCTCAGATGGCGAATGTAGAACATTTGGACGATAGGACTAAGTAGACCAATACATATACCTGATTTATATACATGTGTGCGTACCTCATATGTTACTTGGATGACATGATATCTGTCAACAAATATTTTCTTTGGACACCAATATCTGACAACGAGCTCGGTAGTACATGAATCAGTAATAGTTGAAAAATGACAATAAATTTCTTAAGAATGTCCTTTATAGAAAGTAAAATAAATTCATCATACAAGGATTAGCCCCAAGTACTGAACAATAATTTAAAATTAGTATCATATACTATGCCGAGCATTACATTTTGGCATAGTGTTTGGATTCTTTCTTTTTCACTGAATAAGTTCAGTTCCAACTTTTAAATAATTTATTTAACATTCATTCTCACAGAATAAAATTAATTCTTTCAAAATGATTTTTTTTATATTTTAAAAAAACTTTTTGCTTAAATTAATGATTAATTTTTTTTAAAAAATACTGTCATATAATTGGAAAAATTTGCATCACAGTTTATCTTTTTAGTGAATGTTCCAAACACTATTTTTGAATTAGAATGCAGCCAGAGATATTTAGATAAATCATACTTTAATAAACTAGGTGGTATGACTTTTTTTATTTACGATGAGAAAGTAGTGAGTATAAAAGTAGTAGATTACAAATTGTTCTTAGGAAAAATATTTAAGGTAAAATCAATTTCATTCTAAAATGTGTTCACGACTTTGAGATGCATTTAGAATAAAAAATTAGGTACTCACCTATTTTTCTAGAGGTATCACTTGATATAAAATAATTGAACCAGTTTTTTTTCACAATTATGTGCTTACATTTATTTAAAAAAAAAAAAGAATTACGCACAGTGTTTAATCAAATATCTTAGTTAAAATATTTGATATTGTGCACCGTTTTGTATATTATTATATTATAATAAAACAAATAATATTATTCTTACCTTGAATTATACATCATACATACGTACTTAATACATAGTCAATAAAAATAATGTAATGATAGATAATTGTGTTAGATGATTTAGAGTAATATAATTTTTTACAATAATAATAAATTTGCTAAATCTATTTGGTTAGTATTAATGAAACCTTATTCATTATGCTTATAATTGTATTTAAAAAAAAATGCAAAACATACCGAAGATTTTAGAACTGGGCCATGTCATCTGAGATATCAGTCGGCATTTTACATTTTTACCTAAAAACACGCTATTTAGAGATATAGAATAACATAAAGTTTACTTTATCATATACAGTATACATGAGCATTAAGTACTTACTCATTCTCACAACATAACACTATATAATAAACAATTAAAACACATTCAACTTTTTTTTTTTTTACAAAGTAAAGTGGCTGTGCATTTTATGCCGAGCGCAGTTTATAAGAAATCCACGTCACACTAATAAATACTACCACACACGTTCTACAAAAAAAATGTACGTGTGACATTTAGTTCCAAACTATTTTTGGGAATATACAAAAAAAAAAATCAAGAAAAAAAATAAATTCAAAGAAAGAATAAAACGGGGGTTGAGAACATTTAAAATATAAAAGGACTTACTCTGATTTTTCACAGAAACTGGGTTTCAGTTATTATTCAATATTTTTCTTTTTTTTTTTCTGTAAACAAAACTGCGTGAATAGAAACGTGTCAATAATTGTTACTATTTTTTTTATATACTTGGGGATATCAAAAACTTCTGTAAATTATTTTTTATTTAATAAAGTAATAATTAAAAATTTACTTTGAATTTAAGTAGTAGTAACACAGTCCTAATACTATTTAGAAATTATTTGTATCTATTATTGGTTTTAATTTTTTTTTTTTTTTTAATATCAAATACACAATTTATTTTTGTTTGAATAAAAAAAAAAAAAAATTAACAACTTACAAAAGGGTCGGGGGTGTGTTGTTGTACACGAGTAATACGCCCCCCAACAAACCTGATCATCTGAAGCGTGGATGCATCATTGGCGCCAACATCTGAGCCCCCGGAAAGCCCATAGGACCACCCGGTGCGTAAGGATTGACCATCGGAGCATTGACCATCAAACCTGTTTCATAAATTACAGTTTTTAATTCTACATTTATTACAACTAAATTAATTATATGACTACAAATTAGAATACTAAGGGTGTTATTACAATGCTGTCACACTAAGTTCCCACTATAGTAGAATACATTTTTAGCGGCCGCTTTTTAAAAATTTGTTATTGCAATGTCATTACTATAATTATACTAAGCTAAATCTGGGATTAGCACCCAAATTAGCATAACTGCTTAAAAGAAGACTATTTTTAGCAGGATTTGCACCCACTGACAGTCTTAGCAACCAGAATCCATAGTTTATAAAAAACATAATATATGTTTTTAACATAGGTTTGATATGAATTAAATTTTTTTTTTTAGTGGTCACTTACTGTTTGTTTCACTTTAATCTAAGCACCTATAACTTTAAATTAATTTTGTACGGTATGAAAAAATCTTTAGGAGGAATTTTATAAATTATTTACCAACTATACATTTTTAAATTTAAATATTTTTTTTACACAATTTTTTCTTTTATTTAAATTTATTATTATACTGTAAAAATAAAATTGTATTTGTTATTTTAGTTTTTATTTAAAATATATTTTTATTTTGAATAATTGATTGTATCATTTAAATTAATTAATTACATTTTTATTTAAATAAAAACATTTTTTAAATAATTCCCAGGATTGAATGTTATGTTATTAAACAATATATTATTTTATAATTTGTCGCAAGATAAATTTATCGCAGGTTAGATTAGGTAAAATGATAATAAAACAATTTTATTATAATTGATTAGAAAGTTTCTTTTTTTAGAGTAGAGAATACACTACTTTTATAGTAATTTATTGTTAAAATTTAAATAAGTTCAAGCTGTTATTATTCAAAGTAATATAATAATAGTGTTTAATTTTTAACGCAATGAAAAAACATTAGACACAAAAACGGCACATGATGAACTAGTTCTTAAAATGTGTGTTGTGCTGGTGTACACTACAGCTAAATTAAATTTATTGTGACATTGTAATAATAGCCCTAAATTGGATATAATGTTTATTGTCACCTGGATGGAGTGGCATTTGAGGTCTGAGCATACTCATTGCGTGAGGAGGCAGGCCCCCTAACGATGGTCGTAAAAGAGGCATTTGTTGAGCCATAAAAACAGTTGGTGGCTGAGGCATCATATTAGGCATTGAAATTACTGGTGTGGAAAATCTCTGTTGCTGTTGTTGCTGTTGCATAACTGCTGCCATAGCTGCTACTTGCCTTTCCATCTAAAAAACGTCATTCACATTTACTATACTATATTAGTAAATTACAAATTAACGTAACCTATATTAACCTAATGTATATTTGTATAAATAAAGCAGAACACGTTTTCACGAGCGGATGCAAATATTAACCAAAAATACCTGAAAAATTACTCACTTTTGATTCACTAGTGAATATACTTTATGTACCTGTTTTTCTTAATACATATATGTGTCTTTTTTTTTTTGTAAAAAATATAATCACGACTGTAGACAATTCGATAACAGTAAAAATATAAAATAATGATAAACTAAATAAAAAACAAACAGACCTAAAGAGTAAATTATAAAAAGTGGTGTAGTTGCAAGGTATCTCCTGTGTAACCATCTACCACTATTCTTTGTATGCGTGTACTCGTAACATTGTAGATGAACATAAAACAAGCGGCTGGTACACAGTATATACCTTTACGACTACATTATTGATTATAAACCTAAAACTATTAACCTCAGCCCTGTTATTCATGTTTTTTTTGTACTTACAAATACATCAGTCCATTTAAATAAATCTACCTTATGATTTTAAGCAGTTTCATCCGTCAATGGGCAATTTTAACGGGCCTTGAAATATTCAAAGAGGTTGATTGCCTCTTTATGGAATTAGTAACATACATTTTCAACGTAGGTAATTTTTAATCTTACCTCGTTTTGAATAGCTTGTTGATGCTGCTGTTGATGGTGTTGTTGCTGCTGTTGTTGATGATGGTGTTGTTGTTGTTGCTGCTGCTGCTGCTGCTGCTGTTGTTGTTGTTGTTGTTGTTGTTGTTGTTGTTGTTGCTGCTGCTGCTGCTGTTGTTGTTGTTGTTGTTGCAGCTGATGAGTTTGAGGTGATATTTGTCCATGAGGTGACATAAGTGGTGCTCCAAGTTGATGCTGCTCGGTAATGTTATTAGGTATAGCAGACTGTATATGAGAGACATACTTAGGAAAACGAGCCTTATGTTCCTCCTAAAATGTGTGATAGTAATTAATACACAATTATTAAGATTATAAAAATTTCAAAAATTACCAATGATATATCTTCAGCAGGGTGAATAATTTTGCTTGATGATCCAGTGGAAGCAATAAGAGATTTAGATTTCGAGTCATCGTTTCTAAAAATGCAAAAAATAAGGTGTCTTTTTGTCAAAATATATTTTCAAAGAATTAATTATCTTACCCTGGATATGCAGCAAATGAAGGTTTATTCAGGCTGCTAACTGGACCACCAGATAGCATATTACTATTGGAACGGGCATCTGACGCATTGCTAGCCTAAAAAATAAGTTTATAACTTTTTAATGACAATACATATAAAAGCTATAAAATCAATAGACATATTCCTTTTATATGGAAAAAAAATAATCATAAATTATTATAATTAAGAGGTCGCGCCACAGAAAACCATTTTTGGAGCAATATAGTACTATTGTACTTTATAAACAACAATGCTGAAAATAAATGTAGAGATATAAATAATAGTGTTCATGTTTACTGTTTTGTTAAAAATAGATTTCAAAAAAAAGTATTTAAAACAAATTGTTCTTTAATGAATTAGCATTTGATCTTATTCATTCCTCATTATCCATTTTATATATTAGTTTTTTTTTATAATAATGTTGGAGGAGTGGCCGTGTGGGAAGGCGCCGGTGTGTTAGTGCTCATAACGGGCACTCTGTTTGCCGGGCGAGTAATCGTTCGGGGAAAAGGAACCGCCATCCCCCTTTCTGGCGACGGACTGATGACCCATTCCGAGCTGCGAATCTGTCTAGAAACCATCATCTTATGATGGCAGCGTTGGGCCTAAAGACCCGTTAAGCTTGATGATAACGATGATAGTAATAATGTTAAGTTCACAGTTATATTTTTCTAATCTTAGAAAAATGTTGTGTTTAGAGATATACAAGAGGAAAATTTCATTATCCAAATTTTTATTCAGCTCCGACTTTACTTCTTTACATATATACACAGCTTTTATTACTTTGTAAACAGAAAGTTTTTATAACAAACTAAATTTTATTGTGATACAAAATTATGGTTACTTCTCAAAGAATAGTTGACTAACATAGGTATAATTTAAAACAAACATTATTCCAGTTTTAAACAAATGATTGCCCTAAAATAATTTAATATTTAAACCTATGCAAAATAATTAAGAATAAACCAAAAGTTATAATATTATGTACATGGAAATTATTTAAACTTCAACTATTAAAATAATAAAAATTGAGGCGCCTAGAACACAAGGGGTATAAACTACTTTTTATTGGTTACGAGAAAATCAAGCTCAAAGTTTACATCCTTATGGCGTTTTCATTTGGGGGTTAGGTGATTTGCTACCAGATCGCAGCAAATAATGAATAATTCACTTATAAATCTTTACCACCAAATAAAATGGATAAATTGTAGTTAAGCTGTGGACTTAACTAAGATTTTGTAAAAATGTCACTTATAACCCTTGTGTTCTAGGTGCCTCAATTAGCGTCATTGTATAATATTTAACATTCCCAGGAAAATTTATTTTTATTAAGTTTTGAAATCATTAAACTAAAATAATTACAATTAGATCAAATAACAAGCTGTTTAACCCATTAACGCCGGAGTTTTTTTTTTAATAATTGATGGAATTAAAAAAAAAAAGAAAGAAAATTGTGTACTTAAAAATTAGAAAAAATTGGATGTTGCCATATGGCAACGCTAGGCGCTAATGGGTTAAATACAAATATTTTAAAACTGAAATATACTCACAATTGCCACTGCACTAGGAAACAATGGTTTATTTGCTATTCCAGCCGGCTGACCTGAAGACATCGGACCACCAGAAACTGAAGGGCCCATCATTGGCATACTAATAAAAAAAAAAAGCTTTGTATTAAATATAAAGTTCAAAGTAATAAAAAAAATATATACCTTGATCCCATGTAAGGAGGAGCCATGCCCTGCATATGATTCATCATAGGGTTATAAGACGGCATGATAGAAGGACCAGCAGCACTTGAATAATCAGGCTTTTTCTTGGTTGGAGGACCACTGTCATCATCACTATCTGATCGAGCTCCTATAACGCCAAACAATTTCATTGAAAAAACAAGCTAAATTACTAGATATAAATTAAAATTTATTGCTCTATAAATTAAGTTCTTATTGAACCAGGTTATGTTTTGGAAGCAGCCAATGTAGGGCCATCACTTAGGAGGTTTCCTGGCAGATTCACTATCAGGGAGAGGGCATCAGTCTATTAATAGAGGGGGATGGCAGCTATTATTTACCAAACCATTTCTTGCTCAGTGTCGAACTAGAAAAGGTCAGCACCACACAGAATAACGCCTTAGCCACTCAGGCACTCGTTCTCCAGGTTTTGTTTAATCAATAATTATTGGTGTAGTCGTAAGGTAAACGCTGTGTGTACCCACTTCCAATATTATAGTCTTAAAGATAAACAGAGTATATACCCTTATAACAGTCACATTTAGTTGGCTGTTACCACTTGCCTCCAAATATGCATTAAAAGCACTTTACTTTGATTAACAGGCAACTAAATATGACCGTTACACTCTTATTACAACTGTATGACTACTACACCACTGATACAGAAAAGAATTATAAAACCTACGAAAAACTTTTAGCATGAAACATGCTTTAGCCTTGGCCCACCAGCTCAAAAATGACACTAAATTGCGATACTAAAGTAGAGCGCTTACTTTTAACGTATAATAACATGAAAGATGCCATCGAAATAATAACGAGTCATCGTCATCATGCAAAAGTTTGGCCAGAACATATATTTAAGACTATACTATTATCATAAATCGCAAGATTATAAATCAGAAATAGTCACTATTCAGGAGCCAGCAGGCTAAAGCATATTCCATGTTTTATAATTTTAGACGTTAGGCTTTAAGTAGACTGTAACTTTTTTATTGTTTGTTAAGTGAGAACACGTGTGGTTTGGTGACATTCTGGGTGGTCACCGGGATGAAGTGGCGATAAAAACAGTTAAACTCAGGTGACGTGCACCACTTATGTTCACCATTTCAAACATTCTGCCCTTACAAATAAGCCTATAACTCAGCATTACCTTTGCCACCAGATTTTTGTCGTTCATGTTCTTTCATATCTTCTTCTGGAATGCCTTCCATTCCGTAAATTTCAATTTCAATATTAGAACGATGTGAAAGAGCATTAGGTACTTTATCTATAGTTTCCTTATGCACCTATAACAATATATTTTTATAAACATTAATGATTAATTAATAATACATTTAATAATATTTCAAGCAGTTAAGAGGTACAATGGAGTTAGTATTTGTGGAGTATAATGGAGTTAGTCTAAAACGGCCATCAATATATCAACTATGTAAAACGGAATTTGTGTATGGTTTTGCCTATCTGCTTTGCATGTATATTTTACTGAATAAGATGAAAACTGCTTCATACGACATGTTCAGTCTTAGACAGGTTTCTTTTTATTATTAAAATTATTACGACAAAATCCCCACCTAGACGGATGATGCTTAATATCATTTCAATCATCTAAATAATATTATAAGTGCAAAACCACATACCTAATCTCGATTTGGACTCATTAGATCAGTGATCGCTTGTAGACCAGAGTCCTTTTAGTCCCTGGGTTAGATTAGATATTTTCCCCTTAAGGGTGTAGTGTTGAGTTGGTTACCGTTAGGTTAACATATTAGCTGTTATAGGTACTGTCAGAGGTTTCAGGTTAAGTGGTTCCCAAATAATTGAACTAGGATTGCTTAACGTGTTAAGGTTAAAGCTGGGTTTACATGGGGAGTGAAACACTATTGTGAATTTTGGAAGCTTGGCTCTTGGTTTGAGTAAACAGAAAATTTGTATTTCACGATCGTAGCATTATTATTCACTATCTTGTCACGACTGGTTCGTATATTATCAAACCATGTTGGAAACCATGTCGTGAAAGCTCAATTGTGGTGTACAATAACATATATTTCTTTGGAATATAACAAAAATGTTGTTCCCGTTTAAATATCTTCTTGATTCGTGCGCCACTTTTTGAAAACACGCTCGTGAGTCACAACTAAGAAGTTCGTAAAACACGATCGTGGTTCATACCATGTGTTAACCTAGCTTAAGTCATCAAGAGTGGGGAAATAATATGTACACGACTGGTCAAGGATTTAGCCATAACTTAGTAGAAATAAATACAAAGTATTAAAATTACAAATACTATAACATACCTGCATGCAGTGAATTGACAGTCCAGGACCAGTATACAGCTTTTTATGACAAATATGACATTTGAAATGTTTAGCTTTTTGATGTTGAATTAGAATCTTTTCATCGTCAAATTCTCGATTACAATACCTAAAAACTCGGTTAAGAAAAATTACATTTGGAACATATTATGTACTTTTGATAGCGAGTTTGAAGTAGACATTTCAGCCCATTAAAGATAGCACATACTCGTATTACCCTCTTTAAAAATATATTTTAGAACAGCTATATATTGGCAACCTTACAAAACATTTTAAAAGCATATTTAATGATGTTTTGAATGTTATTAAATACACAAGCAGATATACCTAGTCAAGTGAAATACAATTTTCTGTTCAAACATAATTGTCCGAATATCTACCCAAAGAAAAACTTTACAGTTGCCAAGTGACAATTAATAGATCAATACCGAAGCATTTGAATGAACGTAATGTAAAAACTTGATTACTACTTGACATAAATAAAACGTTAAAAATCAGAGATTATAAATGGTATTTCACGGTTGTGCACCGTAATGTGTACTCAAAAAAGGATACCAACACCATGGCTTAGACTGCTTCTTCTTTTTGCGACCCATATTATTATTGTATAGGTCCGGTGCTGTCCGTCTGACACTAAGATAATTGACAACAAACAATATTTAGCACTCACGATTAAAACGATTATAAAAAAAATACAATTACGACCAAGAACTAATTGCGTCGAACGAAAGGCAAACGTCGCGTTACGACTTGGTGAGTGAATGATTGATTGTGTTTGTAGTATTTAGTATTTACTATTTTTATCGCACAACTGAGTGGAAAAAAATCGAAGGCAAACTTTTCTATCTTGCTAAAGGTAATATAGTTTACACGCACTGCACACACGTCATACCTACTCACACACACTAATACGCAGGACGGGCCAAGACGTACACGAAATGGTCTCATGGAAGAAATGGTAAAATCTCACTGTTTATGTTCCATGGAACGGATGATCCTTTGAAAATGATTAATGATAACCGATAAATTTGTTTTGATAAGGCCGTTAAAGAAAATAGAAATCACATTTATTCAGTAATCACTAATCACATAAGTATAAAGTTGTAACACATTTAATAATTAATACTTAACGTTTAACAATATGTTATTACTTATTGAAGTCACTGTTTATGTTGTCGATACTGCTTTGCAAGTATAAAATTGTGAAATCGGACTTAAAGTTCGAAAATTTCTGTTTTTTAAGACTAGATTATAATATGTAGTATAAATATTCGACATCCGTATTTATATTTGACTTCTCTCGAGTCCTCGGAGGACATAAAATATAACAAAATTCTCTAATTTTAAACGACTAGCAATGACGGAACGTGCTTGCTTTTTTAATGTTTGTTTTTAGTTATGGTTGTCTAATTTTAATTTTTCTTATTTTAAAATTATTATTCAAAAATTGAAATAATGTATTTTTAAAGTCAGTTTTTACTTTTTGCATGTTTAAGTGAAAATAATTTACAATTTCTGGCGATTGGCTAATGATGAGTTTCCCGAAAAAATTATCGAAATTATTTTATAGTTTTTCGACTATTTGTAACAGTAGACAGTGCCGAATAACAATATAGGAATATATATTTATTATTTTTAGATTTCTGCTGATTAGATTAGGGCCAGTGTTTGGATTTATCGCCATCAAATCCAAATTGTTTAATTTTATTTTCATATTATTCTACATTCTACATTAATATACCACAAATAAAAACTTTGTTTCAAAAGTCTTAATAACTGAAAAAGCAATAATTAGCAGTTTATAATTTTCTTTTCTGTTAAAAACTATAAATTCTGCATTAATTTTGAGACCAGTTTCAAATAAGCAAAGAAGATTTTATACATAGGATAAATTACAATTTATTCTCCAACAAAACTGCTTTTGCGTGGGAAAAGTATGCGAGGCCAGTAGATAAACCAAATTTACACAATTTATAGAGAAGAACTTTATCTATGCCGTAGCGTATTATTTTTTGATATCATAATGTACTTAATATTTTTTTATAAACAAATGAAGAAAAAAAAAGGAATCTTTACGAATGAATAAATTTGATCGTGTTTAAGTTAACAAAAAACTAAAAACAATACGGCACAGATAAACTTCTTCTCTAACCACTGTAAACATTTTATATGGTCACTGTGTAATTACATATTTACGCTCTCACATACGTGTCCCTCCGCAGAATTAATTTTCGCGAACAAATTACGGGTTTGTAACGTCCTTTTAGTTGAAGTATTATTGAAATTCAAAATTTTGGCATCCGTTTTTCGCAATTTCTAATTTTGTCAATGGTTTGCTGAATCTATACCGTGGTCCATTCTAGGTTCTTCGACAATAAAATATATTACTGGTTCAGAAATGGTATCATACCCGATACTTTTAAATATTTCAAGAGACGTAATATTCAGTTGGCCTATAATCGCGTATGGAGTTATGCCTCTTTTGCCCATTTCTTTAGTAATAGCTTTAGCGATCAGTTTGCCAAAACCACGCCTTCTGCTCTCAGGTGTTACAATCAATGTACTTAAGCCACCGTAACTTCCATTCATTGCCCAAGCAAGCAAATCATTACTATGCCGATTGAAAACTCCAAGGCCGAAGTTCAACATGATTGTATCCCAAATATCAAACTTGGAGTAGACATCGCTGTGGCCCCAATGAGAATAAATAAAATCCACGTGATCTTTATTGAGTTGTCCAATACAAACTTCTTCTGGTACTCTGTAAAATAACAATATTAAACATACTTTTTTGGAAAGATGCTTGACAAAGTTGTGGTAATTTTTATGTTTTAATCATAATGCCCAAAGTAGGTTTGAACGCTTTGCGAGTCACAAATTATGTAGGTAGGCGTTACTGCCTAGTTATAGCTGCAGACTAAAATTGCATTTCAAACTTGTAAAAATGTATAAGAATAATCATTTCTTAATTATATAAGGATAGTAGTTCTATAAGTACACTTACAACCCCCGTCTCATTAGCCACATGTTGTTAAAATAATAATTGTTTTCAAAGAAAATTTATGGTATATGTTAATAAATGGATATAATTAGTAATTATATTATATAGCCTATAGGTCGTAGACACACTATAAGATGTGAAAATTCAAAAAAAATATTTTTCTTACTTTACTTCTAGTTTAGCCGCTTCGTCAGCTGGCATCCATTTTAGTACACAATCAACGTACATCCTGCTTTTCATACCCTTCTCTTGAATTGTCGATTCTACAATACCGCTTATTCTTTCCAAGACTGCTTGAAAAAGAGGTTTCTTTTGCCAGTCGATAAATTTGGTGTTCCGCAACACTCTCTGAAACTGTTTTTCGTTTCCTGGACAAGTATACACAACGATGACATCTGGGTATTGGTCCTAAATAAGAAATATTATTTTAGCGCTCAATGTATATTACCTGTATAATTTAGTAAGTTTAATATAAGAGATATTTTCCAATAAACCCCATAATAAGGCGTCTAGCTGTGTCATTAGGCTTGAAACTGATACTTATTTACTGTTAAGTTTTAGTTATATCACAGAAAGTTTTGCTTTAAAACTACAAAAAAAGAATGTATATATACACTAACAAATAGCCTTGAACTGTCTTAAACTGAGGAAAATCTGAAAATACATGTTTGGAGTACATAAATAAGCCTATTTTTATAGATACATATTGTATAATGTATTTACATCTCCTTAAATCAATTAAAAAGTAAATTTTTTAGTCACTAAACAATCAACACCTTTAAATTCAAAAAAATAGATATTATACACACAGGTGCATTGTTAATATTTTTCCCGCGACACGTGAAGTAAATAAGTAATTAAAACAACTTTTATAATTATAAAGCTGTATGTTGATAAGTACTTACAGGCTGGGAATATATGCCAATAAATGTACCATTTTCTATATCGTTGGATAGATAGTATAGTTTGTAAGTGGAAGCAGAATTTGTATTATTCCACTTCAAACCTGTTTTAATGAAGTAGTAGGCCTGTAAAAAAAAACTGCCATGTTTATTATATTGCCTTTTATTTTATTTAATTAGTTTAAACAAATTGACCGTTATTTAAAAACATAAAAAAATTAATATAGCTGCATTTACCAAAATTTGATTAAATAACTAAATATTTTACATTTGGCGGCCCACCCTAGCCAACAGCACTTAGTAAGGATATAATATCTAGTTGAACCTAAGCTAAAAACTGAAGGTCAGTGCTAATGTATAGGTACATTAGTTACTTTATAAACTATACATTTAATTTATAGAGGATATAATCTCTTATATTAACTATATTGCTTTATTTTTATACTTAAATTTAGGTAATATTAATTAATATTACCGACGATATGACCAAATAGCGTATAAAAAATAAAACATCAATATACGTTTTTTTCATTTTAGGAAATCTTGGCATGATGATATTCACATAAAACAAACCTATGAATTAGATAAGTGATAACCTATTTTAATTATAAAAAGCTCTTGTTAAATTATAAAAAAAAAAATAAAAGCGCCGTATGTAACACAGGTCATAAACTCATAACAATATTATGTTAAAATCTGTATAGCTTTTAAACACTTAAAAAAAAAAAAACATACATACGAGGATACTATTAGGCCAATCACGTTTTAGAACTTGTTCGCAGAAATAGTCTATCGCTTCTTGGGGCATTTCTTCCAAAATATCGCAGTCCATAATGTTTTAGTTTAGATCTGAAGCTAATATATAAGAAATATAATTTTAAAAAATATGCACAATTTACGAATAGTAAAGGAGCATTATGACGGCGGGACGATTAGTTTCGTTTTAATAGCAGAGAAGATAAAGTGTAATATTAGTATTATCTATTTAGCGATGTTTCGGAAAGTTGAGTGGGTTCCGTTTAGCAAGTACCAGCAGGCAATTAAACTATTACGAAGATAATTAAAATTTTTATTTTTTTAAATTGAACCTCTATTATTATATACCTGACGATACCGGTAGTAAATCGTCCTAGTTTTTTTATTACAAACAAAATTGGGCGTTACATTAACCGAATGAACAGTTATAAATATGTAAAATTATATTATATTCTTAATTTTACTCAGACAATAATCAATTTTAAAAGTTGTGAGATCCCTTAATGGCTAAATCTTTTTAACTGAAAATTATTTAATTTTAGCTGAGTCGAAACAGGATAAACCAGGTGTAAAGGTTTATTTGATTTTTTGTTTCCTTAAACAAGCTACGATTTTCAATGATTCTGGTTCCTGCTTCGGAGTTTTAGGAATTCTAAAAATGTTACGTGTGTCAAAAGTTGGATAAATTTGATAAAAAAAAAAACCTTTACGAGTTTTTCTGTGGTAATTAAAAAAAGATACTGTAATTTTCGACTATAGTTTATTGCTTCTTTCAAATAAAAATAATTGTACGTTTAAATGTCATTAAGTATTATTTTACAATTCATTTTTTTTATTCTAAAATATGTAAGTATTTACAGGTACACTTATTTCGTTTTTAAATAATGAAATAATATCAAATATATTTTATGAAATATGAAGTATATATATTTCTCATAACATACAAAATTAACATGGGTATAACAAAATAATTAATAAAATTTAACACGTGATCCGTCGTTTAATGATGTCGGTACATTTTAAGATCGGTGGGGGGTAAGACAACTTTATTAATTATTCAACAAGGGTATAAAGTATTTTTTTTTTAAGGCTGCTAAAAATACATCATAGAATCGTATTGCCGTGTGTAAAAGGAAGGGTAAATCTCCACTTTTTGAAAACTAAAGTTCAAATTTTGTCAATGGTTCGCCGAGACTCATATCATTCATAACAGGTTCTTCGACTAGGAAATACGGAACTGTATCTGAAATGTCATCCAGGTACCCAATGCTTTTAAATATTTTGAGAGACGCTACGTTGTAGTGGTCTATGAACGCATATGGAGTGATGCCTTTTTCGCCCATTTCTTTAGTAATAGCTTTAGCAATGAGTTTTCCAAAACCACGTTTTCTGGCCCCGGGCGTTACAATTAACGCACTTAGACCACCATAACTGCCATACATGGGCCAAGCTAGCAAATCATTGTTTTGCCGGTTAAAAACGCCTAGGCCGAAGTTCAAGATAACCGTATTTAAAATATCAAACTTCGAGTAAACATCGGTGATGGTCCAATGAGAATAAATAAAATCCACGTGATTTTTACTGAGTTGGCCAATAACAACTTCCTCTGGCACTCTTCTGTAGCAAAAACATTAAGCAGATTTTAAATTGGACCATTTTTGTTATCAAGTCACAAATTAAGAAACTAATGCCTAGTGGTAACCACGGACTAAAATTAGTTTAAATAAAACTTGTAAATTGTTGTATACGAATAATGGTTTATTTTAACCATTCACTTTATTTAATGGTAGTAATAATAATTAATATTTAATAAAAAAAACATTTTCCTCGCCCCCAAAAAACCTATCAGCCAAATGTTGTTAAAATAATAATTGTTTTAAAGGAAATTAACGATTTATATTAAAAAGTGATACCTTATATGTACTTGGTAAGGGGGGCCCCCTTTTTATAGAGACATCGTAAAAACTTATTAAAACCGTTTTTTCATAAATATTGCCTATATAAAACTCCCTAAAACCGTCCGCTTTCAGTTCCCTTAAGAACTTAAATTTTCTTTTTATAACGAAACACAGTACACCCGACAAATTGCAGTTGTCAGCATAGAAATAATTAGTGAGCCAAAATGTTAATAATGATTTTGAATTCTAAAAAGTTATACCATTGTGTTCTGATCTACACATTAAGTAGATAACATAAAGGTATATTAGATTTAATATCCAAAGTTAATACACTGCTTTTGGAACAAACATTTATTTCTATATAGATAAAGTTATTATATCAATAATTATCCTACGTAACATAAATTTATTTTTTATCTTTTTCTTTATTTTCTTCATCATCACCGTCTTCATCGTCATCTTCGTCATCATCATCTTCATCATCATCTTCATCGTATGAATAGTCGTCATCATCGTCGTCATCCCCATCACTGTACTCGACTAAGTAAATAAAGTATAAGCAAACTAATAATTAAATATTCATAAAATTTGAACACAATTGAATATTACCTTTGTTGTAACTATAACCCTGGTGTGACGCTGAACCACCAGCATAAGAGTAAGATTCATCATCATCATCTTCTTCATATGCCTGACGACCATATTTATGATTACGAGCTGAAAAAATAGAAAGTAACATTTTCTATTTAGATTGTAGTCAACTTGTATAGTTGTATGCATACACAAAGTAGATAAGTTGTGTATTTTAAGATTGTATAATAACTCAGCTAATTTAATGTAACATATATTTTTTTAATTTTTGGGTATTATATAGAAAAAACTGTTTTTTAATTAAATTGATCTAAAATAAGGAATAAGCAAGAACATTTTTTTTTTAGTCGGCCTATTTTAAATTAAATATTTTCTGAAGTTGTTAAGATTAGAACTATTGTCAAGTATTGGATTTCTGACAATTTTTTGTTATTTTACTTTCGTTAATATTTTAATTTTTATTGAAATATACATATATTATACACTATATATTTTTTTAAATAATAATTTGAATTGTTTTTTAAGTAATGCCCATGTTTGTTGTGTCTGGTATTTTCAAATTTATAATTCAATAAATAAACAATAGAAAATGTGAAGGTGTTACATAAATATTTTTATGGGATCTACGTCTTCCCTATCTTCACTTATGTGACACTGCCACATAAAATAATCGGGTTTAAATTATTGTTTTTTTCTTTTTTAAAAGACTTCATGCAGTTTGTATTGGACTTTGATTTTTGATCGCATTAACAAAAACCACAAAAAAACGAGTTTAGCATATTTGTAAAAATTGGTCATATTCTAAGATTCATTACAACATTTAGAATTTAAATTTTGAAAATGAAAGTCCAATGAACCTAGCAAGAAGTTTCCTTCACTCTAAAAAAAAAATAATTATTGACCTTTTCCCATTTTATTTATGTGTGGAAAAAAATGTCTGATTCATGGCCATCAACTATATTATGGAGAAAACAGTTAAAAGTTATAAAAAGTCCTCAAAAAAAAAAAAAACCTATCATTAAACCAAAAATTGTTTATGAAAATATAATATGTAGATTTATTGATTAAAGTGACCTTTTGTAAATACTTACACGACAATGATAAGTCGCTGACTTCGGCTGTAGGATAAGAACACTTTGGACACGGATAATTGCGATCTTTTTCTGAATACTTAAAACGTTTACACTTAATGTGCTCATCGCAATAACATACCTTACATCGCAAACAACTGTACTGTCCTAGTTTGTTGCAAGATTGACCTGACAAAATTATCGTAATTTAGTTAAAACTTATTTTGAAACTTTTATAAATAAAACATATACATACATTTGTAATTTTCTGATTCTAAGACTTGGCATGATGCTTGATGTTCAAATTGATCGTCCTCACATAGATAGGCAGAACAATACGAACACATAAATATTCGACCACCATGATCCCAAACTCCACGTTCACACTCTGTACATATGGCATCTTGTAACGGGCAGATACATGCATGGGTCGTAAGGCATTTTCGGCCATGACAAACCCACGCTTCACAAAAATCACATATAGCACCCTAAAAAAACGTTAATTTGATTTTATTACCATAATAAAAGAAAAACTATAATTAAAATACCATCTAAGTAATCCAAAAATAAATACATTTTATTTTTGTATTACGATTATTATATTTGACAAATATTTTATGCAAAATAGGTATTGTTTCTAAACAAACAATCACAAATAATTATTTAAAAATAAATAGTTATTTGAATTAATTGAATAAAAAATGATTTCAAAATGAAAAAAAATCTCAATAATAAATTATTTTCTATTTTTTAAATAAATGATAATGTATTTTTAATAATTATTTTGACTAATTTAGTTTTTATTTTAATAATGTTATGATTTGAATTTATTAACGTTTATATACTATATTGGTAATTTAAATCAGTTAGTTCCAAATAATTTATAATATACACATAAATGTGTTATTTTTTATAAAGTAAAATTTTTAAAGACTGGAATATTAATAAATAAATTATTTTTAAATACAAGCCAGAAAAATTATTAAAATATTTTTTTATTTAAGTAAAAACTCAAATAATAAATACAACTTTAGTATTGACTGAAAAAATATCCAATTAATAATTTCAAACGTATTATTTGAACAAATTTAAAAAACAAATAAATAATGTATTTAAATATATTATTTGTTGAAAATATAAATAATAAATTGTTTTATAATGTTTTAAAATTATTGTTTGTTATTTCCTATTTAAATGAGGTTTTCCTAGGTTTGATGTATAAACTGTGATTTGTTTAATTTGTTAAAAATGTTCTCAACAAAACTAAAAAATTATTAGGTCAATACTGTTATTTTCAATTAATTTCACTTACCACTAAACCCATACCAGTAGTAAATATTCCTGGATGTTTGACAACACAATCGCCGGATTTCATAAGGCACTTTATTTTACCACAACTAGCGCATTGAGGCAAACGTTGTAAATTTTGGCAGAAATAACAAAAGGCTCTATTTTTTTGTTTTCTAGAAAAAATATAGGTATAAATGTTTATATAAAATGTATAATGTAAAATACATAAATTTTTACATAACTTCCTGAATACAATATTAAAATAGTATAATAAGTATATAAATTAATTTTGTCCTATCCTACTTTAAATAATATGTGTGTGCGTAATTGTGTGACTAAAAATAAAAAATACAACAAATTGCACCTATTATAAGTAAACTGAAAAGTAATATGTTCCATTTAAAAAAACATTTTAAATCATAATAAAAATTGAATTACTAAATTTATCCATTTTTATACAAGGTTGACAGTTGACACTTGACAGTTTAAAAATAAAAAAAACCATTTATAATACCTAATTAAGTTTTTGTTGATTGATTAGTTGAATTATATAATGGAATTTAAAATTGTAATGACTGAAACAGATAATACATACCGATATTTTAGATAAAAATTAGTTTTTTTATGTTTGGCACAAGGGGCACTATTTTAAAATAATTGTTTGTACCATATAAATGACACAATGTCATAAGCATTTTCATAGGGTTTGTGTAAGCACAATTTTTTTAATTAATTAACTACTATCACATAAATCAAAACTTAATAGATTCGAAGTTCTAACTATAATATAAGGTAATCATTTAAGTTGCTCCAACCAATGCTCTAATGGTTTTTTATGGACATTTTCACCAATTTATTAAAACATGAAAATTAACTTACTTTTTGCATTTATCACACTCCTGGAAAAAAAAAATAACATTAATAATATTAATCTTTGTAAGACAAATGAAATATATGTTTTCATAATGAGCATGTAGTTTTTAAACTACATGGTTTATTGTGTACTATTAATATAATTTCATTAATTAACAGCTATTGTATAATTTTTTTTAAATGCCTGTAAATAAGTTCTATAATTTATGTTTGTTCAATTACCATTGACGCGTTACATGGCTGTTTGGCCAAAGCCAGATTGTCCTTTGCAGATCGGATCTCTTTTTGTCGTAACCTCATTTTTTCTGCTTTCTTTCTCTGTCCAGTCTTTTTTTTCGGCATGTTGAGTCAACACTCTTGTCTTCTGGTCTGTAAGCAAAGATATGAGACTTGAAACTTAATGAATATGTTATTTAAAAATTACTCACAATGATAAATAACTGACAGAATACCTCTGAATTCGTCTGGACTGTGTCACGTCTCCACTTCTAAAAAGTGAATTGTGATTCGTGTTGTCCAGTAGGTGCTTTATCTAAATTATTATCAGTCGGCGAGTTCACGTCACGATATCACATTATCAGTGGTTTTGATAAGAATTACAGTGTGGCCAAGCACACGAGTGTGAAATATTTTGTTAAAATTAAAAAATAAATCCCCAACTAGAAAAATATTTGAAAATGTAATTGAAATTTGAATGAATTATTTTTTTTTACATTTATGACATAACATGTATGATGTAATGATAACCAGAAATGTCAATAGTCTTTAGAATAGTTAACAAACTTCCCAAGTACTTTTTACTAATTAATACTGAAAAAAATAATATCAAATTCATAGAATTAAGTATTATTTAGTATTTTTAATTTCAGAACTAAAATAATTAACATGACAATTAGTGGTTTATTTTCCAATTTCGTATCTAAAATTATTTACCAAGTCTTAATGCTTTTACCAGGATCGCTTTTACTTCTTACTCAAAGCAGTAGATTTACATAATTTTTTCAAATTTATATAGGCATTTTTATTTTTTAGGATTAAATATAACATAACGGTTAATTTCTCAATATAGTTTTTTTTTTTTTTTATATAGCCTTTATTATTATAAAATATTTGGCTCGACAATTAAACACTAAATGTTAGGTTACATTATTAACATGCGGTTAAAGTTCTCAATATAGTTAGTAGTTATTTAAATGTGGTTACTACAACTACTTAACTCATTACAATAAGACCAATGTGAGTATTTTTCATTTAAAAATAACGCCACGCTCTAATATAACTTTTTGCAAACTTAAAGTCGTGAAATATATTATTACAATTTATATTTATAAGCTACGCTTTCCATAAAAAAATTGATTTTAAATATGAGTATAAATTGGCTATGTTAGACTTATCAGATACAACATTTTTTACGCAGCTTTGATAATCTTATGTTTTATAATATTTATATCAATACCCAATATAAGTTTCAAATGTGTGATTACACGTTGTAAGTGTTTTCAGTTTGAGATTTAAAACAATTATAAGAAACAATGGGTTTCACACCTGAACACACGTTTTTTCACCGAGGCCTAGTATTTTATTACAAGAAAATTGAATAACAAATAAAATAAAAATCTTGAAATGTCTCAAGGTTGTTTTGTAACAAATTTATGCGTTTTAGAACGATTTTGTGTTTTATTTTGGTGTGCACGTTTCGAAACACATTAAATATCGATTAAAATGTAATTTACTTTTATATATACTAATATGTTATATTGAATGCTTTATGTGTTCTAGATTTTTAAAAACGTAAGCAAATCAAATTGTAGCTTGTATACCATTTAAATACTATAATACTATAGCTAATGTCATTATTTTGACAAGGTATATAGTTCACTATTTATAGTTTACGGTGAGTTTTATAAGAAATTATTGTTCTTTTATGACGTACCAATATAGTAAATATATATCGAGATAGGAAATATCAAAAATGCTACTATCTATAAAACACACCGCACTTTTTGGCTGTCAATATCCACATTTGGAAAACGTCTCACGTGCGTTGTTTGCCTGTCACTAAGGCTTACAGGCATTTAACGGGTGTCCCAATTGAAACATTAAGTTTTTTACCCTAAAAGAAACTTAACATCAATTGTCAAACTTGTTCCAGATCAACGAGCGCACGGACACTAGGCAACATAATATTAGAAATTGTATTGTTTTTTTATCTTTTATTTAATAATTATTAATTAAACCGTAAATGTGTAATAGCGAAATGAGAATTCTAAAGCAAAATATTTAAACGGATTTAACACATGCTAAAATTAAATTGGTCTACTTTTTTTGTTGGTTTTTACTATCATGAATTTACAGCTCAATTATTTTAAATAAAAATGATTGACAAAAAGTAAATAATATATAAGCTATAATAAAGTGTACTGTATTATATATAAACGCAAGACATTAAAATTTAAATTGATTATCCATATTTTTTACGTAGAAACATTGGCGGAGATTAAGGCGGGGGTTTGGGATTCTAAAAACCATAAAACTTAAAATTAAAGCTATATTTTTTTTTTATTCCAACAAATTTCTCACTAACAAAAATAAATGTAGTTTATTTTGAATACCACTAATTTTAAGATTCAAGCTAAAATAAACTTGAGCAACTTATGGTTATATATAATAAAATAATATTTCAAACTCTCAACCATAAACAATTATATATTGTCCGCGTATATGAGGTATTTCGGCAACAATGTTGTCATCTTCAGCACTAACGACAGACTCTGTCGTATACGCGGAGAGTATATCATTTTTTAAGGTTAAGGGTTTTAAATATTATTTTATTCAAATTTAAGGTTTTTAATATCAAAAGCTCGGGGGAGATTGCATAGAAAATAGTTATAATTAAAGCTTATATGCTAAAAAAAAGGTTCAATAGTTGCACCTAATTCGGATTTATTCGATTTTAAATTACCGCTCTGATGTCGGTTGTAGGCTTAAATTTTAAATAATTCAGAGATAATATTTATGAATAAATCTTAGTTAAATCTTCTGTTTAACGTTCCACTTAGAGACATCGCTGACTCTTATCAACTAAAAAATTAAGACATTTTTTACAATTACTATCTAAATATCATCTATTTTTTAACTTCGACTAGTTTTAAAATTAAAAATCTCTTAAAGTATTTAAATTTTAGTACTCATATTAAAATTGTTTTAGGTATATTTTCTGACACGTGATTAAATAATATTGCAGTTAATATTATTATATAATAGATGTCCTCAGTATGTTGAGATGAAATAATTATAATTATGCGAGCTGTGGAACGTCTATTGCTCTTGATACTTGATAGAGTTAAAAAATAATGTTGTTGGTCATTTGCCAGTGTAGCATATTATAATACAAATCGTTATATATATATAAAAATCTCCGGTCACACGGTTTGTTCGCGATAAACTCCGAAACTACTTATTTTGATGACATTTTTTACACTGTAAGTAATTTGGTCCAACTTGAGACATAGGATAGGTTAGATAAGAAAAATTGGAAAAGGTGCCCGGAAAATTGGGACATTTTAGTGAAAGTTTATTCCAATAGATGGCGCTACGTGTAGAAATGGTCAGTTGACCATATTTATTCATAGTTTCTGACCAAAAAGTCATGGTTTCACGTTTCACATTTTATAGTTGCCTTTAGTCTTCGATAGATTACCACCTCGACTGTAACATTTCAAAACTTCCCAAAGAATCAGGATAGCACAGAGCCCTGTACAAGAATCTCGATAACAGCGTGATGAACGTCTGCGTTAACATATATTGAGAACAAGAGTGGGGCGTGAACAGCACAAATATGAATTAATTGAGAGTGTCTTCCCGGATATAATGAATAATTACTTAGATCATAGTATTGGCTCAGTAAACGTACTATTTTGACAGCAAAAAATGATGATGTTGACGACATTAACTTTCAGATACAACAGTTGTTGTCAGGTGATCTGATGTATTTTACATCAATCGACACTATTGTTGATGAAAACTAAACCGTAAATTTGAGAGTGATAGCAAACCAGTCGGGCATTAACACGTGCACCATTTTGTCCATAGGGATGGGGATGGTGATAGAGTTGCAGTTTGATAATAAAATATTATAACAATAATAATAATATAAACTAATAATTTGTATAATTTGTGAGTACTATGTTTCAATTGTATTTCATAACCCGTGCGAAGCAGGGTACGCGGGCAGCTAGTAATAATATATATTATTATACAGAAATAAGATTTGGATCCTTAATCATAACATCTGTACAGAGGAAAATTGCTCGACCCTACACATAATATCGTCATCACTTGCAAATAATATTTTTTACTAATAATAATACAATTTGTCAGATATAGAGGTTTCATACCAGTAAGTTTATATTTATTATTTATATAAAGGTTACTTTAAATCATTATAATATCATGTGTGTAATTGATTTATTTTTATTAAGTTGCTTTTGTGATTACACATTATAGCACACTAGTCACTACAAGATAACACAATCAATTTTTAATATTTTCATATATTTAAATGAGGAAGCCAGCGCTTAAAATAAGGAAATAATGAAAAAAATAACAATATGGGAACGAGAATTAAGAAGAAGTTGGATATCAGAAGAAATGTAACCAATTGAGGACAGAAAAGAAAAAAGTAATTTACGACTGGGAAGGAGAGAGGGGTAGTTGAAAAGGATATGTGGTGTGTAATTTATATTGAACAAGAAAAATAACGTGTACAAATGGAATTTAAATGTAATTTGTGGTGTTTATAACAAAATTGATTAACTGCGAATACCATATAAGTTGAATTATAATTTATAACAAACAAATATTATGTAATCTAAAACAAATAAACTGTGTGAAATGATTTTATTCCCATCGAGTGTAATTAAAATTTATCGTTGTAATAACAAATATATTTCTATGTATTTTAGATGGTTAACGCATATTGTTAGCGTAAAAGAAACTATTAAGCCATATAATTACAAAAAGTGTTATTCCTTTAGGTAGACCGTAACTTAAATTTTCTGAAATAGAACCACCCGATAGAGGGGACTTGAGGATAGGGCCAAACACATGAGGGCATATACACTATTGAATACAATGTAATCAAACAAACAGATTTAGGACGAACTAAAATGAAACTTCTTGTCAAAATAGTAAAATTTCACTTTCTTCTTCTTCTTCTTGTTATTGTTTTAGTAATTATGCACGCGTACAATTAAAACACGAAAGCAGACGGAGAGACGCTACTTAAATCTTAATTATGTAGACTGTAAATTGTAATATATTATACTATAATAGGAAATGAAATTGTTTAGCGTTTATTTAAAAACACCCATACAAATGTGAATACATCTTTTGTGCGAAATGCAATTCATGTAGGGAGCTTATATACATTTTATGTGTGTTTGAGTTAACATAATAAAATGTATCGTTTAGTTCAGAGATTCAAGGACTTAGGTTAGGATTCATGTCTTAAGGAATAACGGAACAAATATACTAGATTGATTGTTTCT